GCAATGTTGGATTAGAGTGCCCCGGAGTTCGGCGCAGCTCCGCATCTCCGAAATCTTCTGCAAGACGCGTTGGCGACGTTGTTGTTCCTTGACGTCGACACGCTCTGCTCTGTCATCCTCTCGCTTTCTTACAATCATGGCCACTCGTCGAACGCGATCAACTGCCTCGAGGGACAACAAGAAGAGCGGCACCAAGGCTGCCCCCAAGGCTACCAAGAAATCCGGTACTTCGTCTGCCTCTGCAATAGTGGACGAAGGAGATGCTCTGAATCGTTGTAAGGAGTTGGTGAGAATGACGACCCTGATGCCTCGGAGAAAACGGTCGCCTCCAAGGCTCGCAAGATGCTCGCTGAGATGAGGGGGGTCCTGCCCAGAGAAGGAGCGTCTACAAAGTAAGTTATGAGTGATTACCACATAGATCAGCTAACTATACACCGTTTCAGCCATACAGGCGAACAGTGCGGCGGCGATGGAGGAGGATGAGGATGCTGAAGGCGATGAAGAACCTGAGGTTGTAGCTGGGATGAGGATGGGCTTGGAGAAGATGAGGTGGAAGAGCAACCACATTCCAGCTCCTCTGATCGTGATGCGCCCGCTGCTTCGAAGGGAAAGGGCAAAGCAACGGGAAGAGGTGTGTATATGGTGGAGATTGTCCCGGAGAGTCTAACAATATTACAGTTGCATCGCCCCCGAAGCCAAAGCCTCGCCCGAGGCCGCGCAAGAGGAAAGCCGACCAGGTATCCGAACAGGAAGACAACGACGCGGATCCTGTCGCGCGAGCCCCCGAGCGGCCTGACAAGAAGAAGACCAAGGTGCAGAGCCCCGGTAAGTTGGTTGGGGCTAGTGCGTCCCAGCCTGCAGCGCATAGTAGCTCTCCTACATCGCGTGAGTCGTCAGTACTTCTGTGTTTCCACGTGTGCCTCTAATGTACGCCACTGCTGGTAGCCTCATCACCTGGAAAGAAGAAGGTGGAGGTTGTTATTCAGTCGCGTCCGGCAATCGCTGCGTTACCTCAGGATGAGCAGTCATTAATAGATCGTCTGCGTAAGCAAGCCTCATTTTACCAGTCTGAACGGAAACTAACAGCCACTTGAGATACAGGAGCACGGGGCGGGAAGAAACCGGCACCTGTACAGAGTGAGGAGGACAGCGAGAAGGATGAGTTGTCAGAGGACTCGAAGATGGAGGACTCGGAGGAGAACGGAGGTGAGTCCAACTTCCTTGGTAGGCACAGCCAATGTACTGAGGAAATGCGAGCCCCTGAAGCATCACGTCGACGAGCGGTTAAGAGTAAAACCAACACCACTCGCCACGCCCTGAAAGATGCCTCTGGGGATGAGAGCGAGTCCTATCACGTCTCCGAGCAGGAGGATCAGGGAGACAGCGACGATGGCGAGCATGAGGAGCATGCCTCTGACAGCGACGAGGTATGTGGGTAATGTCTATGGAGTACAACACTAATTGAGGTCTTCAGATCATCGTCAAGTCAGAGAAGGCGAATGCGAAGGGGAAGGCTGCTAAGGGTAAGAGTAAGACTCTGGGCAAGAAGAAAGCGTCAAAGGCCCCCGCGGACGCACTCGCTGAACTCGAACAGGAGCCGTTCCGGAGTTTCGTGCAGCATGCGCAGATAGAGTTCAAAGCGTATCTGAGTCTCGAGAACGCGTGGCCCCGTCACCAGGACACAGTCATCGACAAGTTGGACGCCCCCATGTCGATGTACGAGAGGGTCACGGCCAAGCACAAGGCCTATCAGACACCCAAGTTCAAGGCGCGGTACAAGCAGATGAAGCGGCAGGTCTCCACTTACAATGAGCTGCGGAAGAAGGTAAGTAATGTCATTATTTTGAATGACTGGGGGTTGACACTTTCACGTCTTTAGGTCTATAAGCTGGCGTCTCAGTTCCGTCAGGAGGTGAAACAGAAGGCCAAGCGTGTGGTGGAAAAGGAGTTCCTGTCCATCAAGGTGTCTGAGTTTGGTCCCAACGGTGAAAGGCTGAATGCTGTGGCTCGCGCCGATAAGCTACAGAGCGCTTTGGAGGCGCGTATTCGGTTCCTCAAGGATGGGGACACTTTCCACCACGGCAACCTCAAGATGCCCGATCCTGATGTTGAACCATCGGTGCGCAGACCTGACCATCTAGATGACAAGAGAACTAAGCTAACATCATGATGGAACAGCTGTGGGTGGCGGAACGCGACGCCCCGTTCCACAACGAGGCCATTGCAGAAATAATAGCTCGTCATTGGTGGCTGGGACAGAATCCTGAGGCGCTGCGAGCGGAGAATCGTGAACGATTCGATCTCAACAAGGCCCCTTTGTCCAGCAACATGATTGCTCTCGTGTGTAGCGCGGTGAGTAACCAAGTGGTCTGCAGAATGCTCCGTGAATGTCTGATTTATATGTTGTCAGATACTGGTGACTCTGGAGGAGGCCCTCAAAGGCAACATCACCATCAACTTCGACGAGAAGACATACGCTCCGGAGTGTGTCCAGCCCGCCATCAGTTCAAACATTCAAACTTGATACTGATGCTTTTATCTGCAGGCACGATCGCTTCAAAGCTGGCATTGACATGCTTCGACGGTACGGTGATCCCAAGAATCCCAATTTCAACGAGGGGATTAGCCAGTTGGTCAAATCCATGAACAACTCTCTGGTCAACGGCATACGGTATACCCAATACCTTTATTCAAATATCTGAATTACTGAAGGATTCCCTGGTCAGAACTGTTGCCAGGATCGCTGAGCCGGAAGTCGTGCAGGCCTCAGAAGGACCGCGCCCCAGTGTCAACCTCAACCTCGACATGGATCTTCTGGCCTCTCGCTGGCTGAAGAATGCGGGCGCGTCATCTGAGAACACCAGTGAGGAGGCCGGCCCATCCTCGAGCACCCAGAGGGGACCACCAGCGTGAGGATGTTGGAGAGGACGCATGGGTGGCATACTCAGAGGTGTGCACCATGGCATTGTTTGCCATTGACTCTGCTCAACTAGCATCAACAGGCGGTGTAAGACTAAGCTGATGGCCACGACCTTGCTGGTTGGCGGTAAATATTTTATCTGGGCGGCCATTCTCCTCGACTCATACGTTGTCTTGTCTGTATCCTTGGGCGCGCCCCTGTCTCAGTTTGTATCGTTGACATAATCATCTCCCCAGCCACAATACCTCTTCTGTACGCTCAGCTGCGGGTTCTGTTGTTGTATCACGAATGTACGATGCCGAATATGATGATTTACAATCGCTGGGATCCCCTTTAAGTGCCTCTGAAGACCTTTATAAGCTCTAAGAAACAGTGCTACAAAATGGGTACCGACAGAAACATCTCTCAATTAGTCGGAACGTACTCTGGAGCAAATGAGAGCACAGACAAGCGGCCATAGAATAAGCCCCCACGATTTTTGGGCGCCTATTGGAACCCTCACAAGCGCTTTGCACGTCTCATCAGTAATTCTGCTAGCTTTCTGGTGAGGCGCTAATCTTCCAATTAAGGGACTTACTTTAGAAAGTAGTTGGGCTTGCTCCGCTTAATCCATGAGCATTTTGTTTCTTGGTGACACTTTTGCCACTCTCAGAGTATCTCAGAGTGCTTTGGCAAATGGGCGGTTTTTCCTGATGCCTGTGCTCCGGTTCGACACTTCCAATATGCTACGTCCGCTCTTCTTCCACTCGAAGAACTGGTCTTTTTCCTCGATGATCGACGTGTGCTCCGGTTGTCCTGGGATGGCACCGTACCTGAAGAGGAGGTCGGAGTTCAGTATGTGAACCCAACCACAGTTGAATTAGGCGGTACTCACCGTCCGGGAGGCTTGAATGCTCCTGTGAGGTGGCGACGGCACCTGGAGCGAGTGGTGCCGCCTGAGTCTCAGCGGTCGTGTTGCAAGCATCAACAGCCATATCGCTCATATCCATGCTGCTCTCTGCTGTACGGTAAGTATGCAGATACAACAACCACAACCTGTGCCTCACCATCAGGGCATACGGGTGACTGGATGTCCCCATCAGAGCCAGCGATGCCCAGCTCTCTCGTAACGGCATTGCCTTGAGCAGTGTTGCGGTCAGTGTACGTGATAATGCCTGAGCATGTGGTGAGTCCAAATACTTCAGCTGAAGACTGGATACGCACCTTCCGGCTCGATTGGCGCGCTGATAGATGGTAAAGGAAACTCAACTACGCAATCCTGAAGACGAGAACGAGTGGTTTGAAGGGATGTTGGTAGCGTCGGAAAGCTCATAAGAAGTGCTAGCAAGTCCGAAATTTCTGTTTGTGATAAGGATATGAGCACGTCGCGGTCGTCAGAGCTGCCAGCGTCCATGGTAAAGTGAGAAGTGTTAAGCGCTGAAGCTCTCGGGCCCGAGAAGTCTCAGAAAGCTCTCTGAACGGTTTTATGGAGCATTCCCAAGCGCATCAGGAAGAGAGTAGAGTACACAGATATTGAACGTATTTCACTAGATGTCCTTGGCGTACGATACTACTCACAGTGGCGCCCGCCCTCTTACTTTCGCCCGGCCCGTTTACCCTGCGCCTTCGCATTCCCCGCCCCCTTCACTTTTGTATTCGTGCTCGTATTCGCACTCGCCTTGGCCGTGTGCCTGGGCCGAACGCGTTTTCCCTGGGCCTTGGCCTGCTCCTTGTTCCTGGCGTGCTTCTCCTTCATTTGCTCTTCCAAGACGGCCTTGCGCATGCGCTTGCGGCATCCCGACAGAGCGTACGACAAGGCGTTCGCGGGGAGGCGGTCGGTAAACACGTCGAAAGCGGAGGAGAAGTTGTGCTGCATGTGCAGCACCATGTCGGCGGCGGGGGTCCCCGGGTCAAGACTCGGCAAGGTCGTCGAGTAACCCTGTAGGTCCTCTTTGGCGATAGTCAAGAGGACCTTATTGCCGGGTTCCTTGATACCGCGAAAGCGGTGTAAAGCGGCCCTTTGTTGAACATCGCCCTCCCGGTCGTTCACAGCGGCCAGAAGGTTGTACATGAGCACGAACAACCTAGATAGGTGCTCTTTGATGCGACGCACGGCATCGGGTGGGCTGAGTTGTGGGCTCACGATGGGCATCAGGTCGGTGGACTCCTTGTCCAGACGAATCTCCTGCCGGCTTACATGGTTAGTACTGTAGCATAGATTATGATTTACTTACCATGAATACAAACTCCGTGAGGATCCTCGTGAGATCCCACTGCTCATCCACGGCCTGGCGAAACTTGTGATACTCCGGGGGGAGTATGACAAGCACATACCCGCGGGTTGCCCCGTGAACGGCAATCGATTTAACGGCGATGGGGGGCATGACGTGGTTTGGCCAGCACTTGACCATTGGGGTGAGCGCATCTCGAGGTCGCTGCCCAAGAGGGGCGTTGATGCCTTGTCTTGAGGCGCGTCCCCTGCTCGGAGGCGCGCCCAGGAGCTCCCATTTTCCCCAATCTTCATCGGCACTCCCGTCCGCATTCGACCTCTCCTCATCGGTGACGTTCCCTGCTGCATCCATCCACGCTTTGGGCACTCTGACGGGTACCTTGCCGCCGCTATTGGCACGGGTTTCCCGCATCAGCAGGATGAAGATCCCGCATGCCGCGATCAGCTGGCGATCACACATGTCCGCCAACTGATGCACCTCAGTCCCATACAAGTCATCCGCATAGACAAGTGAGTGCTTACCTTGGCCATGATGTCCTTAGGACTCTGGGATACTCCGCATTCCGTTTGACAGAGCGCATGCGAAGTATAGCCGAAATCTACGAGGAACGACGCATCCGGCACCACCGCCGGATGTGCACCTATGCCGGTAACGACACTTGCAATGTCGTAGCCAAATACGTCCGCTATCTCCGAGAACGGGCGGTCCATGAGCCTCCGCCATAGGTTCTCGATGGCATCGTGCATCCAACTCGGTGGAGCGTGCTGGGCAGGCGCCATGAATGCTGTGGACGGATTCAGTGAGAGTTTGGTCCGAGAAGAGATCTGCGGCACCGCACCGTCGGACCTTGTGTGGGAGAGTCACTGACGGCACAGTTTGACTTCTTGGGGAACTCACCTGAGATCCTTCTTGCTTCCTACCTTCTCTCTCAATTACTTCCCACAGCGCCGCATTCAAGCTGCACGCGCGTGCACATCGGGCGTTAAGATCAGGTGTTGAAGCGCGCGTCAAAGTCACCAAATAACGTATTGCGAAATTCTGCCATATGGTACACAGGGAACAGCATGATAGAGACTAGGGGACCTCGTCAGACGAACAAGTTGTTGCGGTACTCGCCCTTGTCACAATAGGGAAGGGATCCCTTCAGAAGGAAGCCCCTACCTTGACCTTCTCGCTGACAAACGATCGCCGCCAACTTGTGGTACAGAACGCGCTGCAACCACCGAATGGCCTTGTCCCCTGAGCCCTCGCAAACCTCTCCCAGCAAGTCCTTGTCCACGTATCGGTCGTGACTGACGCCCTTCAACTCGTCGGGGTCCGTGCGACTGTGGCCGTCTTGCCGCAACGGCCCGATGGGGGAGGGCTCGGCGATCCTCATAGCGTGTGCGTAGATGATGTCTGTGAGGCGCCCTTCTAAGAATCGATTGCCGTCAGGAGGGGCTGTCTGAGGAGGAATTCCACGTCGGAGCAGTCGCTGTGATGTTGTTTATTGATAATTAGATACATCACAATATATTTGGGACGTTGACTCACCATGAACCTCGGCCCCTGGGTCTCCCAGTCCTCCAAGCTCCCCGCGCCTCGCACACACTCCTGAAAATCGATGAACTCGTTGACCTGGTACATGGCCAGACACGCCTCCATCCCCACTGGCCCACCACCCGGCGGTGAACGACCGCCACAGTAGAGGACTTGATCGGGCGTCATCGCATCCGCTGGGCCAGCCAGAGCGACGACGAAGCCTTGCAGGGCATTCATTGAGGGCAAAGCAGCCGCTATCTGCTTGCAGCATGAGATGATGTCTGAATAAGTAAGAAAAGATACTAACATACCTTTCGCGTCTGATAGAGGAATTCCGCCCGTGTGTGGGTCACAAGCGCGAAGAAGATCTCTTGGCCTGTTCCCGGAACCAAGTTCATATCCTTCACGATTGAGCTGTGGCGCAGGGAGAACTGTACTTCTGGCGTCTTGATCACCATCTTGTAGGCGACGCACGGCCGCGCGTCCGAGAACGTGACAATGGTCTCGCGAAACTTCGAGGCCATGTCTGTGAGGAAGTCGAACGTGAAGTCCTCACTGAACGTTGGCGTTTGAGCGACGAGTTTGCCTTCTTGCGGCCAGTAGTCGATGCTGAAGCGCATAAGCTTTGTGGCTCGTGGTGCGAACGGTATTCTATGGTACTCACTTGATGGTTCGCAGGAATGCAACGTACTTCGCTAATTCCCCTCTCACATCCCACTCCCAACTCTCCTCCAGCTTGCTCTGCAATCCCCAGAATTCCTGTTCCTCGATGTCGAAGATCTCCTGATATGTAGAGAACATTAATACGAATCCTCTCCGGCAGTTCGCAAGACCTTACCTGCAAAATGAATCCATCGCGTCCAGCTTCCACCCACTTCCGCCACAGCGTCCAAATCTCTTCGAAGAAACGCGACGTAAGCTGGTGATCTTCCTCAGAGGGGCAAGTCCGGGGCAAGAGAGCCATGAACGGGTTGGTCTGCTCTTTGATGCGCGACGGGTCCTCCGGTTGATCTAGCAGCTTCACTGCGACAGGCATAGACGAGCGCACACGCTCACTGAATGAATTCCCGGGCGAATAGTGGGTCGCGATGCTAGGGGGCGCAGAGTCTTCGGTAGGGGTTGCGGGTGGCGCGGACTCCTGGTCGCTGTCCGAGAGTTCGACGTCGGAACCATGACCGCCGTCCAGACTGTGAGTTGAGGACGTATCGGTCCTTCCCGTGTCAACGGAGCTGATTGAGAGGTAGCGATTCAACGGCATGGCGTAGTATCAAGAGGTAATAACGGCCGGGCAGTGCCTTCGTAAGCTACCGTTGCATGTGAATTGGAAAACAAGCCACAACTTCACCGTTTGCTCACCTACACTGAACTGAACTTCGCTCCCCACTTGACTGGGTCTATTTTCCACGACTGGCGGTTGCAGACTTATGAGACATCACTTACAACTGTAAACCTACCGCATCACATATTTTGTAACACGCACTTTACGAATGCCCTGACCCGGCGAGGCGGGAATCGAAGGGATCTTGCCTAAAACGGACATCGGCAACGCGCCTGCCAAAATCCATTTTAGGACAGCTAAGCGCCAGTAAGTACATCCACCTTGTATGAATGAAAACGACGATTTCACTCACAAGCTTGGTTCGACGTAGATGCGGACGTGCCGTAGTGATGAATATCAAACGGCGGACACATTGTACCGCAACTAGAATTATAAAACCCCTCAGCATAAGTACGGTGTAGATGACTGTACAGAATGGCCACGCACTTATGAGGATAATCTGAAACATTGTGAGTATTGACACCAGTTCTACAGCGCACTCACAGACACTTAACCCAAGGATACCAGATGGTGAGAGCAGAGAGTGAAGATACGCGGATGCGTGTGAGAGACTGAACGTTGCAAGCGATCAACTTTACCTCATAAGAAATTGAGTTGACGCGCGTAGGCGCGGGACACCGTTCACAGAAGTTCCCAAGCCGTCAAAGCGCTTTCAAGCTGGTACGACCCACCATTTCGCTATCCCCAGTTGCTGTCCCCAGTCAACTACTGCAGGTGAGAATACCTCATTTTTTGACGACTCTATGGACGCGCTAATGGAATTTTCAGTGCTATATTTTGCGATGAGGGGCAGAGCATCTGGGTTGCCATACGTCCGTCCCGGTGACGCAGATGACCGCACATGTCCGGCTTGCGACAAGGTGCTCAAGACGCCTCAAGGTCTTGCAGCGCACCTGTCAAGTGCGCGATCGTGTAAGTGGTATAATAAAGGAAAAAATCGAGAGCTCGGTGAGATAGCGGTTGCGGAAATTGTCGAGGAAGTTGCGGCCAGAGAAGACGAGGAGGACGGTACCTGGGACGACTTTCGCGACGTGTTGGAAAATAGGGATCTCTTCAGGTTCGACCTTCCTGTGCCTGTGGATAACTCCAGCATTGGCAACCAGAATGAAGCATCATCCTCTTCGTCTGCCCCACGTCCGGCTCCCCCGCCTTTACGTGTTCCAACCGTGCCTGCTCTGGACGACGACGAGGATACTAGAGTCGAAGAAGAGGACCCTCTGGCCGGGAGAGTCATACGCATGGAGCCGACCATCGTGGAAACATGGAGGGCGTATTTCGCAGAAGAGGATGAGGACGAGCCGATGGACGTGGACAATGCAGATGGGCCGGAGGCGGACGAGAGAATGGACGTGGATGATGAAGACAGGCCCCCAAACGAGTGTGACGGTAACGCAGTATGGAGACCATTTGCGTCTGAGCTCGACTGGCGCGTGGCTAAGTGGATAATCAGCGAGGATGTAGGGCAGAAGTCCTTGAACAGATTCTTGAGCATACCTGGGGTGAGTGGTTTTATACTTCTAAACTGGTACTATCTGACACTGATGCACGCCTCACAGGTAGTTGAGAAGCTTGGGCTCACCTTCAAAGATGTTCGGGAGCTCTTCATGAAGGTCGACGGTATTCCCGACCGGGCATCATGGAACACCTCCTCCCTTACATTCCCCGACAGACCTGATGAGGCCCACCTCGTTCGTTACCGCGACATACTGGAGGCAATAAAGGCCCTCCTCGGCAACCCTTCATATGCGAAGCACATTGTGTATCGCCCGAGACGAGTGTTCGCCGACAGGTCCCGGACAAAACGGATCTTCACGGAAATGTGGACGGGCTTGTGGTGGAACGCAGTACAGGTTCGTCCGCTTTACAGATTAGAACTTGGTACGCGTAATTAAAAATGTGTCCTAGGAACTGCTGCCCGAGGGTGCGGCTGTTGCGCCCGTGATCATATCTACGGACAAAACGCAGCTGACCCAGTTCTCGGGAAACAAGTCAGCATATCCTGTTTACCTCACCCTCGGCAACATCCCTCGTGCCATTCGCCGCAAGCCCTCTCAACATGCGTGTATTCTACTAGGATACCTTCCGGTGTCAAAAATCGACAAGGAGAAGATCACGAAACGCGAGCGGAAGTCGAGGGCGCAAAGGCTCTTCCACGCCGCAATGCGCGTCATCCTCAAACCGCTTATGCAAGCCGGTGTGGATGGCATGGAGGTCACTGGAGGCGACGGTTGTGTACGGCGCGTCCATCCCATTCTTGCGGCATACGTCGCCGACTTCCCAGAGCAGTGCCTTGTGACTTGCTCAAAGTACGGGACGTGCCCCAAATGCGATTGTCCCGCCGACAAACTGGGGGACCCCGTACCGGCCCAGCCTCGTACATCGGAAAGGACTGCGCAAGTCATCTCAGAAGCCTTCAGGACGAGCCGTAACGCTGCAGCTGCTGATGCGAGCTGCATGGAGCAGGACATCAGCGGTAACGTGAAAAAGCCGTTCTGGGCTGACTTGCCCTATACCGACATTCACCTCTCTATCACTCCAGACGTTCTGCATCAACTCTACCAGGGCGTTTTCAAGCACGTCCTATCATGGTGCCAAGATTTGCTGGGACCAAAGGAGCTGGATCGTCGTCTTCGCTGCCTTCCGCCGGCATTCGGCATACGTCACTTCAAACACGGCATATCGTCGCTCGCCCAGGTATCCGGTAAAGAGCGGAAGGAGATGGCCCGCATCCTGCTGGGCTGTCTCATAGGCAAGATCCCTAAGGCCGTCATGCTGGCTTTCCGCTCGCTGCTGGATTTCATTTATCTAGCTCAATATCCCACTCACGACGATACTACGCTACGGTACATGGAAGACGCATTGAAGACATTCCACCAACACAAGCACGTCCTCATCACCCTCGAGATCCGCGACCACCTGAACATTCCCAAACTACACTCCCTTCTCCACTACGTCAGTTCTATCCGTCAGTTCGGCACCACTGACAATTACAATACAGAAATGTTCGAGCGCCTCCACATTGACTTTGCGAAGAAAGCGTGGCGCGCCTCGAATCACCGAGATGAATTCCCTCAAATGATGAGGTGGATCTCGCGGCGGGAGAAGATGGCGCTGTATGAAGCGTTCCAGAAGGAGCGTTTGGCGGAGCTGGATGGCGACGGTTCAGACGACCCTGAAGAAGGTGGAGATGGCCCATCCACGGATACTATCACAGAGGCGGGCGCAGGTCGAGAAGAGGTTGTCAATGTTGGGAATACCATCAAGATCGCCAAGTACCCTCCGGCGCCGCAGCGGGATCCTGGCCGGGTCCAAGAGCAACACAACGCTCCCGGATTCACGACGGCCTTGGCCCATTACCTGAATGACCTTCAACCGCCAGAACTTCGTCTCACGCGCCGCGAGCTCTCTCGAACGTGGCTGCCCATCGACCGGGTGGACGTTTATCACAAGTTTCAGTTCACGCCTTGTGAGTTGTCGGATGGGAAGGTTGAGGTCGACGTGGTGAAGGCGATTCCTGGGTCCTCCGCGAAGGGGAGAAAGAGTCGGTTCGACACCGTCATTCTGCTTGACAATGACGAGGCGGAATCGACTGGTGTCAGAGGTATGTGGAATTCTGTGTTTTACTAAGATGAACAACCAGCTCACTACAAACACAGGCACAAGGGCAGCCAGAGTCAAGGTGGTCTTCAAATTACCCCAGACTCTACCAGTATCGCGCGGAGGTGGAGGCGCGCCCGCATGGTGGCCGCAAGAGCCCCTCGCATACGTGGAATGGTATGCTCGATTTTCCCGGGCCCCGGATCCTACGCACCTCATGTACTCCGTGAGCAAGCCACCTCCAAGATCAGATGGTATGCCTCAAGGGAAAATCATCCCTTTATCTCAAATTCGTCAGTCCTGTCAGCTCATCCCTACGTTTCCCGTTGGGTCGCAAAGTATTGTTCCGGGAGACTGGACCTCTGACAATGTATTGGACAAGGCCAATAGCTTTCACGTTAATAATTGGGGCAGTATGTACGCGTACCAGACAGTATGGTAGGGCAATGGTAAACGAATTTTATATTCAAACAGGGCGAGCACACAAGCAGCGCGTTGCGAAATACTGAGCGCTTCAAGAGCTCTCAAAGCGTTCAGAGAGCCGTGTGAGCAGTTGTGAGCGCTAAAGCGCCAACTCAACTTCTCACGCAGCCACGCTGTGGCTTTTGCTCACTACAACGACTCTTCCAACGCTCAACTCTACCCTCGATTGCTCGTTTCCTCTGTCAAGATGCCGGTCTACGATCCCCGTGTCCTCCACCTTCTCTCGCGTGTCCTGCCAACGTTGATAGTGCCGTCCGCAACTCGGCCCCGTGCGACCGCTCAACCCGCCAGATCTACCGCAGCACCATCGTCTGTCTGGAGCGTAAGAGGCTTGGAGAACTGTTTGATTATGTGAGTGCGATGCATTCGTCTGTCATCCGTTCTTTTTGCGACGTCTATCACCCAGTGTATGGTGCACGACACCTCGGTCTGCCCTGCAACGCTATCGGCGGTGCAGATAGACGACAACACGCTGCTGTACGTCCGCAGCCTAATGGACATTCTTGATCCACCCGCTAGGCTGGGCGGATGGATTCTGCTCGGGTTCATGGAGGAGTGGTTGCGGGATCCTCGGAACACGCCTGACGAGGTGGTACCGAGGCCGATGGTTCCTCACGGCGCGCCGGGGCGGAGGATGATTGTACCTATGAAGGTCATAGTGGAGACGCTGGTCTATACCTTGGTGAGTGCTAATAAGTGTTCTGAATGCTGGGCAACCGCTTACAAGGCTCAGGATGCATACCCCCCTATGGTGTTGCCCCTTGTGTGGGACTTGTACAACGGGGAGATTGAGCTTTCCTTCAACCAGCCGATCGCCATGCAGGTGATCGGTGCGTACAACAAGTACAAGAAGAATCATTTCCGGAAACTTGCGACATTCGAACTCTTCGACGTCAAACTGGGGAAGTTCCGTCCTGCGTCCGTACACCGCGCTCCCGGCTCCACCTCCTTCCGTCTGCCGCTCCCCCTCACCTACATCCCCGTCTTCAAGGACTCAACCCTCACCATCGTCGAGGACGCCGCCGAGCACTCACTCGGCATTCAACCCTTGAAGCCCATGTGTTCGATGAAGAGGAACATCATGGACCTCGAGTTCCTGTGGCCGGTGGACATGCCGCAGCGCCGTCAGCTCATACGCGCTGATTGGCATGTCGAGGGGCAGTGGTGGGGCTCGCAACGTCGGCTCGCGGCCGTGCGTCCGGTGCTGGGCGAGGTGGGCTGTACGGTGGAGGAAGTGAAGTGGGATGGGGAGGAGGACGTAGAGTAGGTGTTAGTATCAGGTAATGGGGATGCCGGTGTATGCGGTACTACGGAATATGGGGGGTCACTGAGAGGGCTGCGAATTGATCATGTACTATTAGTTAGTCCGGTTTGAATGATACTCAATGTGTACTTGCAAAGGCTGCTGTCAGACTGCCGCTCAGATCTTGCGCCATTCAGCCAGGACATTAGAAAGTGAGTCAATGAAATATATTGAGAATCATATCAACTGATCACTACTGAGGCTTGTCAGGTGCGTAGATGTTGAATTTGAACTTGTGGGCCTGAGTTGCGTGCGTACGCACCCGCTGGAGTCGTCTTCAAGTTCGCTATGCTCATGCTCATTGGGTACTAATAGAACAAATCTGGAACACGGACTGGACGTACCAGACCGCCCGGCAGGGTAGGAGCAGCTTCCCGCCGTTGGCGGCACAGAGTACGTGCCAAGTACTAGTTCAATCGGTTGGTAGAGAGGAGGCGCGACGCGTGGTGCTGAAAGCGAGTAGTAAACCGGTCGGGGCAAGAGTGCGAAAGGGCGTTCAAGTTGGTACGGCAGGAAGTAGGTAGTACATCTGCCGGGATTGGCTACGGGGGTCGAGGTAAAAAACATTGCACCCACCTTACTTGCTGGCCCTGCTGGCCACAATCCCCGTTCCTACCTACGTGTTAATCCCAGTGACTCCAATGTAATAGTCCAGCAATTCTCTGGGTTTATTTGACAAGCTTTTGAGTCCGATGGGTCTGTACCAGCATGAACCAGCAATTAAAGGCAGGAATGCAAGGATCACTCTCAAGAGTATTCACGTCATAAAATAGGTTAAGACATATGACTACTACTTGAGACCACATCCGCTTTGTCAATACCGCGCAGAAATTACTTTGAGAGCTTTTGGAGCCTTCGAAGGCTTGGCGGGCACTATGGGAAATCTCCAATTGCTTGGGCGGCAAAGGTGTTTTTCCTGATGTGAGCACCGTGAAATATTCGATATCAACAAGGTTCCTCTGTCGAGCAACATGATTGCTCTTGTGTGCAGCGCGGTGAGTAACCAAGTGCTCTACAGAATGCACGGTGAATATCTGATCTATATGTTGTCAGATACTGGTGACTCTGGAGGAGGCCCTCAAGGGTAACATCACCATCAACTTCGACGAGAAGACATACGCGCCGGAGTGTGTTGGGCCTGGCGTTGCTTCAATTTTCCAAAGTTGATATTGATGATTTTATCTGCAGGCACGACCGCTTCAGAGCCGGTATCGACATGCTTCGCCGGTTTGCTGATCCGAAGAATCCCAGTTTCAACAAGGGGATTAGCGAGTTAGTCAAATCCATGAACAACTCTCTGGTCAACTGCATACGGTAAGCTCAATAAGTTCGTCCAAATACTTGAACTACTGAAGGGGTCCGTGGGTCAGAACTGTTGCGAGGATCGCGGAGCCTGAACTCGAGGTGACCGACTCGGAAGGACAGCGCGCCACTATTAACCTCAACCTCGACATGGATCGTCTGTCCTCTCGGTGGATGAAAACCGCGGGCCTGTCGTCTGAGAACACTGGTGGAGAGGCCGGCCCGTCGTCGAGCACCCAGAGCCAGCCATCAGCATGAGGATGATGGAAGAGGAGGCATGGACAGCACACTCAGAGGTGCGCATGATACTAGGTTGGTCTGCTATTGACTCAGCTCAAGGCAGCATCATCAACAGGTGGTGTAAGACTACGCTGATGTCCCGACCTCGCTGGTCGGCCGTAAATATTTCATCTTCGCGGCCATTCTGGTCGTCTCATACCTTGCCCTTGTCGCCGCCCCCACGTCTCCATTTGTATCGTTGACAGCCATCCCTCCAGCCACAATACCTCTCTTCTGTACGCTCAGCAGCTGGATGTGTTCTATTGTTGTATCATGACTGTACAATGCCGAATACGATTTTTACGATCACTGTCATCCCCTCTGAGTGCATCTGAAGGCATTAATAAGCATCTTAGAGAACTAGTAACCGGTTGTTAATATTTGAAAGCACTCTCAACGGCTAGAGAGTAGTCACAAATGCTCCTAAGACGAGCTCCTCGGTTTCTGGGCGTCTAATTGGAATTCTTACAAGTGCTTCCATTATCTCATTGGTGATTTCAAGTGCTTCTTTTCCGTGCATCAATCTCCCAATTAGCGAACTTGTGTTGGAAAGTGGTTGAGTTTGCTCCGCGCACTCGAGGCCAATTGGGACTCTTGTAAACACTTTTTATGCTCGTCAAAACTATGAAAGTGCTTTGGGAAATAGGCGGTTTTCCCTGATGTAAGGTTCGCGGTCGTAAGATGGGTCTGCAAGGATAAGAAAAGCAGTAAAGAGTATTTTGATAAAGATGAGGGCATGCAGAAGTAGCTGTTTGCGTCGTTGCTGCCAGTTCTCTTCAATATTGCGGCTGTGGTTGGGCATTTTGTGTGTACAGACGAGCACTGGCTCGATTTCGGGCGTGACGGAGCCATATTTGGCTTTATTTGTTTTTCAGGCGCCCCGAGGTGAGCCCGAGGTGAGGAAACACGGCGAGGAAACGGTTTCCGCGCTACCGAACAGGGCCTGAGGCATTGACAAACTCTCGCGCGCCCGAAAGAGTGCGTGCATCCTGCGGTCTGTCGATCTCTGCATTGACATGGACAGCTGACACGGCATCATGGGAATGCAGCACTCGGCGTTGTGCGCGCGGAGATGGGCAACAAGCTTGTGAACGTGGCTACGACGGAGGCGAGCGGAGGCGCCGCCGAGTGCAGAAGCGCGCCCGGGCCGACGAGAACCGCATCCTTCTCCTCGTCCGTCTTGCCGCCGTCCTCACCTCGTTCTCGTTTTTGTTCGTCCCTCTCACTCACCGACCATCTGCCTGTGACGATCAATGCCATCGGCCATCCCTTGAAGCTGACGGTCGTACGCGTCACCGTACTGTGCCTCTGCAGGTTGTCTTGCGACATGCAAAGGTGCGACTCGAATACCCTATGCCTAGCTCTGACCCACGTCTGATATACATTGCGCAGATCTGTGTCCGTGCTGGCCGCTATCCCAAGTCCGCGCGCGTATTCTCGACCCCCGCCTCATGAAACCCTCCTCTGTTCTCCAGCTGAGTGCAGGCCGTTATGAAAGACTTGCAATGCCACAATCCGGCAGCGCTCGCATACACCCGCAGGTTGCACTTGTGGAGACCACTGACACGAAGGGAGGGCAATCAGGGTCGACCTGGTGAATCTCGAGCTATGTTCTACTTTTACCGCGGCCTTTCTCGAGCTTTGTGGGGTTTAAGCACCCTGCAAACACTTTCTGTGAGCACACTTATCATTTATTTCAGGTTTCCAGTCGCATCTACCCTCGCAAATCAAGACTCCGAGGGCGCGAGCCTATCCGTCAGCGCCGGCCACTCTGAGCATAATCCTGATGGTCACGGTCACTTCGTGAGTTGTGGCCAAGCCACTTCTCCCTTCCACGTACCGTCACACTTAGCAGTATCTCCTAGATCGTCCCTTGTACATGCAGCATGGCTTGGTGTCTGCGGAGCTATGTACGCCTCTCCAGAAATGCGCTATGCTCCTCGGACCGAAGGATGAGTACTCCTCCTACTTTCTCCTTTTCAACCCCCCTCGTCTCGAGCGACATGTATGCGGTCGTCTACCACGACGCTGCGGCTTTTCTCAGAGACTGTAGTCTTTTCGTCTACCTCAACCTCTCGTTTCGCCTACGTCCCGTGTCCTTGTCGATAATATCCATTTTCGTATTCGCATTTCACGCAAATACCAGGTGTTTGGAGTATCCGCGTCCACTCGTTCATCGCAGCACGAGCAACGCGATGGTGACGTGGCTGAAAGCTTGTGTACCATATCTTCGGATCCTCGGTAGGCCTTGTCTACGACATGCACTGTGCGTTCACGCTACCCTCTGTGAGTGCACGTGGCTCTTCTCAAGCTCAAACCTTACAGGTGTGTGTTCGCTCTATTCTGTGAGTAGTACTGAGGGTGTCGCTGCGGGCGTGACCACTCAGCATGAGCGAACGTGTCCCTCTGACTCGGCGGTCGGGATGTTGTGCCCTACTCCCTACTGTGTATATAGGCTACCCAGGATGCCCACCGTGCACACGTCTCGCAAGGTCGTCGTAGGTCGACATACGCCTCAAGAGCGTCAGACAAGTCTCACGGTGTAAGTTGTAGTTGTGCCAAGCTTGGCGTGAAGCTGAAAAGCTGATGTATTGCGCAGGGCATGATCATTGTGATCGAACGTGTATGCATCACTCTCGATGATCCAGAGGGCCCTGGGTATCTTTCTATCTGAAATCCGAAGCTCGCATCTGAAGAGACTCACAATTCGCATGCACCTGGAAAAGTCTGAGACGTCTGAAGATACGTATGACTCGGTGACCTCAGTCAGCAAGACAGACTCGGACCCTCCCAGCTCCACCTCCACTGCTCCACCTCCACTTTCCACGCTATACTGTCTCGTAGCGTATTTGACCAGCTTCTACCCGTCTCTGGCGTTCCAATGTACTACGACGACGGTGCATACATCAATATCTTCGGGGATGCCATTCAAATCGCCACAATGCTTGCGATCAAGTCGAGCATGATCACTCTGTTCGCGCCGTGGCTAGATCGCGTAGTCGTACAGTTTGAATTCCATCCCGATCCTGTCGGTGAATGTGTGGTCACTTGTGATTCATCGTCGGTACACTCAGTACTTGGTGAGTGTCCTGACTCCGTCGTCCGCAAGGGCGCAGCCGAGGTCACCTGCTCATGATCAGTGCGCTCATCCGCTCGACTAGGGACACGTTCCGGTACGAAGTATTACTGACTCGGAGGCTAGTGGCTGCGAAGAAGGCGCGTGCAACGCTAGTGGGACGGACGAAAAGCATATTCCGCGGAAGAGATAAGTAACATGCTCAGATATGCGGCGCTGACTACGGACGCATCACGTCGTATGTCTGCCCAATTCGTGATATATCGGACTGCAGTTAACTGAATCGGATTACAGCCTGAGAGCCTACTACAAGTTCGATATTCCGCGTTGTCGGAGAGAAGACGTGCATGCGACGACAAACCCACACACAACACGCGCTCGTCCTGATGCAGGGAGGTCGGGTGGTCGAGATGGACGTAGGGCTCGGTGAAGGACGACGGAGGTGGTCTGTATAACGTAGTTAGGCCGCCGAGACTAATGAAACTCTTACACGTATCGAAACGCGACTCGACGCGCTCTCCTCGACTTGCTACTCGACTAGTTTTGCACCCGCGACCGCTGTGTCGCGTCTAAATGCCGGAGTCGGATCACGAGACGAGAGAGAACTGGGGAGAGGGAATTCGATAGAGAGCAGGGCGGCGCGGCCCAGTACTAATACACACGAGAGGAGTTCTAGAACCTTGGAAGCGCGAGAGGGATAAAAAAGTAGAAGAGAGGGAGAGAGACGTCGGCGAGCGAGAGATGGTTCGAAAGAAGCGCGAAGTGTGAGTGTTTGACGTATCGGGAAGGAATGATACCTAATAAGGAAAGTATTGTACAGCAGGCATATGGGCACCCTCCTGGGCGACAGACGTCCCTTGAGTCCCCTTCCAGCGTTGACTGACGAACCCTTGTCTCGGTACGTGATTGGCAGCTCGCACGCGGTGCTATTTACTAATCGTGACCTGGTCCCCCAGCAGGTGCGGCACTCGGCGTTGCGGCGCTCGTCTCGTCCTACTAGCGGGTCCGCGTCGCGGCCTTCCGGTTCGTCGCAGGCGCGCCGGTAGAGTCGAGAGTAACGTAGGGAATTGTAACGAAAAAGAAAAAGAAAGACGTGGGATGGGTTTCCCTTCCACAGCGTGCTGAGACCAGCGTCTGGAGCAGCTAATCCCACCCACCAGTGTCCGCCTCGCCTTACACAGCCGATCCGCGGGAGTACGTATGATATGTCGAAGAACGGGCCTGCAGGTTTCGGAAATGACGGATATGGCATGCGGGAGAGGAGGGATGAGAGGTTACAGTCGTTTGCATAATGGTTGTCGCATGCGCGCGACGAGAATCTTGTTTGGACCTCTTTGGACCGGCCAAATAGTGACTTGTGACATTACCTATTCGAGTAGTTTGGTGCGATCTTCATCGCGTACGCTCACCATGCCTGCTCCTACTACCCAAGAACTGCGTAGATGCATACATGTTTGTTATTATGGATACCACCTTTCTGTCAGGGATAAAATGCACCTGTCTCGGCAATCTGTTTGGACGGTCCAGCGCATCCTCTTTCTCAGACTCCACTCCTGCTTCGGCGAGCCGGTGATATCTGTTTACACTCCCCTCTGGACGCAAACGAGTCCTCCTCCATAGTGACCTTGCAGAGTGTGGTAATCTATGATACAAAAGGTAGAAGCATCAGGAAAGTGGCACTCGTGCCTAATCCGCCTCATTGAGGCATTTAGGCACTTAGGCGGGTTTAGACACAGTGCCTAATTTGAGTAGATTCATTTCTCATTGAGACAGCTATTAGGCCGTTAGGCAGTAAGACGACGAGGCAGCGAGGCAACTGTTAGACCGATGGGACTATGCACACGCAATCGCAATTCATACAAAACTCGTTGCAAAGATATATTGAACCACCATAGCTACTGTACTAATGTACATGTTTTCCGACAGCGTACTTCCCAAGCACCCTTCCATCGTCTCGAATAGGAGTGTAGCCTAATACAGAACCACCACACTACGAGTACGTATTTTGCACAGGTAAAGGCAGGTTTGCAGGCGAGCGGGGGTGAGGCAGACAGGTGGCAGAATGGGCGAGAAGGAGCATGGGCGGGAGCGAGGGAAAGCACGAGCTGGTGGGCAAGATAGAACATTGGCAAGAGGGAGCATTGACGGGGCAAGCGAGTGAGCGAGAGCGCAGATGGGCGAGCCGGCAGACGGGCAAAAGCGGGTAAGTGAGAGCAGGCAGGCAGGTGAGGACTTGCGGCTAGCAGGCGAGCAGGCATACAAGTGAGCGGGCAAGTTGACAGACGAGCAGGGTGGCAAGGGGCTGAGTTTGCGGGTGGGCAAGACAACGCAAACAGGGGCCAAGGGGCAAGAGCGAGTAACAAGCGCACTCGTGAGGATGCGAGCGTGGGCGGACAAGAACAGGCAAGCGAGCGGACGAATGAGGACGGGCAAGCGAGCGGGGGAACAAGTAGGCGGGTGCGTGAGCTAGCAGGCAAGTGCAAGGAGGCAGCAACAGGTATTGAGCTAGCAAAAGCGGGGCGGCAGCAAGAAGGCGACGGCGGGCGGCCGGGCCAATGAGAGGGAGAGGGTGGGCAGGCGAACAAGCTAGCGAGAGGGGAGTTGGCAAGAGAGCGGACAGGAGAGCGGACGGGCGAGTAGGCGGACAAGCTGGTGAGAAAGAGCGCAAGAGTGAGCGAGCACCCGCCCGCTTCACGACGAAGCATCCAGTACTGGCCTACGTATCATCCAGGCGGTTGCATGGGCTCTACACCAAGCCCGCGCGCAATCCTGAAACTGTCGACGCTGATGCGATGTACAGCTTCCTGTCTCGAAGCCTGCGTGGTCCGTGCGCGCCGCCTCGTCACGGGCACTCGGTGTCCCCGCCTCATCTGCGTGCACCCCGACGACATCCCCGCTTACGTTCTCTTCACCTACCTGTGCGCACAACCATATGCGCATGCCCTCGCCGCTGACAAGCATGCCCGGCGCGCTCTTCTCCGAGCCCGAGCCCAACGCGCAGGAGATGGCCGAGCTGGAGTGGCCGACGTGTGTGCGTGCATATCGCACCCCGATGCCGGAGCTCAACATCGCATTCACGCTGCGGCTCCGACCCGACCCGGGCTCGGCTTGGGAGGGGAGGGCGCATCGCTTGTCAGGTTCTTGATGGCGAGATTTGGATGGCTTGCGTGATTGTTGTTGATGGTAGGAACACGGGGTAGAGGGAGGGGCTGAGGGTGTTGATGGCGCGAAGGGTGAGAGCATACAGATGCGAGAGACTTTCTGGCGAGGAAGTAAATGAGGAGAAAAAACTGAGGATATACAGATTCATCGTACTCACCTGGTGGCCGATGAGGCGTCCTCGCATAGAGGCAGCCACATGCAATGCTGAGCGAAGCACAGAACATGATGTTGACGGTGAGGCGCACGACGGCAAGACGTGAGACGAGAGTGCCAGCGAGGCAGCTCAAAGCGCTCAATTTCGGAGTTTGGAATGTGTTTAGGGCAGACGTCAGCAGTCTTGGGCAAAGTCCCCGTTGTCTTCCTTCCTGTTGAATGACTTGCTACGGCACGGCCGACAACACACTCAAGAACGCAACTACTTGACACCACAGGGCTCCGAGAAGCGCTTGAACGGTATCCCCCAAGGACCAAGCATGACTCGAGGAAAACGAGCGCGGACGAAGGAGATACAAGGACGAGGGGCAGGAGCGATGGACGAAAGCCAAGCAAGGGTCAGAAAATGACGGTAAGCAAACTACAATGTACCTACTTCCGTTACTAGTCACCCTGCCCGACTAGGTGCATCGTCGAGCAATGGGCTCGCAGTAACTAGTGACCACGCGTCCGTCCGCGCATACGGCTTGTCCGCTCGCTTGCCCTCTTGCGCCCACACGTCCGCCCTCTCGTGCTCGCCCGTCCTCATCCACCCGCGTGTTCTTGCAGGCCCGCGCTCGTACGCAAGCCGTCCGTCGCACCCCGCTTGACACGCGATGACCCTGTACGCACTGTGCTACCCCCCGCTACTACACTACCTCCTTCTCGATATGTATGCGGGGCGGAGCTGTGCGCCGCGCCGACGCCCCGCCTCTGCTTCCTGCTGGCATCTCACGCCTGTCCACCCTCGTAGCCTTGCTCTGCCTGCACACAGCCGACGGCCTCTGCCCATGCCTCGTTGACCATCCTTCAATCAAGCACGACACCCGGTTCAGCACCACCGTCCCTGCTTGCGCCATCATCACGCGTGTCTCACGCATACTCGCGATATGAGTGCGACCCCGGCCTCGTCACTTCTCGCCTGCCACTGCCGTCCCAGCACCCCGTGTTTCGTCCGCGACAAGGACTCTCGGACGCCCCGGGTCGTCATCCACCCCTCAGCACCACTCCGCCGCACAACCTCGACAAGCCCCCGGTCAGCCAGTCCAGCTCGTCCTCCCTCGCCTACCGTGCTCCTTGCCCGACACTCGCATGCCCACTCGCCCGCCCGCTCACACACCCGCCCTTGGCTTCTCGCGCGCCCCCGCGCGGTTCATCTCTCCGCCCGACTTGCCCACTCGTTCGCTCGTACCTACTTATCCACCTGCCTGCGCTCGCCCTCCTGCTGGCTCGCATGTGCGCGCCCGCTCGCCCGTGGCTTCTCGCACGCGCGCCTGCTCTCGCCTGCCTGCTCTCACCCACCTACTCTCGCCCGCCCGCTCTCGTCCACCCGTTGCAGCCCACCGAGAACGCGGCGCACGGGACGCAGAAGGAAGAAGAGGAGAAGGGGAGGAAGCGAGAGGAGGGAGAAGGGCATGTGACGAGCAGAAAGAACGAGCACGAAGGCTCAACAAATGCAGGTACGCCCTCGCTGGCCGTCCTCGCCTCGCCGTCTCCATTCCCAGTGTCTGCGCCAGTAGGTGTATCGACGAACGCAAAGCTCGCCGTCTTTCTGGCCACAAAGACGGCACTTCCGCTTTCCGGGTGGACCTCACCGTCGTACCCGCTGCTACACACGGTAGCACGTCTGGCGCGCAAGGCTGCACGTCAGACGTGCCCGTTCTTTTGCTACTGCCGCGCCAGCAGGTGTACCAATGAGCGAGAAGCTCGTTGTGCGTTCTGCTGGCCATAAGAGCGGTGTTTCCGCCTTCCGGGACGACCTCACTGTCGTACCCGATGCTCACTATCGACGCCGCTGGCAAGCGGGCTCGAGACGCATTGACGGCGGATGCAATCACCGGTACGTGGCTAGGTCGACTCGTGGCTTCGCGAGTGCTGTACTCACTGATCACTGCTTGCAGACGCGTCGGCGGTCTTGTCGGGACGCAACTGGTATTCAATGTAGTATTCATAGTTGGTACTGTACAGTTATCATAATATACATATGCCACTAGCGACTCTACCGAGGCTGCTCGACCAACTGTGAAGCTCAGAAATCGTTAGACAATGAGGTAAATTAGACACCCGTGAGACACTTTAGGCGTGTTTAGGCGCATTAGGCACGGTGACGCTTTCCTGATGTAGGTTCGTCCATACGATTGTCGATTTCTATATATCGCGTCGCACTTCGCCGAGGAACCCTCCTGCGGATGTGTGTTTGTATCGAGCCGTACAATGGATGCAAGACCACGGTCACGCATTGCTGACGTGAAAGTCCACTATCAGCGACGCCAGCAATGTATTTGCGGTAACTCGTAGTACGGCATCGTGGATTGAGCCTTCTGTGGATCCGATGAGTGACTGAAAGTGCAATGACGAGCCACGAAGATCTTTACCATCAGCGAAATAACACCCAACCCAAGGTGACTTGAGTGCAGGTCCAGCGAGACGCAGGATCTCTGTAAGGTGTGGTCCAAGATTTGCAGATGGGACATCCTCCGCGGCATTGAGGTTTAGGTGCATGGTTTCCATTTGGCTACACGCTTGCGGGGTTGACCACAGCTTCAGAAGCTGGGATACCCACGACACCGGTACGAACCGGAGGTCGAAAGTCGACAGCGAGGGATTGGGTGCATGTGCGGTGTATAGGGCTATGTCTGCTGTCGATGCAGGCTCAAAATGGGAACTGAACGTAAACCGTAGCACCAATCTGGACAAATGGGAGAATTGACATAAAAACTGATGAAGGTGCGAAAACGAAGACTACCTTCTCTTCGAGAATAGGGATATCGCCACAAAAGTGCTCGCCGTTCTTTTATGGTATGCAACGGAGACTAGGATATCGCTGCCCAACATTGCATCGATAAGAAGCGCGCGGGATAGGACTGGAAGAACCGAGCGTTATCCATGGAACTATTGATGCTTCCTATCGATGCACGGTGTCTTCTGTGTTCAGGTTCTATCCCCAGTGATGCATGTGCATGAGGTCCGGGACACGATCGACGTCGATATTCGAAACGAGGCGTGAGACGCATCCGCGTCTCGCTCACCGAAGGAGGCCTTACCGCGCGGCGTACCATCCGACAGTCTGACTGTTATCAAGTTACAATTTGAGCGGCGAGCCTCGAACCACTGAAACACTTCAGTGCACTCACCAAACGCCCTTGATGAGAGGCCGAGAAGTCTTCATTCACATGGCGATAACAGGTCCAGCTGACTGTTCCATCAGCTCGCAGAGCCCAGACGGCCGGAACTTCATCAAGAGCTGAGTACAAGCAGATCGGCTTCTCGCGGCTTCAGCAATGTCCTGTACAGTCTTGCTCAACTTAATTCATTCCTGTAGCAATGCGGTAGAAGAACATCACGGTTGGGCAAACGGAGTGAGTCAGACTTCCACATGCTCGTCAGCATGACCGGGGGAGCAGATTGACCTGTACGTATTTTAGCTACACTTCCTCGAAAGGCACACGAGTCGCGGCCGCGCTCAAGCGTGAGCGGGATGTCGTACAGCCACTTTGTCACGAGGTCCTGCATCGCTCATCAGAACAGGAGCAGTAAAGGGAATGAATGACTCACCAAGCCAGCCTCGGGCTGGTCGTACGTGACCATGTGCCTGTATCGAGGATTAGACTCGCATCGGTACATACAACAAACGGAAGACGTACCCAGCCTCGTGGACAGTGACAAAGGTGATGCTGCCCGCGGTCTCGTCGTTGCCGTATGCGCTGCGGACCGTGCCCGTGAGCGTACCCGTCTCGGTAGTCACCTATAGAGCAGCCTTCTTCGCCGCAAACCCCTTCTGGAAGCGCGTGTCGAGCTGCTCGACCCAGCGTTCGTTGCCCTGCGCACAGTGGTCAGTGCGCCCACGCGGCGGACACGAGAGCAGACGGACGATGAAGTTGCACATCATGTCCGCGTCTCCGGCGTGGACGAGCAGCCTGACATCTTCCTCGACGAGGTCGGGGACTTGGATGAGCACGGTACTATTGTGCGCGCCGTCGCCCTGCATCGCAAACGCTTGGTTGACCTGCATCATCATGTTGCAGCTCTCGAAGTTGCGCGCCGCGTCGAGACCCAGCGCTGGTTCACCCATGTCTCGATCCAGGACATCTGCTTGAAGCACAGATCGCCCTCCTTGTGGGTGCACTTCTTGCGCACGTCGCACGGGTTGCAGCCGAGCTCTGCGCAATGTTCGTAGATACACATAGAAGGAGCACGAACACTCACAATGAGCGGGCTATAATCTGGCTGTTGCAGTAGAGGGTCGCCGGCACGCACGTGAGGCGCGAGTTGAAGTCGTGGCAGCTCTTGACGAGCCACTGGCACGTCGGCACCTTCGCGCGCAGAACCTGGCACTCCGAACCATCGGGGTCGTCATAGACGGCAGACGGGCCCTCGCAGGCCCAATCGGGGACGCTCGTGTGCTGGATGTAGGGGTCCGTAAGCTCGTTGCCGGGCATCACAGACGCGAGGTTGACGGGCGGCAGCCCTGTCACGGCGATGTCGAGCGCACGCGCGGCTGCCGCAGTGCGAGAGCCTTGTTCTGTGTGGATGGCGGACGCGATATGCGGTGCGTACGTCCCGCCGAGACGCAAGGACAACTGCGACCATCGACGTCGACTTGATGATCCTAAGTCATTCTCTGGATCCAGGAAGCGCGAACTGATAACGAGAGCGGGTTGGGACGAAAGAACGGCGCAGATGCACCGGGGTACGGGGACCATAACAGCGCAACAAGCTGCTGGTCAGCACACAGGAAACGGTCCGCGGAGGGAGGCGTTGCCATCGTTCCCACCACACTCGACTGGGAGACGTGGCCAAGGGCGGTGGCGACGCGGTCTAGCCGGGCATGTGGCGAAAGCCGTTGGCTGCTTGATATTGAACTGCGGCGGGCGAGCACATGGAAGCAGCGGAGGGGAGAGGGTAGTGGTGAGGTGATAAAAAGCGATATATGCTAGGTGCTCACCGAGGCGCTATGCATGCCTTCAGGCCTGGAATCCGTGGCGAGGCGGCGGATGAGAATGATGAAAGGGTGAGGGTGGCGGGGAAACAAGACGTGTTGCTGGACGCGAATGTTGTGATACGCGCAGTAGTACACAGCAGCGCAAATGTCGTCCTGGGATCGCAAGGTCAGTGAGTACTGCGTGGAATGCGTACCGCAGGCACTTACCGACGTGGGATGCGTGACAGGGTGCCCCTCTTGATGAATGGCATGCGCGCGTGAGCGCATTGCTCGTGACTGTGCGATGACAGCTTAGACGTGGCGGGTGTAGTCGAGAAGCGAGGAAGATGGTTGGGATGCGGTCAATATGCATTTGCTTGACAGGTTCGGGGTGTGGATGCAGCGTGGGGAACGTGCAGTTAAGGGAGCCGGAAAGGCTAGAGCACTGTTGGAGTTGGCCGATGGGGGAATGGGTGACAGAAATGCGATATCACGGAACGAGACTCACTCTTTTCAAACCCCTCTCTTAAGACAGCTACGCCTGCGAGCACCGCATCGGCGACCTCATCCATTCACTACCTCGTCCGCTCTCAGAAAGAGTGTTTGCGAGTATCGCGCACTGGCCGGCCAACGCACCGAGACCTCTTCTGCACACACTTGTATTTCGCGGACAATCCTGCCATCTCGTTTGAAGACTTGAATCACGACAGAGTATGACCGTCACCATTAACCACCAGACTGAGAGACAAGGAGATAGGGTCCATACGGACAGCGTTGACTTTCGGCTTCAAAGTGCGTCATGACCGCATTGAGCGTAGAGGGAGGCGAAGTGGGACGAGGTGGCCGGACCCTCGCCAAGTCAGTGCACTTCCGGCTGCAGTCGTGTTCATCACCGCTCCGCGGTGTGCCCAACAGAGGTGCGTCGTCAACGTTCAAATTCAAATCCGAGCTCGAATACTTACGTGTGGCACATCCTCGATCTCCTCATATCTGAGCCCATACATCGCCGAACGGGGTCGTTTGCTGGCTACCAACCACTGCAGGGCACGCGTTACTCGTTGTAGCGAACCGGGATTAATGACCTGCGCGAGCGAGGTAGCACCACGTCCTTTGGCGGCATTTCGAGTGATGCGATGTGGAGGAAACAGTGATGCGCACTGCTGTCGGAGTGTGAACTTTGCTGGACAGACTATACAGTGGCAGCCTGCCCTAAACCAGATCACACTCAAAAACAGAGGAAACAGCATTCACTCTTTTGGAACCTGTATCTCTCTTGTTGTTTGTGTGTCTGGGTAGAACTTATTACAGAACATCACAGGATCAATGGCAAACAGTCGCAGGAAACAACCAACAAAGTCATACCAGGAGGAAAGCTCCCAGTCAGATGAACAATCTACTAGCAGTGACAATGAAGATTGTGTGGTAGAGGCAATTTTGAAGGATAAGGTGATGAATGTGTGTATCTCTGATACTGTATGGACATAACATGGCCTAGTGGCCATGGATCTAGAACCTTACAGACAAGATAGCTGACATCTGACTGCACATACAGGGTGTGCAGAAATATTATGTCAGATGGGAAGGCTATGGCCCTAAGGATGACAGCTGGGTTGCTGTTCATGACCTGTAGGTCTTTATTCTAGCCTTATACAACAGATATGTCTAGATTGTGTTGGTCTAGAAACTCTCCAGCATTGCTTGAAGAGTATGAACAGAAGAAACAAGCATCAGAGCAAAGCAAAGGAAAAGGAAAAGGAAAAGGAAAAGGAAAAGAAAAAGGAAAAGGAAAAGAAAAAGAGAAAGAGAAAGAGAAAATGAAGAACCAGAGCACACATAGCAAGACCAAGGAATCCTCTACTGAAGAGGTGGGTTGTTCCTGCAGATGTCTTATGAAGAGTTGCTGAGACTAGGATGAGAAGATACAGGGCGAGGAGATCAGCCATGTCTCAGCAGGTAAGTGTATACAACAGAAGTGTTCTCAAAAGGTTGAATGGAATGTAGTCAAAGACATGGCCCTGTCTACTGACACTACAAAAGGGACTTATGGTCAATGGGAGGAGAGAGTTGATAAGGTGGACACCATCCAACTGGAGAATGGTTCACACATGGTATACTTTACTCTGTGAGCACTTATAGCATGTCACTGGCTATCATTTTCATGCATATACACAGCAAAAATGGGAATTCTGCCAAACAAATCCTTGGCATTTGCAGGCAAAAGATGCCTCAGAAGGTATGTGTTCAACAGTTGTATCCATACATCAACATTTCAAATAACACATATTGAGCAACTTTCAGCTTTTGGATTTCTGTCTAAGCAACATGAAATGGGAGAACATTGAAGGGGCTGCAATTGGGAGTTCATCAGGATCCTAGTGATCATCAGGAAAAATAATTCAGTCACCCCACGGATTGGCAGATCTCCAAGCTGTGTAGGGTTCAGTGTGATTGTGCACTGTTCTCAGTAGTCAGAAAATGTCTCAATAGAAAGTGGTACCTGTGCTTGGTATACAATGCTGGTACACAATCAGGTCTCTTCAATATGTTATGGGAATAATGGCCAGTCAAGCCCCTGAAGAGAACTGCATCTTAAGTGTAATTTTGTTTCCTTAATCATGCAAATTCATAGACAATGCATCATGAACTACTCAATCACCTGCAGTATATACTTCATCATGTCTATGCAATTATGGCTGGTAACAATTCCGGGCTCGTTTCACGAAGCTGCTTGCTCACATGGGTTTCACCCGCCAGACAGGTAGGGCGGAGGCGCGCACTCTTTTGGGCTTGACCGATTGCCAGCGGGCACATGCTCCACGGTCGGATTCTCCGCTGGCTACATGCTGGCTCAGCCCATTGGAGGTAACTACTGAGGTACTGCAGCACCGAGAGAACCCGCAAGTGTGCCCGAGCTTCGGGTAGTCGACTGCGGCGTTGTGCAGCTCGGCGAGCCGGAGACAGTGTGCCAGGTCGAAGATCCCTGCTCTGTCGGCGAGGATCAGCCACGTTGATGCAATAATGCCGACATTCTAGTGGAGGCTAATGTGAGTTGACTTACAGAGCAAGGTCATTGCGACGCACGTCACTGATGATGAACGCGCATGGTACTCGGTTGTGGAAGTATTTTGCGTGTCGCAGGGCTATACGATGCGGGTCTTTGAAGTCGGTGAACTGGAGGGAGTAGATCCTGCGGTACGCAAGTGACATTGTACACGTCTCCATCGAGATCTCCACCTCCGAGATAGGACGGTAACGGCCTTTCACCTGCATTATCCACTGTGGTTACATTTATTTTCACACTGGTGTAGCACTCCGGTGCACGCACCTCGAGTCGAGAATACAATGCAGTTATTCAAGTCTCCCTTGGCAAGATCCGACCCCTCCGGTGGCTTGCCAATCACATGTACGACCTGTATGTAGCCTGGATGAATCGCGGGCGAGCGCGTGATCAGTGTAGGTTCCTCGAGGTACACCTCGCGTCCGCTTGTGGGCTTTACACGAGCGTGGATCTCGCCTTCGCGTAGTTGGCCATGAACGTCTGCGACCCCGACCAGGGTCCACCCACCAGGTACTGGGATGCGGGCACGAGACTTGAGCTCTCGCAGTACATGGTTGACCGCGAACGTCGTCGCTCGCTGCCAATAGCCAACCGCGTTCAACTCGGCAACTGAGATTCCGAGCTGATGGAGGCGGTGAACCGTAGATGGAAGCTGAAACGAGCTACCTAGCCCGTGCATCTCGAGCAGCCATCCAGAGTTCGCCAGCGATTCCGTGAGCGTATGGGTCGTAAGGACCGTGTCGTCTTGCAGCCTCTGGAAGACTTCGTACGGCACCCCGAGGCCCTCCAGAATCATGATCATCGGTCGATTAAGGTAGAACGGGGATGGCTTCTCGAATACCTGCGCAATCTCGATGCTATTCGGGGTGGGAGCCGCGAACTTCACCATAGAGCGGGGCAAGCGTATCTTTCCGCCTTCCAGTATATGGTCGACATGGAGCATCCCTTTCGATCCAGCGATACGCACTTGTATGACACGAGGAATGGAGCCTCGCCAGGCACGTCTGACTCGGCTCATCGACCGCTAGTCGACCAATGGTCGACCGCTATGTCTCGTGCGACCTGGAGCGACATCGTACTATTCCCGTCAGTGAACGAGTATGTCCCTATCCTGTCCTTGATGTCGTCGATGATCTCCTTGTCCTCCACTGCGACCGCGATCGACGACTCGGTGGCACTGAATGCCTGTGAGATACGAGCAGCATATCGAGCGGGACAGAAGATGAGCTGGGGGTCGTACGGGTTGTCTGCGAAGGACTCGAGCCCATGAATGATCGTCGTCGCGTTGATAGTTCGACCATCGGTGTCCCTGAATGGTTCACGAACCAAAACGAGTGGCTCTTGAGGGCAGACTGCGAATACCCGAGGAACTCGAAGCGCTGGCCAGCTACAGAAACGCCCTCGAGGAGGAAGTGTTTCACGCGTCGGTCGATCAATTCTTGCAGGTTGATTTCTGCGTCGTAGCGATACGCGAGTTGGTTGTCACCAGTGAAGTGGACACGAAGGAAACAGTCCCTGTGATCCCAGTATCGGCGAATAACTCTGTTCGATCGCTCCGGAGATGGCCCGTCCGCAACGAACGCGCTGGTTGTTATGTAGAGGTGGTTGCACATAAAGAGATCGGAATGGGGTAGTGGCTGGACACGAGCTTTGCGGCTAAACTGTCGAATCCAAGCGGCGAGCAGGTTCTTGACGGCATCTTCGTCGATATCGACTCCATCGCCATACCATACTCGCGCCTCTAGTCGTGACTTGAGGTCAGCGAGTAACGTGCTCGCTACGTCTGATCCGTAGCGTGAGACCATATGGTCGACGTTGGGACGCAGAAGCTGCAAATCTCCCGCATGTGCACGAGCCAGTTGCTCAGCAGCACCTCGAGTTGGAAGGCGACGGCGAGATACAACGCGGCTGTCCATCGTTGAAAGGCCGCCCGCACTGAATCGGAGAAAAGTATGGGTGCGCGACAGGGTAGAGAGATAAGTCGACGGGAAGGTGGGCAACTCGGCACAGTCGTTTGTATATCGCAACGTCAAACGCATTGTTGCAGACCAGGCGAACGGCGATCGAGGTGTAAGGAGCGACGGGGAGGTGGGTATCGTCAAATGCTCCTTGTCTCTTTCGTTGGATCTTGAACGACCGGTTACCGAGCACTTCTCGCAGTTGGCGCATGGAAAGCCCTCGCAAGAGACCATCAGTGTCATCCTCGTCAACGCGCTCTGGGTCAGGGGGTCCAGCCTCGAATGACGGTGGATAGAGTAGCCAAGGGAGGATGGACGACTCGCGAGATTGGTCTGCGCTCGCGGTATTCCAATAAACCTGAGAGGCACGAACCGTCACGGTGCATGTACGGATCGCATCCATGGCTTTCGGTTGAAGCTGCAACGAGCGGTTCGGGAGCTGTTGTCCACGGGTTGGCCGTTCGATGTAAGCGTACATATACCTCAGACGAGGAAGAAGGCGCCTTACAGTTTGGTTTATCGATGTATGGATGACGCGGAAGACTTGAGATATAGTGTTTCATCGGCGGCACAGCGATAGGGTTTGGACTGACGGCAAAGGCGAGGATGGCAACTTCATCTGGTGAAGTAGATCCTGCTCGACACTGTACTATCAAAGCGAGGGGGTCAACTTGACACATCGTATAAGGACGTACCTACCTCGATACAAGTAGACTGCGATCTCATTTTCGCCTTTTTATATGGAAGACCTGTCGGGTTGGGTTAGCCACCGTGCGCCGACTCGCAACATAGGTCGTCCCCGCACTCGCACCTCTATGGTCGCTCGAACGTTGTTTGACGACGCTAATAGCTGGAAGCATAACGTGAGAGCAGTGTTGGAACACGTGTGAAGGAGTAAATGAGCTACCTGACGCAATGCTGTTATCAAGGTTTGAAGTTCAGGCAGGCGTATTGCAGAGGACTGGGCAACACCGTTCCTAACGACCCGACGTACTCTGGATCATGAAAAATAACGAGGACGCACGGGCGTACTTGACAACTTGAAGACAGTAGTGCCTGCTTTCAACAGGTAGTACCCAACGAATACATATTGAAGCTTCGGTGCGAGCGGTACCAAGATGTACGAGGCTGTGAGCAGTTCAGTTGCCATGGGATTAGACCACTTGAGCGAAAGGACAAGTTCCGTAAGGGCGGGTCGGACGACGTCAAGGGTGCTCTGAGTCGCCAGATGACCCAGGGTCGACGCATCGATATCGAATTTTGCGTGTCACACAGACCAAGGCGAAGTGCACGATTTCGGGGATGAGTCATTACTGGCTTCATCAACGAGTCAACGCAAATATGTAACAATGTGTGCGGGTACGCACCCAAGAGAGGACATTTTCATGTCCCTGATGACAAGGACGGGTCACGTCTCTTGGCCAATGTCGGCGTCCTATCTCCCTGGAATGACGGATGCGCATGTAGGCTTCAATGAAGAGAATGTCGAAAGAGCGCGAGAACAACGCGACATACTCCTGTCGTGAGCGCAGCTGACGGCCCGCACTAGTATCAAGTACGCGAGATCGTTGACAGCAGCGGGGGACCGACGCTGAGCATTTCCGACACGCCAGCCAGAATTGCGCGCCGAGATTCATCACTGTGCACAAAGTACTCGACCGTGCCAGTGTATTTGGAAGGACGTGGAACAACAAAAGCTCACCACCAAGTTTCAGGCCGACCTCACGCTCCGTAGGAGGTCGGCCGAGTTGCGAGAGCTCCAAGTCAGGATGCTCGTACGAGTCGGACGACTGAACAACATTCGGCGCGCGGGACGATACGCCAAAAGGCTCGACTAGATGGAGCTGCTCCAGAGATGAGAGCGCTACCAATGCTTAGTTTTGCTTGTAAGTAGCACCTCAATAGTAGAAAACGTAGGCCCTGCGCCGCATTGTGACGATTGAGACTCGCCAGCTCAACAGGGAGCGACGTACGCACCACGTCACAGTCACACCAATCGTCGCGCAAGGCGCAATAGTGTATGCGGTTCGACATTGCGGAGCTCACGCAGTCAACGCCAGTAGCCGCGATGAGGAGGAGGATGATGATGATGAATTCAGCATTTATTAACCGCAGCAAGCAACACTGCGGACAACCCGGATTGTGCGAGGCGCTTACATGGGCCTAACATTGCAAGATCGTGTATATTAGTAAGCCACTAAGTGAAAATCCCTAACATGGGAAGTACATGCCTAGAACATGACGTGATTTCGGAACATAGGAAGAACATAGCACTTACATTCCCGATTTCGGGAACATTCGAAATGTGAGCCCGAACAAAGGAATACCATTCCCTATGTTACGAGCTCCGACTTAGAGCCGTAATAATATACACGCCCTTACAATGTAAGTACCATGTGAGCGCTTCGTACAACGCGGTTCGTCCGCAGTGCAAACAACGTGCTAAGACGCGGCTTGGACGCGGCGGACGCCGGCCTGTGCATGGGCGGGCGTTTAAAGTTAAACGCGCCGCCCAGGCCTGCGTCCCGTTCGAGGGTATTGTAGTATGTGTAGTGTATACGCGTGAGGATTGTACTGTAACTAGCCGATGCCCGTGCTCCGCTACGGGTCTGCGGCGTTCAATTGTACATATGTCTCCGAGTGAATGACATTACACCTCGAGTTGGCTGGCACATGGAGTCCACGTGAGTGCGGCCCGCGAAATACATGGACCTGCCAGGCTGCCACCTGAGACGCGCTGACGACACATGGTGGCCACGAAAAGGAGGAAATGTATGACAGTATTTATCTATGACAGTATTTATCGTTGGAAATTTCCGTAGTCCAAAGGCCGAAGTCCCAAGTCCTACTGTAAGGTGACCGATAAGGACGGGCGAGGGGCTGCGATCAGGCTGATATCAGGGCGCTTAGCGAAAAGTTGACCGGGCGGGGCGCCTCTATCAGAATGCCCCAGACGTTAGGGAGGTGTGCGGTGGTAGGGTGCGACACCCTCCCATCGGATGGGTACGAGTCCATCAAGAAGTACAAGTGCTACTACTGATTCGCCTTCCCTGCCTTCGTAGTCAAGCCTGCATGGGAGATCCAGGAAGACTGGAAGGCCGCGTCAGAAGAATTCAGCGACTCCTTCGTACGTCGTCTGTTGGTTCATGTCATTTCTCATGTGAGCACTGACGAACCACGCATTCAGCTATCCGCGATTGAAGCGACTCAACTGGCTGCTCCACGAGCTTTCTTCCTTATCCGGCCAAAGGCAGGCAGCGACGAGCCCGAGATCGCCCCCGTTAAAGAGTACGACCAATTCTTCGCCAATGTCGCCCCCGAGCAACGCACCATCGCCTTCCTCGACCCCTCCGCGACGCCCTCCAACCCCGGCTGGCCACTCCGCAACCTCCTGACCTACCTCCATACCCTCCACCCCGCACCGTCGTACCGCATCCTATGCTGGCGCGACTCCGAGCGCCCCTCCAGCGCACCGTTCAAGACCCGCTTCGGCGTCGTCTCCCAGGGCACCGGCGACGGCGCGGCGAAGGCGGAGGAGCCCGCGGCGGTGGGCTGGGAGAAGAACGTCCAGGGCAAGCTGGGCCCGCGCGTGGCCGACTTGGCGCCGATGATGGACCCGACGAGGTGAGCTATCCGCTCAGATGTGGGGTGGGGTGTATCCTGATGCGTCTATGTGAAAGGCTCGCGGACCAGGCTGTGGACCTGAACTTGAAGCTCATGCGGTGGCGCATCCTGCCTGCGCTCGACCTCGAGAAGGTCGCGAACACGCGGTGTCTCCTCTTGGGTGCCGGCACGCTCAGGTGTTATGTGGCGCGCACGCTCATGGTTCGTCGTCCACCCATCGGGCATCTGGCATCCTGCTGACATTGTTCATCTGCGACAGGGCTGGGGCGTTCGCACCATCACCTTCGTTGATTCCGCCCGCGTCTCGTTCTCGAACCCCGTCCGCCAGCCGCTATTCGAGTTCGAGGACTGCCTGAACGGCGGAAAGCCCAAGGCGGCGTGCGCGGCCGAGCGGCTCAAGAAGATCTTCCCTGGCGTCGTACGTACCACCCCGGCGTCTGCCCGTCTTGTCGAGTCTCACCCTACGCCCGCGACAGAACTCCTCCGGCCACAACCTGAGCATCCCGACGCCGGGCCACCCGATCCCGCCCGCGTCCGTCGAGCAGGCGAAGAAGGACGTGGCGGCGCTCGAGAAGCTCGTGGACGAGCACGACGTCGTTTTCTTCCTGCTCATGGACTCGCGGGCGCGGCCAAGGGCAAGGTCGTCATGAACGCCGCGCTCGGGTTCGACACCTTCCTCGTCATGCGCCACGGCGTCCGCGCGACGCTCGCGAAGGGAGACCGCCTCGGGTGCTACTACTGCAACGACATCGTCGCGCCGGCGGACGTGCGTGTTTGGCGGCTCCATGCGTCGCGGAAACCTGCTGACCCCCGTGTGTGCAGTCATTGACTGACAGGACGCTCGACCAGATGTGCACCGTCACTCGGCCTGGCCTGGCGTCGATCGCCGCGTCGACCGCGGTGGAGGTGCTCGTCTCGCTCCTGCAACACCCTGACGGGTACGTTCGCGCGCGACAGCCGTGATCTCCTCTCATCGCTCGGGCTTTTAGCGTAACGCCCCGCCCCTCCGCCGCAGAACCAAGGCGGCGAACCCGCGCCGGGGACGGAAGGCGTGCTGGGCATCGTCCCGCACCAACTCCGCGGCTTCCACTGTCCGCACAGCTCATAATCTCTCCAACATTAAACCGACCTTCTTCGCGATGTCTTCATCCTTAGACAGCTCGTCGTCTTCGGACACAGCTCCCACGACGCCCGTATCCCCCACCGACAGTCTCTCACTGTCGAAAAGACCTCTGTACACAACATCGTCCGTGTTTCTGAAGACGCTCTCCGAAGCAAATGAGCAAAGCGTTGGTTTGTCTGACAGCGTCTAACGACCCTGAGACGTCTAAACGGGTCTAAATGCTACCAATTCCTCTAATTACATGGATTATCTAAAATGTCTCAGAGTCTCAGAAGCTGCACGACTTCAGACAGCCCAGTGCACGCAATTAACATTGAGATCGTCGTACTACTACAACTGGTATACATTTGCATAGGTTTGTCATCACCAATCACATTGGATCATTGACGTATGAAAGCTACCCCGACAATAAGTACTGCAGTCGAAGAGACAGTGGGTAGTCGGCCAAGCGGGTGGATGAACGGATGGGTAGGTTACTTACACAGGCAGCCAAATGAGTGGGTAGCGAGCGGACAGGCCGGCGAGCAAGCGGGTGAGCACGACGGTAGATGGGTGAGTGCGTAGGCTATGATCTTCGCGAGTGCTCGCACTAGTGGGCGGGTGGATGTGCAGGCAAACAGATAGGTAAATGTGCAGTCGAGTCACTCGGCGAATGAGCGAGCACATCAATGCCAGTGGGTGTGCGCGCGAGGGAGTGTGTGAGTCAGTAGACGCGACTGAACAAGTACTGTTCGTCAATGATAGGCATGTCCAATACCAGTAAGGGGCGTACCTTCGACCCTCTTCGTTTTTCACGCCCTCGCCTCAGGCTCCCAATCCCGCTCTCGTCGTAATCGGGGTGATCCACTTAAGTACTGAAAACTGGACTTGCATGATTGTCGTGCGATCACGAGTCGGATTGTGTACGATCATATTCAAGTTGTACGTCACGAAAGCCGACAAGCGGATGGGTAATCAAGCATATATGCAAGTGGCAACAAAGAGCAAGGGGAGAATGAATGCAGCCGTGACAGAAAAGAAACAGCGTGCGTGTACGCACCATGACAGGAGGGCACCGCCGGACAATCGCTATCTAGCCGATCTAGCCGAAAAAACGGGTTGATGTTGATGTTGACGGCGTCAAGCTGTTCTGTTTGTTAGTCCTGAGATCTTGAGACGTCGAACCCTGTGTTGAAGTCGTGTTACACGAATTGTTCTTGACGTTGAAGTTGTGAGGTTGTTTGACAGGTTGTCTGACAGGTTGCGCGGCAAGTGCTGGGCATCCGCCACATGCACTGAACCGTGAACAGGCCTACATTAATGTAACAGTGAGTCTCTAACGCTCCCCGTCCTGACCCACTGTCGCTGAGACGGACACGAAGAGACTGTGAAGCCCTTTACGAGATTTGTGACGCATCTTTTGCGTGCCCGATCCTCTCTCCATTATCCACCGCCAATCTGCCAGCACCATCACCTATGAAGGGCCTCGCCAGACAAAAATAACCTGATGTACGGATTGCGTACGGATGTTGATCTTGGTGTCGTTTTTCGAGCGTTGATGTTGATATTGCACCGTACGTACGTTGATGTTGGTCTTGTTGTTCATAAGTTGAGTTGTTTGACAGGTCGTCCGACAGGTTGTCTGACAGGTCACCTGACAGGTCCGTGCACCGTCCGAACCACGTCGTCTCTCGTCACTCGTCGCCTGCGCCCGACGCGCTTGACGAGCCCAACAATGCATAATGGCCCCATGACCGCTCGTGAGAGACGAGCGGCCGCACCCATCACTCTCACCACCAACGACCGTCGTCTATGCCCCTGGCAAGGTCCTTCTCACAGGCGGATACCTCGTCCTCGACCCTGCGTACTCCGGTGTCGTCTCGACGAGCGCGCGGTTCTACACGACCGTGCGCGACCTCGATGAGGCAGCGAGCGTCACGGCCGCGAAGGCGGACTGACCGATTGAGATCCGCGCGCGATCGCCCCAATTCGTGAACGTAACCTGGCTCTATTTCGTGTCCTTTGACGGCGAGGCCGTGCGTGTCGAACAGGTCACAGACATGTGGATGGTCTGCTCGAGGTTGCCCTACGTCGTGTCGTGATAGGCGGGATGCTGAGTGGATTCGGGTTCATCGCATCTCGCGGCGCGTCCTCGACCTCCTCCTCGAAGAACAAGTTCATCCACCATGCACTCCGAGTGGCGTACGCTCTCCCTAGCACTCGGAACTCGTGGTGCCGGCACCCTACAGAACAGCCTCAGGCTCTTGTATGACCTCAATATCACCATAGCCGGCGATAATGACGTTGACTCTCAGTGTGCTCAGGTGAATGCGGCTCCCCATGCCTGCTCAATGTGCAGCCCTTTAAGATTCCCCTGCGCACAGCTGACAGCGAAGAGCCTCCTGCCCACGCTCGCATCTCTCACACAGCTCCCGCCTCTCGCTCCAACTGGCGTACACTGGTTCGCTGAGGTCACAAGACGGGGCTCGGCGGCACTCATCACCTCACTCGTCTCGAGCCTCCTCGTCTTATCGAATTAATAGCATGGGGGTCTCTAGCATACTTGTACACTGTACTGCAGTCTGCAGAGCTGATCGCAGTAATTACGATACCTCTCAAAATAATACATCTTGCATGATGTTGTTACCGTACTCGGTACAGTACTCACATACATTCGTAACCTTTACCAAGTACTTCAGACTCGTACGCTGGCACGCGCACTTCGTGTCTCCATGGCCGTCACTACTCATACTAGTACTCGGAGCCCACGTCGGCCACTTTCTTGCGCATTCGGGGCCTTGCTAACACCTCCATTGTGCCGATTCATATGCGTAGAATGCGAGAATGAGGCTTTGAAGCCAGTCCGATTAGTATTGAGTGTGCGAGTGAGAGGTGAGAGGGAGATCTGAGGCACGCGTGTTGCGATGTGGCGGAGACGCTAGTCTCCTGTAGGTAGACCCTAAACTTGAACATGACCTTATTGAGTGGGGGAGGGCGGTCATATATACGGAGACGCATGGCACGAAAGCTTCAACCCCGGATTCTAGTGGGTAATCGTAGGCGGGGCACAAGGATGATGCAACTTGAGATGATGAGACTTGAACGAGAAGAAACACTACGAATCGGATACCGGATGAACAGGTTTCGGTGCCTGAGCATGGTGTCCACAATAAGGAGAGGCAGCGACCACGTACGACGACAAATACACGACGGCCAGTCAATGAATGAAAGCAAGCATACGAGAGACCAAGACACAGAGCGATCACCGGTCGGTTGTCGATATTCAAGGGGATTCCCTCTCGAGCACATTCAACCGCGAGAGGGTCTTTATCACCCGCTTTCGCCGCTGCGGCAACGGAGTCAATGTTCACCTATAATATAAACAGAATACGCAAGATCCTATAACGGAGAGCCCTAAGCAGCCATGTACAAATATAGATAAGGTACTTTGCATGGTAGAAAAACAATTCATGCGAAACTGGGTATCTTGGGAGACACGGCACAATGAAGAGTTGGCGGCAGTAGCATGCGGACAGTGGGCGGGGCAGTGCGAGAGCGAAGAAAAGAAGAAAAGCGCCACGAACCAGATGCAATAGGTCCTATGCGAGAGCACGGTGTCCGAGATAACGAGCGACAACGGCCGCCTGCGCGAGCAAAGACGCGGCAACCAGTTGGGGCAAAACAGCAGTGCGAGAGCGAAGAAAAGAAGAAAAGCGCCACGAACCAGATGCAATAGGTCCTATGCGAGAGCACGGTGTCCGAGATAACGAGCGACAACGGCCGCCTGCGCGAGCAAAGACGCGGCAACCAGTTGGGGCAAAACAAGCATGGAAGACAGAGATGAGCATGTCGCGCGACGGGCCTATCACACGCACGGCGTCGCGTGGGCGTACCAGTCCTGGCCCTTCGCCTTCTTCGTCGTCGAGGCGCGGTCGGTCGAGATGGCTTTGGATATTGAAGGCAAGCCCTTCGCAGGAAACGAGTCAAACGTGTTCGACCTCGACAGCGACTGGCCAGCTTACTTCTGCATTGGCGGCGGCACGACGGCGGCGACGGACTCTTGCTCAATGGCGTGGGGCGTCCCGTGGGTGCTGTGCGAGGCGAGGCGGATGTTGGCGACGCGGGGCTCGTGGACGTGGAGTACGACTGCTCAGGCGTGTCGGGGCTCGTGGGCGGACTTGGGTACGCTGTGCTGGCGTCGACAGGCATGGGGGTGGGCTTCGGTGACGACATTGACGGATGCCTGGCGAAGCTCGGGGTGGTGGTGGACGTGGCACCGTATGGCGTCAATCGATGGTACCGGTGTCGGCGCAGGCGAGGGGAGCACGTACCTACATAGGGTACAGCCCGGTCCTTTCGTGGCCCTTGAAGTTCCTCCGCAACTTCGCCTCGAACTCCTTCAGCGCTGCCAGTTCGATGTTGAGCTGCTACTCGAGGTAAGAGCACATCTCTCGCACCATCTGATTGATCTCGCGGAGGGTGCACATGCCCCGGCCTACGATTCTCCACGACCTGTTCGAGTACGTGTCATCCCAGATGAGCTTGGATGCTATGAAAGCGGGAATCTATGGACGGTAACTCGACGAACCGCTGACGGCAGGGAACCACGCGTTCAGACGTTGGAGAAGGTAGAGGGCAGCGAACATCACCGATGTGTGAGGCCGCGTTCTGTGGAGGGCGTAGGCGATAAACAACGCGAGAGGCGGCGACGGTCCTGGCGAATTGGCGGTGGATAATGGAGGGAGGACCGGGCACGCAAACAAATGCGTCACAAACCTCGTAAAAGGCTTCGCATCTCTTCGTGTCCGTCTCAGCGACAGTGGATCAGGACGGAGAGCGTAGACTCGCTGTTACATCGTAGGCCTGTTCGCGGTTCAGTGCATGTGGCGGATTGTGACGCTCGTGAGCCTTAAAAGGCAAGCACTGGCGCCACACGGGAGAAGAGTGTCACACGAAAGGAAAGACAGGTTATAAGGCTGGATTCCCAACGAATGAACGCTGTCGAGTCGCTCGTCGAGAGCGACCTTATATACAGAAATACGAGTCAAAGTCCGTGATTAAGGAAATTTGTAAGGACCGGCCTGGGCACTACAAGCCACGGAAAAGGTAACCGGTCTAGCCGAGGGACGAGTGGACGGAAAAGGAAGGTGGCGAAGGCCGGGCCGTTACACGGATGCCCGGCGCTTGCCGGGCAACCTGTCAAACCACCTGTCAAACCACCTGTCAAACCACTTGTCCGACAACTTGTCAACTTCAACATCAAGAACAACGTAACCAACTCGTGTAAATCGACTTCAACACAGGGTTCGACATCTCGGGACTCACAAATAGAACAGCTTGAGGCCGTCAACGTCAACGTCAACATCAACACGTTTTTTTCGACAGGATAGCAATTGTCCGGCCGTACCCTTTGAAGGTACCCTTCAAAGTCACCGCCTCTCGTGTTGTTCATTGCCTATGCTCTCCATAGAACGCGGCCTCACACATCGGTGATGTTCGCTGCCCTCTACCTTCTCCAAAGTCTAAACGCGTGGTTCCCTGCCGCCAGCGGCTCGTCGAGCCACCGTCTATAAATACCCGCTTTCATGGTATCCAAGCGCATCTGGGACGACACGTACTCGAACAAGTCGTGGAGAATCGTGGGCCAGGGCATGTTCGGCCTCCGCGAGATCAATCAGAGAGTGCGAGAGATGTGTTCTTACCCCGAGCGGCAGCTCGACATCGAACTGGCAGCGCTGAGGGAGTTCGAGGTGAAGGTGCGGAGGGACTTCAAGGGCCACGAGCCATATGCCACGTATGTACTCCCCTCGTTTGCGCCCACACCATTACCGTCGACGACGCTATACAGTGTCACGTTGGTCGCCATGCCAAGCTTCGCTGCACATCCATCGACGTCGCTGCCGAAGCCCACCTCCATGTCTGTCAATACCACCATAGCGTACCCCAGCTCGCTCAGTGCCCCGACAATTTCAACATCCTTAAGCAGTCATACGCGGCCTCGGTAAGTCTGTCATCTGCGTCGCTATCGGGGCTCATCGACCGCGAACAGCCGCCTCGCTGCCGCGCAGCACCACGGGACACACACGCGATCGACCAAGACCCCGTCGCCGTTGTCGTGCCGCTACCGCTGCGAACGCAGGCGAGCAAAACCCTCTCGCGGTCAAATACGCTCGAGTCGATCCCCGCGAAGGAGTTCCCTTCAATATCGACGACCCCTTCGACCGACCGCTCTTCGGCGGCGAATAACTTAAAGGCAGAAGGCCAAGACTTCCCGAGATCAACGTCGACGTTCATGACACTTCTGTCCACCTACTCACATGCTCGTGGTCTACCAGTAAAATCTCCTTGGTCCTCCCCAAGGGCGAACGCAACATTGTCACCATGCTCGCCGCGCACCGGTGCATCTAGGACATTGACTGCGCCCATCTTTCCTTTCTACTCTCTCTACGTCCTCCGGGTCGACAGGCCCGCGAGGCTCCACTTCAACAGCAAGGAAACTGCTCTTCTCGATATGTATTTGACTTGCTCTTTACAGATGAAACGGGCTGGTCGTGGAAGCAATCTTCCGGCTACGACGAGCTCCGGGCGACATGCCGTGATAGCGAGGCGGTAGCTGGTAAGCAACACAGACTGTATTGATAGCACCGTCATCTGCAGTCACATCGCGGTCGTTAGGACAGCGCTGGCGCACCATATTATTTGGCGTTGTCCCAAGGCAGCGCCGAAAACGAGACGGACAGATGTCGAGGCCTGTTGTAGTCCAGTGAACGATGAACACTCATTGTGGTAAGTTCTCGTTGCCGGCGCGGATCGTCTCGCAGCAGGGTGCCTTGTTGCCCAGTTAGGGGAAGGTTAATCATCTATACCCGTTCGGAATGAAGATGTTCGAAACAATCTCGCATTCCGGCCAACCGGTGCGCGAGAGTCGACCGGTAGTACGAGTGCGGATGACGTCAGTGTCGGAGAGGTGTTCTTGTGACAAGAGCATCGGTAAGAAGACGCATACGAGGGCGCCGTACACGAGGGGTGTGTCGGGGTAGACTGTAGAGTGCCCAACGGACAAATATAGGTGATGCAGTAACTGCTGGAGAGGTCGTGAGGATGTAGCTCGGCACCGGGGCGGACTTACCTGCAGTAACGGAATAGTATGGACGTGGACGAACAGTCATTATTTAACTCGTCGAAGACAATTGCGAACGGGCCAAGAGACGGGTCAGCAGACGCAAAGCCCACGACAAAGCAGAACGAAAGGTTCAGCATGTCGTGCACGACCAGCTGGCCGTCGCACTGGTAGCTATGTAAGTGATGTGTCCATCATAGCGAACATTGATATTGCGGTCAAAGGAACAATGTTCTGGCAGTACCAGGTTCGCTGCACACCGGCGAGTCTTGTGTGAAGGTCGGGAATCTAGGAGCGAGGCCAATTCGAGATGTAAGTGCTGGCAGAGTGCTCGCTCTTCGGACCAGCTCAGCCGCCCGCAGCCTTAAACTGCCAGTGCCTTACGTTCTCTCAATGTTATGACAACCCAACATGCGGCGCAGATACCACACGAAAGACTTCGCAAGCGGGAAGATTGCCGGCTCATGCATAACTTAGTCTTGTCAATGCGTGCTCGTTCGCGACGGAATACGAAGTGGTTGAGCACCGCGAGTATACCTGTTATGATATGAACGCGCGCAAGACTGTCTCGACTCTATAGAGCTGTTGTCAACTCTACAGCTTTGTCCGGCGGGCTGCAACAGATGCCGCCTACTATGCCTACGTACTTACGGACTGTATATACGCGCTAGTCTGTGATGACGGGCCACAAGCCTGAGATTACATTGTGGTGTCCACTCGTGCGCCACCCGTTCTTCGTACGTCGGGCCAATAACAGCAATAGGTGAGCATCAGACACATGATCTCTCCCTTGAACATGTCTTGCCAGCCCATAGCGTGCGTCGCGGGAGTCGTCGCACTACGTACGGCTGAGGGCCCCCGTGTACGTCTGTGCTATGGATGATAGTAAAGTTAGCTTAACAAATTGTGTCGTTGGTACATCAGAGGAGGTACTTAGTCACGATGCCATGGTGCGAACTGTGTCTACTGTGACTACCGCTCGACGGCGCCGTGGGCGGTCTTGAGATCTTTGTCGCTCTCCGGAAGGACAAGGGATAGCGAGCGGTGAGGGACCAGAGACAGCGGCCATGATGAGGTAGGCGAGCCACGGAGCCACACAGCAAGCACGGTGGGGATGGACGAGACGAAGTGGTGGCACCCCACCATTCTCAGCAATATCGGGCAGCGTATGGTCGAGGACGTTGGCGTCTCCGACGAGAACACGGACGCTGCATAGACGAACCAGGTGGCCGGGCTGCGCATGGCGATCAAGGACTGAACCGTGTGGTGGCTCGCGCTCGTACTCACGAGCATGTTCATCTCACTGTCGTTCGACGTCTTCCCAACGCTGAGCGCCACGATGGGTTATTCGAGGAGGACAGACATCCCTCTCCAGTATGTGCAGTCGTGGGGTTTCGCGATCTTGTTTACATCCGCGATGACGACCTGCGTACGGTGGCGAGGGAAATGAAGATTCGAGTCGAAGCTCGGAGCGTTAGGCACTCAGTGAGATAGCTCCTTCGAGTGGGTCGACCTATGCGCATGCACATTTGAGCCCGCACCAGTACTAGGATTTTCTTGCGATGCCGCCAACCCGTGCAGTGTCATGACCACCTCCCAGACCTGCGTCTTCCTCCCGGCAGAAGCGTGTCCCACGAAGAGACGACGTGTCCCCGGCTGACGAGCCGACCTTGAGTGGGCCAAGTGATCCGTTGTGGACCGTGCACCTCATACGCACGCGTTGTAAGGTGACGGAGTGGTGAAAGAGAATATGGTGTGGGGGCACCAGCAGCGATGATGGGGAAATGGCACGAGAGCGTGAAGGCGAGGCAAGGCGAGGAAGTAAAGGGCTGTGCCGGATTGCATGGGCTCATTGCCCATAAGTCAACGATGGTATGCAGTAGCAGGTCACTCACCTCGGAGAATTGAGTACCACAGACATGGCAGTAGTATTCATCCAATGTGGGACGACATGACGGTGACGTCTACACAAAGGTGAGCGAGACGTAACTGGAAGACCGCACGCATAAGAGTCACGCCAGCATTGATGATACCGTCGCGAAGCAGCTCGTACCCGCCCCATCCCGTACCAAAGATAACGCGGTACCGCTGTTTGCGAGCGGTCATGCATGCACATTGTCCGAGGGCTCGTCAAATGGGTCGGCGCGGCCAGACTCGATGGACGTGGTTCAGCATAGTCCTCAGGCTGTCAGGTGACCTGTCGACTCCGAGTCCGACGACCTGTCAGACGACATGTCAAACAACCTGTCAATTTACTGTATATACGAATGTCATGAACAGTCCGTCACAGCTCCTCTCCCGTAATCATGCGGAAAAGATGCCTGCCGTGCACCTTCTCAATAAGCCCGCCCCGCCGTACACTGTGGTGCCACGGAATTTGGCCGTCCAGAAGAATGTCGCTCGGATACCGCGCCTCGCCAGCCTTCCCGCACCAGTCGAAGTCGATCAGTACCATCCTCTCGCCCACGACGAGTACGTTCGGGTGACGCAGGTCGCCGAACACGAACCCGCGCTCGTGCAGCGTCCTCACCGCCGCCCGGAGGGAGGCGACATGCGCGGGCTCGGTCAGCACCTCCCCGGGCTTAGTGCCCTCCACGTAGTCCATTACGACGACCCACATGTCCACACTGTCCTCGTATGCACAGTGCCATAGCCGGGGTGCCTGCGGGGGCTCTGCGGCCGCGAGGAGTTCGTGTGCCTCACGGTTGTACGTGTGTGCGAACTTGACGACCACCTTCGTCGTTGTCGTTTCCGTTTCGGCCTTGTTTCTTGCCTCCGCGACGAACACCCCTCTCACTGTGATGTCGGGGCTGAGCCGCTCCTTGTACATGAGCTCGATCGGCTGCCCAGCGCTGTCCAGGTATTCCGTGAAATGAGGCCCGATGTACGACGGCACGCGCCTAGCCTGGGCGACTCTGGCTGACTCGCTCACGGAGGCACAACCGCCCATGACGCCAGCGACAGGCGGCGGAGGTGGCGGGGCGACCTCTTGTGCGACTTGTTTGTAGTATCTGTTCAAATCTCCGATACACACTTTGAGTGCCCAGAAGAGTCTCGCAACGCGATGGCCGGCATCGTCGAGCGGGGAGCGGCCCCTTTGCCCCGGGCGAGGGACGACGGAGATGTAGTCCGTCAGCGTCTGTGCGATGAGCTGGTCGGCGAACACTGCACCGCTGACTATGATATTGGGCCCTGCCATCCCTATGAGGAATGCGGGACAGCAACACGCTTGTCGTACAGGCCGAGCCTGGGTGCAGTAGAATGTCAGTATGAAAGGACATTAGTTCTGGGAGCACGCACACACCTCGTCAGAGGAGTATAGAGCCACGTACGCACACTCTACCTGCGCGAGCGGGTCGCAGACACCTTCGCCCACCTCGAGCGCAACCTTGGTCAACGCGGTGACTGTGCAGAATTTGTTGTTCACAACCGCTGAATACACAGCACCGTCTACATCAGATTCGCCAGATGCGTTGGAGATGATCGTGGTTGAGAAAATTTGTCGATGGCGGTATCTGAGCGCCATCGAGCTCTTCGTGCGTGAAGACTTGCGACTCAGCCATCATTCAGAGGAACTTGGCGAACACGGGATGATAGATCGTGATGGGTGGGGGGGCCAGACTGAGTGGTCGGTAGTTGTACACGGCGTCCGTACGTTCGACCTGAGTCTCAGTACGGCGAACGGCCGTGGCGCCAGTCGAAGGTGAGTCCCTTGTCCGAGCGGCTGCGGCGATGCCTTCACGATCTGAGGGATGAAGGGCCATTAAAAGTATGCTGTAGTCGAAGAGGGAGTAGACTGACGAATTTGTGCAACCAACTCGCCCACTATTCGCAACGCGGCCAATGATCGCGTTGGGCGATGAGGAGGCACGACAGCTGTTATGGGCGCTGTGAGTGACGAGAGGTATGAAAGGCTCATAGATGCACTAAGAACGGCGACCAATTCCTCCAATGTCGTCAACGGTTCCCAAGGATCCAGCGGGGATGCCTTCTATACAAGGAAGGGGCCATCTACAGCCGCGTATGCCTCCTCATATCTGGCCTCGGTCTTCACGTCAGGCCGAAGTGATTCCACCAACTGTAAGAAAGGGGTTAAGTGTAAGATGTCTCAAGCCACAATCTCGCCATCGTACCTCGTGTATTTCGACGTCCATCGTACCGTCTAGGTCAACATCGAGCAGATTTGCACGTTTGCGATTTTTGTTTTCGATGACTACGTCTTCAAGGTTGGATACATAGGCGCGTTCCGGTGGCAGATACTCGTGGTAAGCCATAGTCAGGAACCGATACTTGCCGGCAAGGGAACCGGGAACGGAGGTCGCGGACTTGTTGGGAGGATCGGCATACATAATGGAAAATTTGAACCCGCGATATTCTTCGGCCATAGTGAGAGTTGCATTGAAGGATGCAGATGCGCTGGTGGTGGTTCAGGCGACCGTTGGCTCGGTTGAGCGACCGCGACTACATAAGTATCACGTGGTCGCGTCCGCCTCCTCCCAACCTGCATGGCACAGATACAGCGAGTGGTCAACCAGTCACTAGTCCCTAATCGGTACCAGCAGGCTCCGGACACGTACGCGTACAACAGTGGACACGTCGACGTTGAGCCGGACGACTTTGTTCAATGCAGTAATAGTGAACACGCATAACGATTACATCATTTCGGAGGTCCGAGTGGCGAGAACCGTCCAGCACGTAAACGTGCTGCCACATAGCTCTAGGCTGCGTGCCATATGCTGTTTAAGCTTCAGAGCAACCCTGTGAGCCTTTCGGTCTGGCGTCTGAGTCACCAATGCCACACCACATCTGCGCATCATATTCAACTGCTGAGCCGCCCAGGAGCCGCCCTCAGTGCATCGCAGAACCTAACCGGCGTACCTCAAACATACAATATCAATGCAATTGAGAATACTAACGTACAGCTCCCGCCGAATTCAATTCAGCTAAGTTTCGTACAGTCCACGTCAGCATTGCCGAATGGACGCCGAGACGGAATAGCGCATATATTACTTGCCTTATGACGAGTACCTTTCGACCTCATCCCTCTCTAGATGCGCCATAACAGTAGTCAGATCAATCGGTAGCGTAGGCTGCTTGTACTCACCTGCTGTGCACCCATCTCCGTTCACTTCCGGGGGTTCGCATGAACTATCAGTCGGGGCAAGCGTAGTGTCCTCCACATCGTCCGGTTCTGCCAAAATTCGCGAGACGACTGCATTGAACACGTTCGCGGTGTAGTGGACCACACTAGACAGCTCCGTGGGCAGCTGTTCTGGTTGGACGAAGGACAAGTGGAGCGTTTCGATGTCATCGCTGTCCTCTGGCACGCTGTTGTTGGTCGCTGCCAGGAGTCGCAAGACGCTGCGTGAGATGATGATGGAGATGGCGCAATGAGTGGATGTCAGATCTATAGACAAGCGGTATCGGCGCAGCGAAGCTCACGGGTCAACAAATATCGTCAAGGCCCAGCCGTACGGCTATGGCGGCTGTTGTCAGCATGATTAAGTGACGGACGAGCGTAGATGCTTACTACTGTGAAGTAGAGGGCAACGGCGAATATATTGAGGACAGCGAAGAACCTAGACACATCATCATTGTCGATCTAAAGCCATCGAAAGCTCCCTTTAGCACCTACACAAACATCACAAATCCTTAATTGGGACAATCAGCGAAGGCTCGTTCTCCTGAGCTGCCGAGCATCACTCACCGTCTCTCTGTATGAGGAGTACGAGTGACGGTCTGCTCTGGGGCAGGCCTTGACTGAGGATCCCTTGCCCTCTCGTGTGATATGTTATCGCTGCAATTACGGTGAGGTCGGACGTGATGGCGCATATGCGTGTCGCAATGATTACTATGCAGACAATCAGGTCAGAGTTGAGACTGTAGCTTGACAGAGGCTCACATCTGTCCCGGTTCATATATAAAGGGTTGAACAATCGATAATGACGCGCACCTCTTTAATTCGACATCGGAGATACCTCTCGTTTCGATGCAAGACTCTACGAAATCGGGAAGTGTGGCTATCTTGAAGGTGGATATCGCATAGAGAAACTAGGAGAAGATGAAGCAAGCCGAGTTAATGATGCCGGGAAGGCTTACGATATGTGTGGCGAGAGAGACAATCCCCAGCATAACAGCGATGGACGTCCACCCCCAGTCACGTCTACTGACAGCATAGACTTTGACATATGCAGAAACTAGTCAGATTGATCAGCATCCGTGGTGGTCAAGACGAATCTGAGAGCACACCTGTTACGACGGGAGAGAAAAGCACACCAAGGACATGCCGAGAGTTCGATACGGCTGTACATCTACGATGTTGTTCAGCACAAGTGAGGTGAACGTAGAATGGAGTCGAACGTACGTTTACAAAGTAGTATTAGGAGTGACCTCCGGTGAGGTGGACACCGGAGCTATCGTACCAAATTAGACGAAGACGATACCCAGCCTAGGACTGCGTAAAGCACCATGGAATATCGGCAGAGAACATAAGACACGGAGATGATTGTCGGCCTCCGGGACCAGATCAGCGGAATCTCTCTATCGAGATTCAGGAGACAGTCATAACAGAGCAGCACTGCGAGAGTAATGAAGTCATCAGGGCGTGTACCGAAACATGAACTCGAAACGTACCCGTTGTGGCGAGGGCGTTGTAATCATGAACGGAGCTGGAATGGGGCGATTGTCACTGAGGAGTGGCTTGCGATAGGCTGGATTGGGCTGGGATCATACCTGGCATATCCCGTCAACGCAGTGTCAATGGCAGACATGGGGGTGCGAATCGATCTGTCGTGCGATGAGAGCGACTCTGACAGTATCACTGACCGGGCACCGGTGCTGCTCAGCACATCATGTCGAGGCCAATATATGTGATGCGTCGTCCGGCCGATGATGCATCACAATGACAGGCCCGCGCTCGCACCCTGTCTGAGTACCGTAGCTAACTTGGTACATCAGCGCGCCCGACGGAATTTAGAGGGAGGCCGAACTACTCACCTAACTGGTACCGAGAGATCGATTGCCGGTGCACTGCTGAAAACGATTTACCCTCACAAAGTCTCTGCATAGCACTGCCATTGACAGCGAACTGCGTCTCTATACGAGAGCGGTGCAAGGTCTTACGCGCGACCGGTGCTCAAGAACTCCGAATCGGCCCCCTTCTTCTGTCTCATAGCGCTCAAGCTGCGGGGCGCTCTCGGACACTCCAAGGGGAGCGATGCTTCGATGATTCAGCAAGAACAAGCAGAAGCGTACCCAACAGAGCTCCGAACTCTCCGGGGACAACCAGTACTCTGATCGGGTTTCTGACAGAGTAAGACGGACATGATGGCACCGTAGATCTGCCTCGCGCAACGTCGCTGAGAGAAAGCGTTGCCAGGTCTTAAGTACTGCACATAAATACTCGCGCATTCCGCCCAGCAACGCAATGCGCACATCCGCGCTGTGAATGATTTTGAAAATACAAGACTTCACGATCAGCTGCAAGACCTACCAGACGTGGTACAGCCCTCGTTCTACACGGCCGCCGGCAGGCCTGGCCTCGGACATCAAGTTATGACGACGCACTATGAGCTACATATAGAACGTGCCCCGTCATATGCTACGACCAGCTCGGCATCGGGCAGAGCACGCACCTCCGCAAGAGGCCGAAGGAGTTCTGGAGAGTACAGCTGTTTGCCGAGGCGCTTGCGAACCTCGTCGAGAGGCTTAGGATTGCAGAGAGCTTCGACTTGTGTGGCCATTCGTAGGGCATGACGCTCACGGGCTCGCGAAGGAGGGACTGAAGCGGATGGTCTTGGTAGGGACGCCGTTGCCGATGGAGCTGTGGCAATAGACTAGCCTAGGAGCTGCTCAAGGGCGTGCCGAACGATGTGCAAGAGACGCCGGAGAGATTGAAGGGAGGGCACGACGGACAGTCAAGGAAGGGGATGGGACTTTCGCGAGCTGTAAAGTCAAGTCGTCCCGGTCCCCAAGTTGGCACAGGAAACGCTCCGCGCGAAGGAGGAAGGCCCTACGTTGTATTCGATCATGTGGGGTGATGCTCTGCACTCACCATCCACTGCTAACTGTGTCCAGGAACGGTGCATCCGAGTTCTAGATCACCGGAACCATCAAGAGTTGGTCGATGCCTGGTCGATGCTCGACGACCTGCACAAGATCTCCCAGGAGACGCTGGTGATAAATGGCGCAGACGATGAGGTGAGAAACTTTGTCGTCGGCCCTCTGTTCTGGCAGATCTCGAAGGCGAAGTGGGCGCAGTCCTCGAAGAGTTCTCACCTAGCGTTCTTCGAGGAGCCGGAGCGGTACTTCCAAGTTGTTGCGCAGTCCTTGAACGCCCTCGTAAGTTCATTCGGTATGGAGTCGAGATCAGCCTCCAAGATGCAGGGCTTCATGATGTATAAGAATGTTACTCGTGAACTATTTCTGGGGACCGGAGCAGAACTCGATAACTGTTGGGCCCGGGAACTCGAGCGTAAGGTCGCGTTCGCTCCTGTTGCATATTATTATGTAGCTCGGTCAGTATTTGACAGAAGCTGGCACTCCGAGTCTGACGAAATAACACTCAACTGATTAGACCTAGTCTCGCACTCGTACGTACAGCTCGACGTGTAGAGGTAAGTATCACAGTTCTGGAGGTGTACGATGGTTGTGAAGAACAAGTTCAACAACACGCGAGGCGCCGCCACAGTCACGCTCCGCCAGGGCCGGCGCGAGCGTCGATCACCGCTTTCAGCCTCTTGCTTCCATCGGCCCCGCTGCCTGAGCCTGCGTATACTCGAGGTTTTAAACAGTGATTCCTTCCGGCACCTCTCAACGTTATGAGCAACCGCTCTCCGTTCGCACTGTATGGTGTCAAGAAGACTCGACTTCGCAAATCTCTCGGGCTGATAGACCAACTGGAAGTGTGCTGGGCCCTCAGGATGCTTGGACGCGAGGAAAACAATAACCAGCCGGGCATTGTCTCGCAGAAGTTCACAACCGCGTTCATCACGATTCACTGGCTCCGGAGAGGCATCTCGGCGTAGAGGCGCGACGCGACGGCGCTCTATGGATGGCTGCCGGAAGCAATTGAACACTGCGTTCGAGTCCATCCGTTGCGTAGCCCTACTATGCCTCCATATGCGCAGAACCATTAGCATAGGTGTCCTAGCCCGAGATTATGACTCCCAGAAGACGCGCATACAATACAGTATGTATGCTACCTCCCATCTCGCATCGGCTTGCTCCACTTGCACCCGCCGACCTCGCTGCACTCGCATCGTCCCCCGTAGAACGTCGGCAAGCTCTCCGCGTCGATATACTTCAGGAGCACCGCCTGGTAATCCGCGCCGAGGATGTCCATCTTCTCGATCATCCGCGGGGCGAGCCAGAGCTTGAGGAGCGACCAGATCGTGGTGAAAGACCACGGCGCGTTGATGATGTAGAACTTCGCGGACCTGTGCGGGGTTGGGGCGATGGGCGGTGAGACGAGCAGGTCAGGTGTGGAAGGAGCGGGGCGAGACGTACATCTCGGGATAGTGGTCTTGCATGACTTGAAACGAAGCGCGTACGAGGTCCTTCATCTGCCAGAACTGACCCAACCTGACGTTGAATCGCATCAGATACCCTCTCCCGCCCGCCCGCGGCACTCAGATGATGGACTTACGAATATCCCTTCAAGTCCACGATGAGGAACGTCCCGTCGACCTGGTGACCCACCGCCCGCGACGCAGTGGGTATGATCTCGCGCGGTATGCTCTCCGACATCGTGATGATGTACCACCAGAACCGCTCCGGCGTGATGTGCTTGTAGAGCTCCGGGATGTTCACCCCGCCGTACTGCTGGATGCTCACCGGCCGACCCTCCTTGTCTGTCCTGTGAAACCACATCTGCAAACAACTCAACTCATGAACGACAACACCAACATCAACGTACGTATGGTGCAACGTCAGCATCAACGCTCGAAAAACAACACCAAAATCAACGTACGTACGTCGGGTTATTTTTGTCCGGTGAGGCCCTTCATACCCTGCATCAAAACGAGCATGTTTGTGTTGGGTTTGTCGTCGCCGCGTACACATTCTCTCCAAAAATGTTCGTGCGTGCATCGCTTGCGCTCTCCATTATCGAGGGCCCACGATCTGTCATGGTACGTGACCATGTCTCAACCATGCATCGTGCGAGCACTGAACCTCTTGTCCAGAATTCCGCGTGCCCGTGCGCCCGGGTCCCGGTGGTTCTGTCCACTCGTCTGAGTCGTCACCCATTGAGGCCGCCTTACCGTCAAGCACGCCCGGCCGCCATCCGTGCCCTGGGCAAGTCCCCGCATGAGTCGACTTACCGGTGAGCACGTACAGTATGGATCGGACGCAGACACGCGCTGACTACACTGTCCTTCTCTGTCTGCCATATTGCGACCCTCCACCATCCATGTGTTGTCCTGGAGACTCCACAGGATCCTGCGGTGAGTGTATCATCCGGCGCGGGCCCTCGTCTGTTGCCCTGACCGTGGCATCGTGTGCAGAATCGGCCTAGAGAGTTGCGACGCCTGTCCACCTACCTGGTGATGCGATGCTGTGGATAGTCTCTCGCCGTCCGCATCGCTTGGACACAGATTGACCGGCCCTGCATGACGTCTTGAGTTGCGGGGACATGTCCGCAGCATCCGGCGAGTAGGTGTGCATAGCGACCAACAGAGCATGATGATCCTCGAGGTGCTCGTGAGCACATCGCACCTCCCGAGCGCCTCCAGAGTGCTCACTGTATTTCCAGCCCATGCGCGTGTCGACGCGAACCATCCACCCAGCGTCCGTACACGCGCGACACTCAATGTCCGTCCATGTCTCAGCGGGTCATGCTTTGTGGCCATGACGCAGTGTGAGGTTGACTGGGCAACGCCTAGCCCAACTGATCAGACTGCCCTGACCGGTGAGTATGCATAGCGCGGATCGGACGTATAGGCATGCTGACCCTGCAAACTATGTCTTCGACTCGCGTCCAGCCTCTCAGCACCCTTGGTAACACCACGCGTGCCGCGGGATGTTTCGGTGAGTGGTTGTCACCCTGCCTGTCCACGATGCCCGTTAAGGAACGTGGACTTGTCGTCCCTATCAGATAATAATGTCGCTTGTCGTCCGGGTCCGCAGCGAATGGCGGCCAAATTTCCGGCCCTTCGCGATCACCTGCGCGTGTTCGCGTTGGTAGGGACCGTGCGCGCGTGAAGTGCTGCAAGTGTCATGGTCAGTCGCCATGTTCGGCAGTGGCGAAGCCCACTCATATGGTTATTCCCTCAGCTGATGGTGTTCGAACTCGCTGAGGCCCCAAGCACGAACACGGCTGTCACCCCATCCGGCGGCCAGAATGCACGAGCGGGATCCGAGACCGTTGCTCGCGACCTGTTGTCGTCTGAGGGCTGTCTCGGCTGTCGTCGACAGCTGAACGCCGCCGAGTCTGACATGCGAGAGTGGCTGCAGCATCATTCAGCACCCTGGATACTGGTGTGCTGTCAGTTGCTTGATATAATAGTATGTGGCCTTGTACTGATGACACATGATGTGATCCGTCTGCTCTACGCATGTTAAGAGCAGAGCAGTCTATGTTGAAAGGTGACTATGTGAGGTAGGCTTGTCTGACAGATTGACAGCATGGCAGTATATCAATCTCATATTGTCAAAGCAGCAAGTGTATCACAATCTGTATCTATTCCACAAAATTACTATATATACAACTACTGGACTGATTGTATCACGGAGGCTCAACCTACATGCAGGACTAGCTACTGGATTGTCCCTTGCTAGGTGAAGTCTCTAGACCTAAGAATGAATGGAGGCTTTGACATACTGCAATGAACCAGTGATCCGATGAAGCAGAAGTGGTGGGCGTATCTTGAGACACTGCATAATTCTGTTCAGAAACTTTCACAGAATGTCCAGCCATTAGATCTGCAGCTTGTGAAAAGCTCTGTACATCAAGTGCAGACTGAGGGAGTTTAAGCTGCTTCCTGCTAATAGCAGTGATAAAGTGCCTATATGCCCTAACACCCATCCCAAAGCCAAGATGATGTTTTGTCCACCTATGAAGGGCTTTGGAGAGCATCACATGGTCCCAGCCTTTTCCAAGAGAAACATAGAGGTTCTCCTTGTAGACCTGGAGGACCTGATCTTTCTTGGCTGGATCACTGAGATATCTCACTATGAGCAGTAGCTCAAGTGGCCTTACAATATGCAGGAGGATGAACATTAGTTTGGCAATCCGGTGAGGTATGACCCGGATGATGTTCTTATGAATTCCTGACCTATGGATGCCTATGAGAGATATCAGTCAGAGTGGCAATGAAGAGTATGAGTATCTTTGCATACCTTTGTGATAGTTGGGCCTGAATACCAGGGTACCCAGGTCTTTGTCAACAAACAAATGCCTCCTTGTTTCCTCAGTGTTAACTATCTTAGTCCTTTCTTCCTCTGTTGCTCTTCCTGGGAGCCCTTGAGTCATATGAATCAATGGCTGCAGTTCTAGCCATGCATTGGAAATTTCTGACAGCCATTCCATGACATGTTCAGTGTTCCAGGTGATGCCATTTGCTGAGCAATTCCCCAGAAAATCAGACTTTGCCATGACAGCATTGATGAATGCATCAGAAGCAGCATTATCCAAGGACACAGCATCAGGGGTTGAGAAAGGACCAGAACCAATTGTCTCCACATCAACATCTGGCATTTCATAGAAGTTGCAGTGGATGCCATGAGCCTCCAGGTCCACTCCAAGGAGCACCTTGTTTTGTATGAACTCCTCAAGAGAGTCCAAGGCAGAGCACACAGCCATCTTATACTGATCCATTGAGATAGTGTACCCAGATAATCTCAATGTATCCCCTGTAGGCCATGAGATTGTGCCTGGTCTTGGCATCTGGTGCACTATCCTAGTAAAGTTGTGCATCCAATCTCTGAGACTTGCAAATGGTGACAGATTGTTCTCACTTAAATTCTCTGACAAGAATGTTGTGACCCAATTCCACCACTGATTATCACCATTGTGCTCCTCACTTGAGCTTATGGGCAGGTTTGATGCAATGTGGTACAGGCCCTGCAGGCGCATACCAAACTGAACTTTAGCCAGCAATGGAGGGACTTGAGCTGGAGGAACATGGCCACCAGTGGGACTCAACATTCTGCAAGCTAGGAACACCATGACAGGGCTGCAGAAGATGTTCACTGCAGCAGGGTCATTGTTTGATGGGAAATACAGAGCTTGGAGGGTTGCATAGACTGCCTGTGTAGCTCTCTCCTCAGAAAACTGCTTATGGTCCAAGATAGCCTGCAAATTTTCCAAAGCAGTCTGTTGCTTTTGGTTATAAATGAAGAGCTTCTTATCTGGTTGCTGAAGGGCTTGCAATGGATCCTTCAAGTATTGCAAATTAGCCCACAAGAAGTGCAACTGCACAGTAGCATAGTTTCCCCAGGTGTCCTCAGAAATGGGAGCTGTGAATTGACTGTTGCCACTGCTTACCCTGTTGACAAGAGCAGTCAGCCTGATGATTATTGTTATTGTGATGGTCAGGCCACTTACCCTGAGTCTCCCATAATTCCCTTGCGCACAGAAGCATGTTGCTTATTGATGATCTTACAGCCATTCCAGAAAGTATCTCTGACAACCTTAGCTAGTCTTTTGAGTTGAACTGGTCCATCCTTTACATTCTCAGGGACAAAGAGGCTTAGTAACCTTTGATGATCAAAGGATGAAGTAAACTCCAAAATTCCTGATGAAGTCAGGAAGGGCAAATACAATCTGTCATCCAAAGTCTTTCTAAGGACAGTTGGGTCATCTTCTGACCACAAAAGTCTCTTCTGTGCTTTGATGTATTCTGCAGCACTGGAGTAAGTCAATTGGTTGGCAACATGATTGGTCTCAGAGAGGACTGGATCTTTTACAGCAAACCAACAGACCCATCCATTTGCCTCAGTAAAGCCCTGGATTGAACATCTGACAACTGTATCAACTACTTTAGGTCTATTTCCAGATATCTGTTTCCAGCCTGGATGTTGATGTTGCCTATGAGTCCTCATTGTCTTGGAAGTCATGGTACAGAAAGGTTGCTTGTTCTGCCCTAAACATAGGTTGCAGCAAAAAGCCCTGGGGTAGATCTTCAAACCTTCAATAGGCTCAGACAACCCTGATGAGTCAGCATCTGGCTTCAGCTTCAGTTTTCTCCAATTATCTGCTGTTGCAGAGTCCTTGATAGAGTCTGGGTTCACATTGCACTTCATCAACTCCTCTTTCACTGTCTTAATGAAGGCAGTTCGATTTCCAATGCTCAGCCTGTGCCCTTGCTCTTGATCCTTAAGCTCTTGATAGCCCTTGTCCTCATTCATCTCATATATAGTCAAAGTCTGCCTAGTGAGGTGGGTATGCATGAGAGAGAGAGGCATCCCTTGCTGGCAAGGCTTGCATATCAAGAGCCCACACTGGATGTTGTAGCAGAGGCCCCATAATGATAATATGTCTGTGCTGATGAGGTTAGACCCTGAATCTGAATGACTGGTCAGTTCATCTGCCTCTATGTCATTGGTATAACTGTGTGGTTGAAGTGTTTTGAGTTCTCAAACTATGTGGACAATGTATGACTTACAGCATCACAGAAGACAAGTCATATGGAGGTGATGGAACATACACATATGCATGTAGATTGAACACTTTGGATGCTGATAGAATGAAAAGTACAAGTTTCAACTGTTGGATACTTGACAAAGCACATTGCACTTACTTGTTTCAGTCAAGATTGGCTCATCATCTTCTGCAGACTCAAACTCCAAGTCTAGCTCTTGAAGCCCTGAGGAACTCTGCATGACAACATTAGGTCCAGAGGCTTCAATATCCTGTTCAATTTGTTCTTCAAACTTCTCTTCCAACTTCTTGTGTTCCTCTTCATCTTCATCTTCAATCTCCTCTTCATCCTGGAAGTCTTGTAGAGTGAATCATCATTGTCAGTATATGGCTAGCCAATCATGTCATTTGAGGAAATCATACATTGCAGATCAGATGAGGCAACTTTTGCTTCTGATCCATTGAAAATTTTATGAAGCTTGAGCTTCTGGCTCTCTGAAAGGGCTGTACTTGGCTTCTCAACACTGCACAGAAGTGTCAACATCAGATCTAAGTACACATGGAAAGAAGAGGACATTTCCAATCCTCCTTCTGGTGCTGTATTGTACAACAGTAGCACAGCAGACCATGCTGGATCAAAGATGATCTCTGTAGCCTTGAAGAAGGTTTTGAACATGCCAGCACTGTCCAGGGATGATCAGCATAGGCTGCACAAGTTTGTGAATGTGCATAATGTACTCCATTTTCTCGGTTTCTGTCAAGGCAATGAAGGTGATTGAATATCTAAGATATGCTACTTGTGCCACACTAACTCACATGCAGTGATTTTATCAATAGGGCTGATGGCTAGTAGTGAGGGAAGAAAAGAGAAGCATGGTTGATCTCAGAACACATATATACATCTCAAGTTTAGGGCAGGCTGACACTGTACAGTTCCCACGATTAAGGTTTGCTGTGTTGATCCGCCGGTGACGAGCAAAGCTCGGTCAGGGAGAGAGCGCGGAATCGAGATCCTTGTTCAGCTCCTTGATGTTCTTGAATAAGAATATCGAGGCTGTAACACACCAGGACAGGGCCTTAATTAGCCTGGAGCGTAGATATTCGAAGACAGTAACTATCAATTACATCCCTCCTCTATCACTCTTCCTCCGTCACCTCCTCCGCATACACCAGATCCGAATCGTATCCCTTCACCTCCGGTAGCAGGAGCGTGAAGCCCGCGCCGACGATGCAGCACGCGAGGATCCAGAGCACATTCGCCGTGCCATCGAGTCGGTGAGTGAGTTGGACGTGCGGAGATGATGGGGTGGCAGTACGTAGGACTTCTAGCTCAGTCAGGTTGATCCCGTGGAACGCGATGTCGAACAGGAACCAGTACGCGCACGTCCCGAGCAGCACCTTCAGGTGTCGCCACTCGGAGAAGTGGTGGAAGAACTCCGCCCAGTGGTCCCGCTTCGTGGCGGGCTGCGCGTGCACGGCTGCGGCTGCGTTTGCGCTGGGTGCGGGCGAGAGCGAGGTGGGCGAGGGTGTCTCGGAGGAGGCGGGCGCGGGCCGCACGGACTCTTGCGCGCCCAGGTCCGCGTCGGTCTTCTTTTCAGTTCATCGATCGACTCCATCTCAGCCTCGACGCCCCTCCGCGACGCCTTGAACCGCCGCGAGTCTGGGAGTGAGCCGCTGATACAACGTGCCGAACGCGGGGACGAGCGACCGCCACACTGCGCACGAAAAGGATCAGACTGGCGTAAACTAGACCGGACCGCGGATACGCACCGCTGTCGACCTTGGACGTCTCGCCCTTGACCTCCATGATGTGATGGAAGAACGCGACCACGATGATCACCATCAAGCTCCTGATGAGCGAACCCCAGCCCTGGCTCGCGAAGATGTACGAGAGGAGCGTGTCGCGCCGGCGGAGGCTTGAACGGTCTGTCGCGACGGACGCGGACATGGGGCAGTCACCCCCAATTCCTATCCCGAGGATGATGTGCCAGATAGAGTGCCAGATAATACTCCCGGTTGCTGAGAGATCGCCTGGAGGAAGATGTAAGCACGGATTAGACGATAGGTGTGTACGCATCGGCTGGCGCTGCACAAAGAAGGGCGTGTGGCGGACGTTCCGGTGTGCCAGACGGATTACCAACAAGAGGACCTCAATAACGAACATGACACTTCACGGTCGCTCGAGAGATGACTAGCATCCAGACAGGCAGCTCAAATGCCCTTGTACGTGGTGCGAGTGCGATCCGTAGATCCCTGAGGAAAAGCCTGCACGAGTCACGGGCTGCGGGCGGTCGCGTGAGCGGCGCGGAGTGGTCAGCGCGGGCAAGGACGCACACATTGATGATAAAGAGGTCAGAGGCGTCGAGGAAGAAGCCGACCTAAGACGAGAGACTGGTGAGCGAGGGCCACGAAAGTATCGAGGAGGTACGACGCACGCCGGCGATGCCGAGAAGCGTGCACTCCCTGGAATTGAGAAGGAAGGGGTAGCGGCCCTCGTCCTCGCGCTCGTAGTCCTCGAGCCCGCCCTTGATGTTGTTTTCTTTCTTTTTCGGAAACGGGCATGGCGACTAGCACAGCGGAAAAGTCGGCGGTCACGAAGTTGCGCGGAGAGGGTGTTCGTCGGGGAGGCGGGCGGTGGGAGAGGACGTTAAGTACGGGTGGGGTGTGGCAGTGGAGAGGAAGAGGACATACCGACAGTCGAGCGACGCACGTTGCGGTGGGTGGTGGAGGAGCTTGAGCGACCCAGTAAGTACATAAGTAGCTGGAGGCGGCGAGTGGTAGTCTCGATCCAGCCGGTATAGCGGTACGGCTGACGCCGAGCGGACTTCGAAAACCCCATACCAGAGACACCGCTATACGGTACTGCTGTGGAAGCCGTGAGCGGCATACATGGTCGTGAGCAGCTCGCAGTGACGGAACGCATCTCATATGCGAGGGAGTGTTCGAAGCGCAGAAGACCAGAATGCAAACACACTCAAAGTCGGTACCGAAGGCCAACGTCCCTTCACTCAACCTCCTGGGCCCGCTGGTCGTATTCGTCATGGACGGATGCTTGGCATGCTGAGCTTCAGGGCCAGTAAATGTCGTTATTTACTCAATGGAATTACTCACGTACCTACACAACGTAGACCTTCGTCGAAACGTTTGTGCGGCTGTCCTCGACATTGAACTTGATGGAACTAAGGGATCATGCGGGATATCGCAGTGCCCAGAGGACGCCGAGGATACTATGTAATAGCAAGCGGTTCGGGTTTCTCAGAAACAAAGGATGCCACAGTCCAGTAGATCAGGCGACGGCGAGAGCATACAATGCGTACGCGCACAGAGTGCGCCTGTCTGATCGGACATGGGAGACAACGGGCTAACAGCGGACCTGCTCGCCTGAGTATAAATGAAAGATATGGCTCCATATGTGTAGAGTACGATGAGGTTGGCGGAGTAACGTCCTCTCCTGCATGGAGATACGGCCAGCGCATCGTCCGCTCATGCGAGACCCCTACCCACGCAATCACCATCTGCGCGGAGGGAGGGCTAAGACGCGATCTCGGAAGCACGACGTTGCCGTCTGTTCGACCGTCTATCGCACTACTTATCGAGAGGAGACACTCACACGCCCGATCGCAGAAGCGAAGTTCAATGCTGCTCGACAAGAGCCGCGGAATGGCGACCTAGAGCGAGAACGTCCTTCGCAAGCGATGGGTCCCCAGCGGTCGGCGAGCGTTGCTAATCGACGAACAGCGTGTTCCATCCAGTCGTCCTGCATATGGGTCGGACGATGGCTGTAGGTCGTGTACAAACGCGGCAAACAGGGAGCGACGCGTCCACTGCTCGGCTAGAAGAGAATCTCGCCGGGCATGACGTACAAAGTGAGGCTTGTTGAGCGGAGGACCGTCAGCGGCCTCGCGAGACCCACGTCGCATACAAGCTGGGTATATGCGCAGAGTTGGGTAGCGCACAAGGTCCGCGCTGCAGCGTCGCGGTCAGTTCAGCCAGGTCAGAATGAAGAGATAAGTCGCCCGTTTGTGTTCGTGTTGGATGGTTAGGCCTGAGGCCAAAGAGACGAACGCCCAAGGAGCCCGATGTGACACTTGTGCTGCACCTGCCGAAGGCAGCGAACGCGCGTCCTCGATGAATCTAAAGAGATCTATCCTGGGAGGCGTCCAGCCGCAGATATTAACGCAGCACAAGACATGCTGGAGTCACGGATTCCGCTTCGCGCGCGACGTGCGGCCTTCAGAAGCTCCAAGGATACAGCGCGGAAGCTCCCGACCGCACGCAGCTCCTACTGCGGGGCACCGGAGGCCACGGAGGTTATTCAGGCTGAGCGTATTCGTGGTTGTGATCAGCGCAAGACGTGTAGACGTGACAATCAACAGTATAAGAGCAGATGGACTGATCAGTATCGATGACCCGGAAGTCGAATACGAGCCTCGACGAGACCGCGACGCTGCAGAGAAGCGGCGGCATCGCAATATCGCAGCACCAGCATGTGATCTGAGATGGGGGAGTGGTGGGGGCGAGAATCATTGATCAAGCACTCACTATGAGCCCGAGGTACGTAGCAAACTCTTGAGATGCGCGGCGTTGATCTTCTTCAAGAGGTCTAGGAGAGTAATCAGCGCAGCACAGCCGCGAAAATAAGTGCCGCGTACATGTTCTGAAGTATGACGCCGGCCCAGAGGCAGCGAGGCGCATCGATGCCAGGAAGAGGGACAGTTGCAAAGCCACGCTCCAGCTTGACGAAACCCCCGGTTACTTGCAGCTGTTTGGCCTTCGCGAAGCACGAGCTGATGATCTCGCTGGGCATCTCTTTCCCTCAATCGAAGGTGGACTTCGTCGACTGCAAACACTGTCAGGATGCGGATGGTAAAACTGCACGACTGATTACCTTCTGCGCGCCGATCTTCTCGATCTTGAGGTAGGTGAGGGCGCTGGTCATCGTCTGCAGAGCCACAAAATCGCCAGCTCATACATGTTGTTGGCCCTAAACGGGCTGTAAGTGAAGGAACAAGCGCAGCCGGTCGATCTCAACATACATCGACGATATAGTTCTAGAAGACAGCTAGTCTCCTGCGCACAGTCGTCGACAACCTCACGCAAGGCCGATCCCGGGCACCTCCGTGGAGTGTGGTGAGAGATGATGTCCTTGTCGACCTGCGGCGCACGTTCTTCTGTACTTAATCCGCAATCCAGGCGGCGATAGGCGTCCAACCCACGGTTGCTCGCACCCGGCGGACGTCATCCAGGGAGGCAAGCCTCCTGGAATCGTTCCAATGCGTCAGCCCGCCGAGCAGAGCAGGCGGGCATCGTCATCTCGGGTATGCGGTCGCGAGGACGGCGGCGGAGGGCTGCGGAGGAGGGCTGCGGAGGGGCCTGGCGGCACTCTAGCGAGGCTCGGAGTATCGAGTGCCCACAGAGGGGGGAGGAGGAGGAGGGAAGTTGGGGGAGCGGCGATAGGCGTCCAACCCACGGTTGCTCGCACCCGGCGGACGTCATCCAGGGAGGCAAGCCTCCTGGAATCGTTCCAATGCGTCAGCCCGCCGAGCAGAGCAGGCGGGCATCGTCATCTCGGGTATGCGGTCGCGAGGACGGCGGCGGAGGGCTGCGGAGGAGGGCTGCGGAGGGGCCTGGCGGCACTCTAGCGAGGCTCGGAGTATCGAGTGCCCACAGAGGGGGGAGGAGGAGGAGGGAAGTTGGGGGAGCGGCGATAGGCGTCCAACCCACGGTTGCTCGCACCCGGCGGACGTCATCCAGGGAGGCAAGCCTCCTGGAATCGTTCCAATGCGTCAGCCCGCCGAGCAGAGCAGGCGGGCATCGTCATCTCGGGTATGCGGTCGCGAGGACGGCGGCGGAGGGCTGCGGAGGAGGGCTGCGGAGGGGCCTGGCGGCACTCTAGCGAGGCTCGGAGTATCGAGTGCCCACAGAGGGGGGAGGAGGAGGGAAGTTGGGGGAAGTTGGCGAGACGTCCCAGGTTCGATTTTGCCACGCGCCTCGGACTCGCCCGGGCCGCCATGCCCGACGCCCAATTCCAGTCAGATCCCGTCACCCAGCGTTCCCCTGGCCGTACTTACTCCGCGCTCAATATCAATGCTGACACTACTCCGCCCATCGGCGGCGCGCTACCCGGCCAGCCTGAACGAGACCAGTTCTCGTCGAGCGAGGGTTCCCGCCGTCGTGTATGCTTCTCGCAGCTGGGTCGCGCTGTTGCGTATGCACGTCATCGTTGCTGTATCCGATTTCTGGACCGTCTTCGGCGCCGCGACGCTCGGGTTGAGTTAAGCTCGCCTTCCATCCAATGACCTCGTGAATATATATCGATCGCGGTTCGCTCACGGACGACCAACAAGGCGTGGCGCGCTAGGATGCCGGTATGCAAGCCGGATTCGTCCTGACAGCGTGCGCCCCACCTGTGCACACCCAACTCAGAGATTCACTTCCAGGGATCACCTCACCATGCCCTTCGTTACGGGTGCATGTTCGAGAGACGCTTGGGTCTCCACGCGAACGCAGTACGCTTGACTCAGACACGCCCTCCCGTCTCGACCAAACCTCCGAGTTCCTCAGACACTTGGGACCTGCGTCGCTCAAATTCCCGGGATCTTGATGTCATGACCCATGCCTCATGCGTAGACTACGTGCACGTTCCGTGATGCCGGTGCAATGCGTACTGTCCGTATACTGCGCATCCTCCGTCAGCCTCAACGGAACTTGAGCCGGCGAGTGCGGAGCCTTGTCCACGACGCCTCGTCCCCAATTTCAACGACGTAGCACCCCACGCCAACCCCACGCCCAGGCATGTCGACCGCCCTCACCTCGCCGTGTCGAGTGGTCGCTCAGCCAAGATCGTATCCACGTAGTGAGCTCGGCCCTCCGAGTCAGACTGTGCTCGGCGGACTCTTGGCTATGCGAGACGTCCTAGTACGCAGTCGCCAGTGGACCCACCGCCCGCTGATACGACGAGATGCGTCCCGGGTTCCGGCCGTAGCCGCAAGTCTCGCTGTCCCGTCCTGCCTGTGCGGATGCGCTCGTCACCGTCGCTAGGACCCCGTGGCCCCGATGTCACTCAAATCAGTACCTCGTCTGTCTGCCAGTGGAGCTACATTGACCTACTCGTCGGGAACCTCAAACCTGAGACGTGCGCAGCCTACATAGAAGTCGTCGAGGTGACTGGACCCAGTGAGAGCGAGAGCAGGAATAGAGATGTCGTCACGATATATCACGCGTGAGGCCTGAGGCCTGAGGACTCAGTACTCAGTACTCAGTACTCAACGTTCAACCTGGGGACTTTCGAATCCCGCTGCTAGTCACACCGCCAAATTTGGAACAGAATCTCTCTTCTTCCGACTCGACTTCAGCGTGGGTCGATTTCAGCGCCGGTCGACTCAAAAGTGTACTGACGATGAATCACAAGTGACCACACATTCACCGACAGGATCGGGATGGAATTCAAACTGTACGACTACGCGATCTAGCCACGGCGCGAACAGAGTGATCATGCTCGACTTGATCGCAAGCATTGTGGCGACTTGAATGGCATCCCCGAAGATATTGATGTATGCACCGTCGTCGTAGTACATTGGAACGCCAGAGACGGGTAGAAGCTGGTCAAATACGCTACGAGACAGTATAGCGTGGAAAGTGGACGTGGAGCAGTGGAGGTGGAGAGCGAGGAACTGCGGCGTGTGCTGCAAGGTAAGTAATGAACCGTAGATACTCTATCGCCATTGACCGAAAGAACTGAAAAGGCGTCTATGTATTCCCATCTCTTGCACGATGCGCGAAAGGGGTCCCGTCGTCGGAACTCATCGCATTGGACAGCAATGTACTGCCGCTGACTGTGCATGTACCGGACAGTCTGGAGGGAGACTGTGGCGACAATGACGGTACACAGGAGTAATAATCTGATGTGTGGCGGCACGACCACAGTAACAGGCGCCCGAAACTTGCAACCATTTATCCCCTTTCGTCTCGGTCTAACTGGCCCGGAAACATTAATATTGTACCATTCCTTTGTTACCCGTATTGACGGCCTTGATAATGGAATGTGTGCGAGGAAGATGTGATGAGATCTGTGTACACCAGTTTTGATACAATGAAATTACGCGAGTGGTACAACATGGGACAAAGTTTCGATGGTGGTTGCAGTGGAAGGAGGCGAATACAGATAGACTAGATTACGGTTGTGATCCATCCTCCGGACCTTCGCAATCAACCCCTTAGACTCACCACGGAAAACCAGCACAGACTTAGAAGGTTTCGCAGGCATTGCAATGAGATGCCGCACCGGTATCAGACCAAATCCCATTCGTGGGCGCACTGGGTCGAGCACTTTCACTCTGCAAACATTGTTGGAAGTTGATAGGAGATCCGTAGGGTCGGTCTTGACTACTCTGGCCTTCCATCCAACAGGGAGATCAGTATCCTTGCTGTGGTTGTCGACACGCAGCATCACAGGATTGCGCTGTAGCGCTCCCCGCAATTCGGCATCGAATAGCCAAGCACATGGTCCTTCTGTAGTACCCAGTGAGGAAAACATCATCTCAGTATACTGCAGCGCTCACCTGGTTCCGGATGAGATGGCCCATTGTACGCACTGATGCTGAACAGGTTGGCAGGTGGACTGGCTTGACTATCCCTTGACACAGAGAGCGTGTTGACTAGAGCAAGCAATGCCAATTTTCCCGTTGATGTTGACGGTATGAGGTAAGTATGAGAAAAAAGCGCGAATCAAACATACCCGAGTCCTTGTCCACGTCACACAGAGAATCTTGGGGGATTGATGGTACCTCTTGTACCTTCTCAGTATGACAATGACCGTGATCTTCAATATCTCCAATTACGGGGGCGGTATCATCCAGGGGCACCAGGGCACCATTGAACCTGTGCTCAATGAACATTGCTCCTACATATGTAGACTGGCACACGTACCATACGTATGCGAGATGTGTATAATGGAAGGTCTCGTATCGTCCCCGCGGAGCATCCATCTCTACGACATAGTGCTCTTCTTTTGACGTTGATTTGACGAGACCACGATACCCCTTGAAGGAGCCCTGGAGGATCTGGACGCGCCGGCCAACACAATGATCGCGCGGGCGACGCAGTTTTGATACGTTGACAAGGTATCCCGTCATGTTTGGTGCTGAAGCTAGACGGGCGTGGTGCTTGATACATCGCCCTCTAACTGGAGAGCAGAACCAGGAGGTGGATCGTAGAACTCCACGTGTCGCTTGTCTTCGGTAACCTGAGTTCAAAATATAAGTATCAGTGCCTTTAAGTTTCTGCGTAGGCGCATGGAATGTTCGCACATGTGTTGTACTATGTGGCAGCATGAAGGTCAGGCCATGACCATTGCCAACGTCCGTAACCATCCCCCACTTCCCCACAAACACTCCGTCTACTGCTCTGACAGTATCTCCGACGCGGAAATCCCTTCCAACGTACTTTGAAAGTGCAGAGGCGGCAACAGGAAGCTTGGGATTGTCTCCACATATGTGAATAGTATCCCCGTTAACGTCGAGGACTCTACCCGTGAAGCCTTGTTGCTCGCCTAGGGTGATCTTGACTCGATCACCAATTTGTAGAGCAATTGTGTCGGCCTGAGAGTAAAATGCGGAAATGAGTTGACGCGGTATCTGGGAAGCGGCCTTGAAGTGGCAGTAGGTGAAGTGGTTGTAGCTGTATCCGGGAGATAGCCAGTCCAGTTCTACCTCTGTTTGCATGAGACCAGCCTTGAACATTTTGTTCTGGAAGAAAAACGCTTCCTTGTCTAGGGCATCTCTGACAACCGCCGCTCCCCAACTCTGCTCCACCATCTCGGTCCGTAATGCGATTTGAGCTGGCCTGCCGCGCAGCTTTCTTGCCCTACGCTCAGACTGCGGGCGAAGATCCAGTCGAGGAATGAGCCAGATCGTGGCCTTTGCCGTCTCCCGTGACACATATTCGATATATGCTGCATCACCTCTGTAACGTCCCCGTCGCAATGAAGCCCAGGAACGTGAGGTGAAGCTTACGGGCGGCCGAGAGAAGATAGAGGCACAATCACCCGGTTCAATGAGCTGAGTCCGGAACCGATATCCTTCCCCTTTTGCGAGATCCAGAGCTTCACGTATGCCTGTTGGTGAATTGGCTTCCACATAGCAGACGTTCCCAGCAAGCACGGATGCTGATAGGATAGCCCAAGTATCCTCAAATACAGCGAGATTGTAAAGCCATACGAGGAAGCACATGGCGTCGCCAGTCTAAGCGTTGTTTGTGAGCTGCTTTGCTGGAACCCCATGGGCTAGTACTTACGAGCACTTGAACCTTCATCATGCATTGGCCGTCAGCAGGCCCTCCCCGAGCATCCAATGGGATGCCAAGTTCGGACAACGAAGCAAGAGTTCTCCCGAGAGTGGCTCGATGCACGTAGGATTGTGCCAAAGAACACAGCCTGGAGTTCTCCTCCTGAGCGTCTTCCATCTCCTGCTCCGGCCAGGGGTTGGCTGATGGCCAATTGTCAAGTGCTTGATCGTCAAGGAAGTTATCTACTAGCACGTCAGTAAGTGGGGGGAAATGGTCAGTGTATAACTCTATACCCTCCAGAACATCTTCGTCCCCTTCCCCTTCATCGCTATCCAATGCTGCCTCCAAGTCCAGAAAGCGAGATACCTCGCGACGCAAGCCGTGATTGTGGGTCGACATGGATTGGCGGTGGCTTGGTGCCCCGGCATTGGTCGACATGAGGCTTACTTCCGCTGCGACAATGCACCCTTTTTGATCGACCGTAACGGTGCCTATACGCCCCCCTGCGGCGTTATATACTGTGCGGGTCATCTGCAACGCACCCAAAGAATTAATGTGAAGGCTAAAGAAGACATTGTGTTTGAGCATACCGGTCCAGATATTCGAGCTCGGTCCATTGCCATCATATGCCGGATCTTAATAACTTTAGCTACTGAGCACGAACAGTTGCTGGGGTGCACTGACAGCCTCTATGCAAGGTTCGCGCACGAAGTCAAGTTCGAGAGGAGCAGGTGCAGAGCGAGATGGAGATCGACAAGGGGACTGATGAGGCGCTGAGGCGATAGTTCAGCGCTAAGAATTGCTGTGCTACGAACAGAAACTGCTAACTTATATGCTACAGTTCAATTCGCCACGATTGCGGACCACTATGCTATGGCTACGCTACATCTATGTAGCTGTAGGGTCTGGGGATCGTTCGCTCCCGCATACCATGCTCAGTGGTCAAATATGTGTCTATTGTGTGTGGCTAGTACAAACATCTATTCCTACAAATGACCGACCCACCTTCGGTCCATCGCATCTCACTGTTGATCTGCACTGAGCCAGGAGGTCTCGGCAGGCGAGAAGACTTGTGAGTATGCGGCCGGCCTGGATGGAGTGGGCCTGGTACAGCGAAGAAGGCTGGAGCAGGGACCCGTCGACGAATGCAGAGTTCCCAATAATCTGTGAAACGGTCACGGCCAACGAAATTGGAAGATGGGAACGAACGTGACGAGAGGTCATTAGCGGCTCATCTCGAAGGCGCAGTCAGTCTGATACTCCATCTGTCGGGAGTGATGAACATCGCCTCCAGACGCACTTCGCCTTCGTGCTCTTGACCGCGCCCGGCTCGGGGTGCCTGAAAAGGTGGTGCGTGTCGACCATGTCGACGATGACGCTGCACTTGCTGATATCCTTGCTCTTGCGGCTCTGCGGACGGGTTGTAGGGTGCAATCGAGAGCGGCTTGATGCCCGTGTTGACGAGGAACTGGGCGAAGACGGACTTATGCTTTGTCGGCCCGCCTTGAGGTCGCCACCGCCAATGAACATCCTGTGGCGCTCCGTGAGCTCTATGACACCCGAAACGAACGTGTTCTGGGGCGCGCCGTTCCACGAAGGGCTCACCCTCGCAGATGTACGCGACAGGCGAAGAGCATCGAGGACTACACCTTAGAGTGCGACGCCTTGATGGCCGCGAGGAGCGCGCCGACGGTGTCGTTCACGCCGGGGATGATGCCAGTTGCTGTAGCGCTCCGTGTTTGAGGTCCAGAACATGGCGGTACGGTCGAGTGACTCGAGTCCGTGCTCAGCCTGGAAGCGGCTCATGTCCGCGAGAAGCTGCCCAGGGTGGGCCTGCTTGTCCGTGCTGGGGACGATGTTGCCCGCATGACAGACTTCCTTCTTATCGATTGCCTGCTGACGCGGGCACTGGTAAGGGCGGCCGCGATCGCGAGTGAGGTGCATCCAGTGGGGGCGTACCTTCGAATTTCGAGCTTTCACGCTCATTCTGTCCACTCACACTGCGCCCTTCACTCTCCTTTCTCTCTGTGTTCTCCTCTCGTCGTCCTCCCCCTGCGTTCCTTGCGGTTCACGCAGTCGTCTCGCCCGACGCAAGCGTCTTGATGTTCGGTGACTCGGAATCGGCTGGTAGACGACAGCAGGTAGTCGGACGGCTGCGCGGGTGGTCAGGAAGATGACTGAGCGGACAGACGAGAGAGCGGACGCCGGACGAGAAAGCAGATGGGCGAACAGGAGCAGACGGGCGGGAAGACAGGAAGGCGAGAAGGCACTTAAGCAGGTGGTCGAAATGCCCTGTAAGTGCGAGCCGATTGCAGCCACACCTGCCACGACGCTGCGTCACGCACCTGTTCCCGTTGCTCTAAGTCTGCTTCAAATAATGTGTTGTCCCAATCCTGAAACGCCTTACTGATCGTACGCATGCAATGTCTGCGGCTGCTGATTGTGTCCAGGCTAGTCTTCCCCGTTCAGCTTCTCCGTCTGCATAGTGGAGGCGATTGTGCCACCAGCAACCGCACCTCTGACGTCCCCGTGGACGTCAGGGATCGGTCCGTGTGAATAGCGCGCTGCGAAATCGTCCTGCGCGAGGTAGTGTCGGGATTGGGTAACACGCTGGCGCTGCGCAACTACGGCCCTCTGCGCAGAGACCTAAATATCCAGCGAGACTCACCGCAACGCCTTGACCATCCAACTTGTGTCGCTTGGACTGATCCCATACGCGAAACCTTCCCCCTCGAAGTCTTGCTGGTATGGATGGGCTTGATTGGTCTGCGCAAGCCAGGCTGATACGCCTCAGAAGGAGCGTCATCCGAGCTAGCGTGGGCATCGTCCGGGAGTCCGTGAACATCACCCGGGCCGATCCCCAACGCAGACATCAACGTGAGTCTGCAGAGGGCAAGGTGTGCGCGCACTTGCGACCGGGCGACAGGGATGAAGGAAGCGAAGCCCCATTGGCCCTGGGCACCGCTGGGGTGACCCCGGTCGGCTTCGCCTGCATCTTTGTTGATCTTCGAGAGAGACGGATGGGATGAAACGCACGGGGGAGCATGGCTGCGCTCGGTATTGTTTCAGGCTTCGAGCCCTGTGAGCGTAGGTCGTCATATTCGTCGCCGTTCGCAGACGACGGACAGTTCACTATCACCATGTCATGAAACTCAGAACCACGGGTGAGGACTTCCACGATGAGCCCGAGCAAAGGTGGCCGCTCGCTTCAGGACATGCAAAGCGCATCTGCCAAGGCCGAGTGACCTTCACGTCAGCGAATCGCGCTGGCCAAGAGGGAGCAAGAGGCGGTTGGGCAGCCAGACCTCGCGCCGACGTACTCTCGAACTCCATGACTGCCGAGCTACAGCGCATAATTTATAAACGAGACCCCTGCCTACATCCGATCCTGGAAAGCCCCGTTGTAGCCACGAAGCACACACACGCATCTGACGACGCACCATGATCCCCTGCAGCCCGCTCTCCCCTCTGCACAGAATCAAACCCATGATACCTCCCTCCACCGCACGTCCGCCATAAACGCGGTTTACGTCGGCAGGTGCGTCGGCGAGTGCGTTCGCAAGTGCGACGACTCGAAGTGAGTCGCGCTCGCGTTGTCACGTGTCCAATCAGCGCCTCGTCCCGGCGCGCCACACGGCCACATCTGAACGCTTTGATCATTGACCTATGGCTCACCGGGTGGCCTTTCAGGCACGCCGTTGCATGGAAACGACCTGTGTATAAAAGGCCTCTAGAAAGGTCTGTTGTGTTTCTTTCATCTCCTCGTTCTGACTGCCCTCATTGCTCAATGGCAGAGCATTGCCGTCTCGGTGCGCCCAGCGCCAATAAGGCGGACCTCGAGAATGCTGCCAAGGTCCACAATTAATGCTGTACGCAATGTGCCAGAAGCCAAAATACTAGAATATCGCGATTATGTGAGTTTTGTGCTCGTGTGGCCCGGATTTAGCCAAACCTTTCACAGATTTTCGCTGGAAACACACTCTTTGATCCAATTGAGTCGTACACAGCCGCGAATGCGGGTAAGTTGGCTGAACCTGGAGAGCTTCAAAACCTGGTATTTGAAGAGTATCCAGGATGACGTCGTGCACTCTTTGCTGGGCATGCTTGCAGACCGTACGTCTTAGACCAGGCTCATGGCACACACTGATCTCGAGTCTGTACCATAGCTCGGCATTCCAAGGCTCTGATATACGCACCAGCAAGTTGCCTCCCATCTTAATCGATCACAACACCAGTTTTGTACGTACCTTCTCTTTTCATTTCCGGCGAGTACACACTAATTCGGAAATTTCAAACGACATCTCTCAGGTACAATATCCACGATACAACCAGCCTACCGCCATCGTCGCCGTGCTGGAGTTCTGACGCATCCTCAGAGGACCTTTTTGGGGATACTCGCACGTCTCTGCACGACTCTGTCCCGAGGCTGCCTGGTCGAAAGCAGCACACTGGTACTGCTTTGCGGACAAACAGCCTCGGCACAACGATTCGTGCATCTTGTACCTCTAAGCGTGCTTCCAGCGAAGTCATTAAAATCTCTGATGATGATGATACTCCGAGTCCATCGCCTCGTTTGAGTCGTGGGTCCATTGCCCAATGCGTCACGAAACCACCGGCTAGCATAATGGGGCAGTCATGCCACAATCATGACTCGGAGACGCGCGCTCAATGTGTCGCAAAGTGTGTTGTAGCAGGACCAGTGGGGCCTTGTCTGCTGCCTCCACAGTTTTCTCAAGCAGGTACGAGCATCAACTGTCGACAAATAATGTATTGGGAGCAGTGACACTTACTGGGAAGGAGGATAATCAGCGAGCAACAGGCCACCCTCAGGCGCTTGCGCGGTCCGCCGTACCACTACGCCCATCGAAGCAACCGGTCATTGTGTCACTGTCTGTCACACATCGCCTTGTGGGATAGATACTACAAGTCATGTAGCACCAACAAACCGCCTTACAGCAGCCAGTCCTGAATATTTGAACAGGGGCGCGAGCCAAATTGGGAAGTACTGGCGCGATTAAGCGTCCCAGAGGGACTCCGAGTCTTACTGGCAGACACGACCGACTTCTACTAGGTAAGCTCGACTTCTACTGAGACGGACCGAATTCTACTGAGATACGTTGTCTCAGTAGAACTGACGACTTTTACTGTGACTGCTCTGGTCATCACCCGACAAGACTCCTGCGTGCGAATTCCGAGACAATGGTACGTTGATCACACATAGTAAGCCATGGCGGATGCACGCTGACACCCAAGATCAGTGCTCTGCATGCCTAACCCGACGCCTGCCCGGCCGAGTGCGCACAGTGTGCTCAGCAGGGGGGAAGATGATATCAAGTGGCAGAGGCACGAAGACTGGGTCAAGAAGCATTTCCGTGACAATATAGTGTGGAACTTCGACCCAGCGAAGTTCATCCAGGCTGTAGGCTAGAGCTTCGGACGCGAGGACGTACCGCCGAGACAGTTTACCATTGCGGGCAAGCCTAGCAAAAGCTTGACGCCGCCCTCCTTGGACATGGCGTCCTGGCGTCGTTACATACGGGAGCGGAGTGAGAGGAAGTGTCACGAGCCGCTGGCGAAGATAGCTGACAGGCTGCTGAATCAAATATACAGCGCGAAGGGCAACCGGCAGCCCAAACATAGCGTCTTCCCGGCGTAATTCAAGAAGCGCGACACGAAATACGAAGGGAGCTACACGGATGAGAAGGTCGTTATGAGCTTCAGCACGATAGAATGACCCGCGGAAAGTGGCCGCAATGGGACTTCGAGGTCGCTTTCTTGGAGGTCAAGAAGACGAAGGTTGGCGTTCCACCGAATCGCACGCAGTTGCTGCAGCAGGTCGATACGGACGCGGGTCGTGCCGCGGAGGAAGGAAAACGCAAATGAATGCCCAGCGGAGGACTTCCGTATGAAATCTCTTATTCAACTGAAAAACCAACTGTATTGTACAACCCGAGTGTGATGCGTGATAGAAGCGTGGATAGATAAATAGATAGTTGTAACGCTATTGAAGACAGTACTGACAGTAGAGACCAGGGACGGTGAACAGAACGGCAGGTAGGAACAACAAAAACAAAGAACAGACACAGACTAGCCCTGTGTGCCTTTCGCCCTTGTCCTTCCCTTCGGAATCGGCTTCTGGGGTCTCTTTCCCAATGCCTTAGCCGTTGCCAGGGACGGCGCTTGGGTGGCTGGCTCCTCGAAGTCCAAGTCCGCTGCCTCGGACTTCTCCTCGAACGAGTCTTTGATGTCCTCAGACGAGGACGCCTTGCCAGGCTGCGCAGGCACTTCTGGGCGTTGAGAACACCTCAACATGTCGAGACGGCGCTTCTTTGCGTTGTCTCTGACTGAGGGTCCTGCCGAGCCGCCTCCACTGTTGCTCTTACGCCTTTTCTTGGCTGCGATGTCTTCCTCTGCCCACTTCCACGCCTTATCGGGGTCTGCGTTGTGGAACTCTATGCTCCGCGGCTGGTCATCACGCAGCTGATTCTTGCGTCGAGTGTCCGCTGTGAGCCAGGACCCTTGACGCAAGCTCTCGATGATGCCTGGCATCGGATTGCGAACCGGGGGAAGGGATTCGAGGTGGGGACACTTTTGCTTCCACTCGGCGAGGGACATGTTGTAGAAGCGGCGTGCCGCATATGTCCCAGTGGTGATGGCGAGCCTCCGAAGGGCTACCATCGCTTCGTCCCACTTGGCCAGAAAATTGCGTAGGATGATCCCATCGTGTCCGCTGTAGTGGGGAAGGACCCGCTGGAGTCACTTCAGCCGCGAGAAACACATGAAGATGATTGTGACTCACCACCCCAAGGCCGGCATCGAAGTAAGCTTGCGGGCCCCAGTGGTTGCGCACTCCCTCAGCGAGGAGGTCAAGGTCATGAGCCCCACGGAATACGTATACCTCGGCAGAGATTTTGCCAAGCAGGATGTCAAGCCCGTGAGCAATCCCACCGATGAGAATATGTGGCTCGTCTGTTCGCCTGGGGATAGACCTGTAGTCCGATATGTTGTGATCCATCGTGTTGAAGCTCGGAATGGCTGACGCTGTGCGCGCACTCTCATCGATGTTGATGACAATCCAGGTCAGGTGTTTGTACACCCGGCCATCTGGCCCCTGCGTAGTGCACCCATCTACAATCTGTGCGGTATGAGCCCCATGGTTCAAATGTCTGATATAAGCTTACTACCTTCGCGAACACATTATCCCTCGTTTGAGACACACTAGCCTCGAACTCGATGGCATCCACGTTTGTGGACTCCAGGTCCTCAAGGGTCTCGGAGTCAGAGCCTGACCCATCTTGCGGTGGGTTGATGCGTAATGATGTTGTCATGTCGGGTATTTTGAATCGTATCTTACCGTCTTCTGTGTTGACAAGAAGTGTTCGCCCTCCATTTGCCACATTCTGATGTGAGCCCAAAACCAGAGCAGGCTGTGCCGCCACATCGATCTCTGTCTGCATTCCATGAACGGCATCCTGGTGAAGGTCTGATGCGCCTGTCATTGTCAGAACCGCATCGACTGTGTCATACTCAAACCTTCAAGTTCCAACGTGTTCGAGCATGGGTCAGTACCAATTAAATCAGTATGGCCGTGACAACGTACGAGATTGCACGCAATATTGGGTGATTATCACCCAAGAATTCTGCAAGCTCCTCCCACAGATCGCGGGGAAAGTTGGGAACCTGGTATGCACATAATCGCGGTCAGACAACTTGAACAGCGGTGCATGGAACTGTGAACCGACCACTCACCGTTCGCTTGGCCTGAATGTACGGGAAATTGATGTCACTCAGCCAGTCCCCGAAGACCAGACCAGCGTGCTGGAAGCCCTCTAGAAAGGAGGGATGTCCTCGTCACTGTCTAGCTCCTCCTCTGTGGTATGGTCGGCAACTGTGGGTGACAGCGACTTCGCCCCTAGGTGACTTGTCAGGTCATATAACAGATGTAGAATTGTGCACTTACTGTTGCTGAACAAATCTTCTTCCCCGTTGTCGGAATCCAATGACGGACGCTTGAGTGAGAAGTAGCCGGAATCGTCGTAATGACTATCGGACCACTCGCTGTTGCGCGGGGTGAGTGAGTCCGGGAGGAGAGGAGGACCAGGGCGATAGGACTCGGAGCGAAGCGTGCCTCGAGTGGGATGCATGCTGGGAGGCAACGCGCAGGGCAATGCCCATAGAACCATCTGTCGCCGTAAGCCTTGACACTGAGTTATTATGGGCGAAATGAGTCAAGTGACGCGCCCAGGCTCTGGATGCCCAAAGGAGTATCTGTGAGCTTCCACCTGTCCTGCGACAGCGATATGAACCACGTTCTCACCAGAAAGGTTCCGATATGCTTCGAGTTTCCAAGATAATTGCGGACCATTAACCCAGGCCAGGAAAGCCGTTCCATGGCCTTGGGACATGTATGGTGCGGGCCACTAAGTCAACGCTACCTTGGGCGGGACTTGCTATGCTGGGTATCTACACGTGACCTGGCCAAATCCCCGTCACCCAACTTCGTCAATTTCGAGTGTTGGGAAAATCTGAGTAGGATTGTTCCTAATGCGAATTGGAGCAACTCTACAAGCAGAAAGTACGAGAAAGTACGAACCTCAGGCCCAACAGCTATGTGGCGCGCAGCGCCGTAGCGCATAGCATCCGGAAGTCACATTTCCGCGAGGATTCTCCTCGTAGCGCTACATACGCTGCCCTACGCTCTCTCGTGGAGTCGTGTTGTTTCACTTCACTTCATGCCAATATTCCACTTCGCTCCGCTTCACGTCACGTCATTCCACTTCACTTCATCTCTCTTCAGGTACCATTCCTGGCTTGACCTTCCAATTATGGAAGGCTTGGTCAGCGCAACTTGCGCGGTTCAGCTCAGTGCTGCTCACTGTTCTTCATGATCTGCGTCTGTGACCCGTGCACCGGCCCCCTCGTTCCTGCCTCCCTGTTCTCTAGCTCTTGCTGCTCACCTACTCTCGTCGCCCTTCTCACCGCGCCCAGCTCGCTCGGTCTTGCATGCCCATTCGCCCGTTCTCGAACGCGTAAGACTTACAGGTGAGTCAGATGCGCAGCCTGAAGACAGTGGGGGCTGCGAGCTGATGTGAACACCTTGTGCAACAGCTGCAGACGGCCCTCCGAGTCATGTCAGAGATCGACCAGGCAGCTAAGCGCGATGAGGGCAGCAGTGTGGTCCGACACTCGTCACTGAATCCCAGTCTTACCTGCCTATACCTCCACCTCAGCCCTCTGCGGGACGTACATTGTGTCGCGCCCTGTGATAGCCGTCCATCCGGACAGCATCCAGACGACCACAGCCCAGGCAAGTGTAATGCCAATGACTCTACGCAAGACTGCCATTTGGATGTGTCGTTCGGCAAACAAGCTCAGTTTCTCGCACGGTGAGTGGTTCTCAAACCGGGCTGGATTTGAACATTGGACACGCATGGACAGGTCGAGGCAGCGACAAAGCATACGAACGTGCGACATGCTCAGGTGAGTTGGACGCGCAGGACGATGGTCCGCGCAAGCTGATGTGGACGCCAGACATCACTCGCGCAGCAGCGGTGGTGGGCGGTCAAACCAAAGGCTTAGCAGACCACCACGCGTGACGAGGGCAGCAGCGTGGTTCGGCGTGCATTGTTCACGTAGCTGGAGCGGATAGGCTCGACACACCCGCTTGCCCGTTTACCTGCCCGCGGACCCGCCCCTGACCTGCCGTGACCCGCTCATAACCCGTACCCGTTCGCACGGGTCAGTTCCCGGGGCGGGTACGGGTGCAGGTCGAGCTCGGGACATAAGTAGATAGTCATTCTACGGGATCGATCTGTATGCCAGTGCCCTACCGTCTGACGCGGGTTCCTCTTCTCGTATAGCTGCTATACAACGGAACACTGGCACGCCGCACGACTTCAAGCGGCGGATTCCCGAGCCCATCGTAGTCGTTGTGGACGTGAACGGTCACCCCGCACGTGCGTTGCTGGATACTGTCTCTCTCGCTGACTTCATGTCCTCACGTCTCGCTAATCAGCTAAAATTTGACCTCTGGAGCACGTTGGACTCACTAGATCTCTGTTCCTCTCAGTTCTGCTGTCTGATGACGACGCGAGGACCGTCGGAATGTGTCGAACGGTGTTTTCGTCCCACAGTTGTCGCTCAGATACACCAACATGGCTGCTGTCACTGGATCTAACATCCGCATCTTCGTACCTTTGTCGCAGGCAGGAAGTCGATGTCGCCTCAGTAAGCCGTCCGCTCACATCTCCGAGCCGACGGACAAGGAACTCACCGGGTGGTCCAAGGCAGCCGTACCAAGCATGCTTCCCCTGGCCGTTCGCATGTCACATGAAACCTGTTCTATGATATACTAGGTCAATATACTGGCAGGACGGGCGTCTGCCTGGCGCAGACGCCGGTCTGCACCGCACGAGCGCTACAAGCCCTCCCTTTGGCATGTGGCTAGCAGTGTGTTGGGCCCTGCAACTGGGGGGTCAAATTCTAAGCACAGATAAGTACTTAGGTCGAACGGTGTACATACCATCAGTGTCCATGCACATTTGCAGCCGGCACACGGTGCAAGTAAATATACTAGGTAATTATACTGGCAGGACACGGAGATTTAGGCGCGCATCGCTTTCTCTGCGCGCGCTCTCCTCCTCGCTGCTCTCGAAAGCCCAGTAGAGTCTACCGGCCTTCGTACCGCTCTCGTTTCTCCGACGCTCCACTCCCTTTTCACGCAGCGAGCGCCTCACCAACAAAATTGTCTTCATTGGCTCAAAGCGCCCACCCTGCGGCCCAGCAAGGGCTGCGGCTACCCGCCCGGATCGCTCGGCTCTGCATCAGAGCTTCGACACATTGTGGTGCTGCTCAGCCTTCGCCTTACTTACCCCCTTCCCGAACTCGTACTGTCGTACATGGCTGTCTGGCCCAGTCTCTCACAAGCATACTTCTTCAGTCTTCCGGTGTCCCGAGGCCTAGGGGCTCGCACTGGCTGATTCGGTCGTTTTTCTGTTTGTGACTCGTAATTGGTATGTACAGTAAACCAGCTACTAGTAGGCATGCATCAGCCACCAAGGCGGATCGTTCATGACAACCCTGGCCGCAGACTGCAGCAGGACAGTGACCCGTCACTAGGAATCCGCCCGGCGGTTTCTCTACGCGGTTGGCAAAACTCCCCTCACTTCCAGGTTGTCGCTTACGCTCGGTGCGGTATGCCGGCCTATGTGAGGCCTACAAACACATGTGCGCAATATCTACAGACGTAACAATAGGTATCGGGCACGTATTTTGCGATTCTCTATAGCATTAACACGTAGTCAGTGCGGGAAGTTATACAACCATATGGTCGTCCGGTCGGGGTAACCGGGTTCGAACGGAAATGTGAGTTGTAGCAACAAGACAGTCGTAGACGGCAGAGGCGCGTTTGTGGCCGGCAGTGTAGGGGAGGAAGAACACAAGGATGACGACGGCGTGATATCTGTGTGAAGGATGGACGTGAAGATCGCGTTAGTCTGCTCTATGAGTGCGTCGGACTCTGTCGGTATGTGCGGTTCTTTGACGGTGTCGCGGTCGGGACTCGCCCATGAGATGGTACAATGTGCGCATGTCTCCCGCGTTACGCGACGGCGTGGACCCGCCGTAGTCGTGTCCCCTTGAAGGTCCCAGCGCGTCTGTGGGTGAGTCGCTCGTTGTCGGACGTAAGTTGAGCGAGAGGGTTGACCCGGGTAGCGCGGCCGCAGATTCACAGATCATGTTGACTGAAGGAAGGTTCCGTCGGTGAGCATCCTCGTAGTTCTGCGCGGCGCGTAGGCACTTGCCAAAGGGCGGAGGAGGAGGAGGGCGAGGTCTGGAGCCCGGCCCCCGGACATGGCTGTTGCGTGTGTTGTGTTGATCCTGTCGACTGGTAGAGTAGAAATGGGAGTGAGAGAGGGTCGATGCACGGCGTAGACGGCTTAGGGATCAGTCGAGACCTAGTATTTGTCGCCGGCGGCGAGCAGGTGGTGATAGTGAGCCAAGTTATAACGCGGCGCTCGAGCGAGCGCGCCGCGTATACTCCTCAGGGTCCCGCTTATGCGAGGGCGAACCATTGTGTGGCTCGGGCGGCCCCCAGATACCTGCGGCCCATGGACCGAGGACATGGACCGAACCGAGGAGGGATGGAGGAGGGACAGTCTCGGTGCACTGAGCACTCGACTTGCCGTCCGTCGCGGCTCGCCCGCGTGGCTGCCTCTCGTTGTCCGCCGACGCCGTGTCGAGACCCACACGTTCTCATCTGCGAAGGCGAAGGTTAGCGCGTGGCGTCGGACCTACGCACCCTGCCGGTGGGAATGCTCGCTGAGACGCAGCCAAACACAGAAGTATGAGTACCCCCCAGCCGTCTGTGAGTCATCGACACGCTGCACGGCCCCAGAATCTCGGATGTCGAGCTTCGGCACTGAGCATACTTGGACTTGAGATGGAGCGAGGGCGTTCAGTCGCGTCTATAATCCTCAACATGATTGGACAAGACACGCCACGATGCGGGGCCTCCAGATCCGAGACAGGCCGCGACGGACGTGGCTCTAAGTAGGAGCCACTGGCGCAGGAGCTGAAATTTGGCTCAGGTTGTCTATGGGAGGCTACATGAGCCTGGGCAGCAAGTTCTGCGCTAGTCGTCAGGCCGATCTCGCCAGACTCAGTGAGCGTGCGGGGTTCGAGGATGCGCGTTTAGACGAGCTTGCGGACGACGGGGTCTGTGTCGCGCGTGCGGGCCAAGATCGGCGGGAGTGTCGCGGGGGTTAAGGGGAAGGTGAGCGGTAAGGGGAAGGTGAGCAGCGCTGAGCGACGCACGTCGCTGGGATGGTTGAATGAGAGACGAGGTGCAAGAGGGTAAGCTAGCAACTTACGGAGCAGCATCGTAGGTGAGGCAGTCAATGAGCATGTCCATGATGGTCTGCTCGCCCTCTTCGAGTTTGATCACATCCTCGGAGCCAGCGAGTTTTGAGAGCGCGACAATGGCTCGGTTACTGATGGTGGACTCTTTGTCGCGCGCGCGTTCCATGAGGGAGGAGCGAAGTGAGGAGTAGAGGTCCTCACTTGCCGTGGGGTTGGCCATCAATGCTCGTACACGAAGGAAATCAGAGGGAGAACGCATTCGATCTTGCCCAAGTGGGCGATCGTCTCCGCGATGCACTGTATGACGCGGTAGCGGACGTTCTTGTCTTTCGCGACCCATCCGGAGAGGGAAATCGAAGGACGCGAGAGACGAATCTGGACGCGGTTGTTTCCTCCTTGTCTCCTTTTTCCTCTGCACCTTGTGCAGCCTCCTACGAACTTGATGGCCCTGCCGGCGAGATGGAACTTGTAGAGCGCAATGCAATTCTTCTAGTGGTTTGCGGGTGTGGACTGCCAGACCTGCTCGAATACCTTGGGGATGGAGGTGGGAAGGGATCGCTGCGGGAACGGGACGCGCCAAAGTCGAACGCGTCGAACGAGCTTCGCAGCCTGCTCGACATGTCGGCGGGCCTTCAGCGTCAAGTGGTTATGCTGGCCCGAGGGAGATGGAGGCGGACGGCGGATGCGACGTGCCAGACCACGGGATGTGGACGTGTTCGAGAGCCCAAATCGGAGCCCGCGGTTGCGTCCAATAATGCTCAAGTCGGGGAACTTCAGCTTCAGTGATCGCGCGGTACGCAGGTCTTGCCGCATTTGGGAATCACCCTACCCAACCTGCATGTGGCTCGCAGCGCATTGGGCCCTGCAACTGGGGGGTCATATTCTAAGCACAGATAAGTACTTAGGTCGAACGGTGTACATACCATCAGTGTCCATGCAAATTTGCAGCCGGCACACGGTGCAAGTAAATATACTAGGTCAATATACTGGCAGGACGGGCGTCTGCCTGGCGCAGACGCCGGTCTGCACCGCACGAGCGCTATAAGCCCTTAGAATGTGCCTGCGCGCAGCGCAGTCTCACCTGCTCTCAGTGCCATATCGTTCAGCGCAGCCGCCGCGCACAAACGGCGGCAGCTCAAAATTCAGAGAGGAACACCTCTCCCCTCGTGTGCTTTTTGCACCCTGCACATCTGCGCGACGAGACAAGCGTACTGAGGCTCGTTTCGCATTTTGCTGTCTAGGCGGCGTGATCACTTGTCATTTGCATACGCCGCCTTCGCGAGTCGCACAAGCCTCTTCGCCCACTACGACTCATTGACCGCCTGCATCGAGGACGAATTGTGAAGTTTCGCCGCAGCGTACACATTCTCTCCGACAGCGTACATACGGGTGCATAGTGTAAGACATAAGCTCCCGTTCGTCTCTCTCGTTGGCCACCGTTTTCTCCATGCCCTGCGTAGATCACCGCATCCGCCCAGCCACCGCTCAGTCCCTCGCGACCTGCACGCACACCTTCCCGACATGCTGCTGGTTCTCAAGATACTCGTACTCCGCGCGCGTCCCCTCGAAGGGGTACACCTTGTCCACGACGGGCTTGAAGCCCTCGTGTTGAAGAGCCATACGAGCGCCTCGAACCTATACAACGAACGCGTGAGCTGCGAGGCGCGGAGGGGGAGACGGAAAGTGGGACGTACTGCGTGCGCGAGCCAACGAGGATGTCGCGGAGGAGTGCTCCTTCGAGGGATATATTGGGCAGGTTCGACATGTCGCGAGCCTGGCGGGACAAGGCCCACTGAGCGGGGATGTGTAGACTTTGAATGGAATACTCATGAAAATGCGTCCTTCCCTGCGTGACGAGCAGTAGACTGAGCTTGAGCGCGATTTCGGGGCGAGGTACTACACAACATGACATACCAGATGTTAACCACCGCGTTCACACTTCACCCATCGTGCTGGGTATGTCAGGTCGAAGGCCAGTCTCTCGATCAACGACCGCCGTCCGTTTGACTCGGTAATCCCTATAGCGAGGTCACGAACTTAAAAGAGCTGCTAGGAAATGCATCAGCGGGTTGTGCACAGTACACGTCCTCATGGACGTACGAGACTGGATGATTACAATCGCGAGGCCACATGCCGGGATTACCCACAGCTGAAGCGCGCTACGCAGCTTTAACAGGCTCTGGGGCAGCTCTAGCCATACACCCGATAAGCGGAGAACCTGGCAGCGCTGGGTGCACGAACACGGTAAGCTGGACCTGACTAGCCAGGACGTGATCCGGCCACTCGAGGATCCGATCAAGGAGACTGGTGACTTGTGGTCAGTCAATTTATGTCACCCCAAATGACGGACGTCCACTGATCCACCTATCGTAGTATCCTTCGCGGTAGCCTCGCGCCCGGAAGGCCTAGGTTTCACAGGCAAGGCGCATGCCTTCGGCAGCGAGGATGACTTCGTCCGCGCCGTCGAGAGGGGATCGATTAAGAAGGGCGAGAAGACGGGCGTCGTGCTGAGATACCTCGGGCTGAAGGTGGAGGACGATAAGCACAGTTCAGTACGGATGACGGCGAAGCGGTCTTGGGAAGCCTTCGACAGCCGTGACGCGTACTGTGTGTCGACCATCGTAGCAAAGGAGAATTCGATCTTGGACAATGGGTCGACTTTAGAAGTCCACCGGTGCTGGTTCAGCTAACGAGATGGAACATGAGGGTAGCGACGACGACCACTGTCAAGCTCCGTTTTCGCCATTGTCTGGGAAGCTTGACAGTTGGGCTGCCGTAGGGGTCTTCTGGGTCATTGACTCATGCTGCAGGGGCTGACGGTGGTCGACTTCTACGGGAGGCTGGATGGCCCTGAGATCACTATTGCTGACAGCGAGCGAGAAGAACGTACCTGGGCTCCTATACGACGCGCGTACCGCGCACCCGCAAAGATCACCGACAAGTTCCATCGAATATATCCCCTATCCCGCTGCGCGCGCAATGAGGACAACGTTGTGCAGAGCATATCACATGAACCGGAGAGATCAGGGGACGTGGTCGAGGAAGGACCCCCCTTGGTCGTCGACGAGCAGGGAGGCGTTGTCGTCGGAGGCCAGACAGGGAACAAGAACCGAGATCCCTGTCCTCGCTGACGAGACGCGAGGAACAACTTGAACGGGTCTCTAAATAGAAAACAAGTACTGGTATGTGTTTGTTTCAACGAACGTTGAGACCAGCATACATAATGACGGCTCCGAAACGGGCACTGGTAGTGAGACATTGCGGAGCGGGAAGGCCTACGGATGTGTTTGGGGGAAGGTGCCAAGTCTTTCACCTTGGTGTCGAATGCACTCGTGCTTGGTCGAGCCGTTTCGCGTGCTGTGTTGTACGAGCCATTGCTACGTGAAAGAATCCCCGGTACATACTTGCTCTTCGCGTCCCGAACATCAAGGAGGTGGCCGTGGAAGGGGTGGCGCCTCTTGAAATCTTTGCGTCCGTCGGTGTATACTGGATTACTGCGAGTGAGCGAGAATGGGCCGACCACGAGTCAAACCAGTCTCGAAGTCGGTCGTAAAAGTGAAAGTGACATACGACGGAGAACCGTCCGCCGCAGTCTCCGGACGCGTCCATGAAACTAGACACGCGTGTTCCATGTGTCGCGACGGGACACCCCCTCTTCCCTCCTATGCGAGCGACGCCCAGGGAAAAACATTCGTCAGTACAGATCAACGTCACGAAAGCAGGTACCACGCACCGCGCTCGGGGACCGTCTGTTCCTTCCGCTCTCGTATTCCCGTCTACCGCCTCTCCACGCCGTCCTCTGACTCCATATTCCTACTTGCATCCTTCAACGTCCGCGCATGCATGGCCGGCGAAAGTATGAGACGTTCTTGAAAACGGACCAGTCGATTCCCCTTGGTCTTGGCCTTACTGGACGTGGACGACGTGGACGGGTCAGGAGAGGGCCAGGTAGGGGGTGGTGATGTCTATCAAGTCAAGGGCACAGGGATATGGCGCGTGCAGTACGTACATGGGAGGTGCTTGAAGGAATACTGAGTGTCGAGAGTAGGCGGGAATGAGGAGACGTACCGCAGGTCGAAGACTTCGCTCGAAGTTGTGATGGTAGTCAAATCCGCGCTACTCGTCCATAACAAACGCCTTATACTATTGCCGCCACCGATGATTAGCTCATGCAATTTCGACGTGAAGTCTGCATACAGACGTACCTTGCTAAGTACCAGATGACATGGTAGCTCCGGGTTCGACATGCCTGGCTATTGTGCGCAAGAAATGTGCTCGAGGTCGCTGTCGCCGTTGTAGCTGTCTCTCCTGAAAACGGAGCCTATACGAAGCAGATACGGAGGAGCACGAGCCAGCCGGAGAACAAGGCGAGGCAGTGGTAGGAACTTGAAACGCCCGAAGTTGCCAGCGAGGGATGAAGACGATGTAAGTCAATTGGGCGAGGACCAATCACAGAAAGCTTGACAAGCGGTTGTGGCAAGTAGAGGAGGTGGGCCGGGTTTGTGAGCGGAGTACTGAGTGCTGAGTTCCTAATCCATACACGCAACAGGGCGATAGCACCGGCCGAGGGCCTGACGTTGCGGTCGAGTCGCAGCCAAGTTGCAATGTTCACACTCAAAGGTGACTCACGTCATTGCGCCGCGCGGACCTCGACCTTCTGCGTTTCGGGGTCGAGTAGATCTCCGTCGACGGCATATGCCGTCATGCGATGTTATCGGTCCTGGGCACAGCAAGCGTACGACACGACTTGGGCAACGTACAATACGTCGCGCGTCCTCGTACGTGCAGTCAGACACGTACTCTCGAGAGCCGTCGAACAGGGCATACGAGAGGGCCAGGGACAGCGAGAAGAGCGTGCATGCATGTGTACTTCAGCGGGCAGCGCTGACCCGTCCCGTACTTGCCCCCCGTCGAGCCCGCGTTGATTAGCCAGCAGTCGATGTTGTTCTTCGGCATGCGCTCCGCGAGCATCTCGACGTAGCGCCCGGGGTGAGGACGATGAACGGCGCGAAGTAGCACGTCAGGGTGGGCTCGAGGACGTCATCCTCCGTACTAGGGGGTTTCCTAAGCCAATATCAGTGATGTTTTCTCCGTCATGAAGCCTAAGGAGACTCACGAGATGTATCTCGCGAGGAAGTGGTAGCTCGCCTGCTCAGGTGAGAGTTTGCTCACGGGCGGCAGGCACCGAGCGCATCGCAGATGAGCATGACGATGTTGCTCGGCTGGCGGTTGACCATGCACGGGATTTGCGCGTTCGCGATGAACACGATCGGGTACGCGGAGCGCGTGTTCTCCGTGATGCTGATGTCGTCGCAGTGGGGCACGCACGAGATCGGGTTGTACACGACTTTCCGAGGATGCTCCCGGAACGGACCGTGTCGTAGATCTCGGGCTCCTTCTCTGCGGAGAGGTTGACGCACTTTGCGTAGCACCCGCCCTCGATATTGAACACACCGTCGTCCGACCAGACGCGCTCGTCATCGCCAATCAGCTTCCGGCGCGGGTCGGCGGAGAGCGTCTGGTCTTGCCCGTGCCCGGCAACCCAAAGAAGATGGTCACATCGTTGTTCTCGATGCCGACGTTGGTAGACGAATGCAGCGAGAGCTGGCCGAGCTTGACCGGTCAGTGGAGGTAGTGCTACACAAGAGCGTTAGTCACAGTCAACGGGACGGGAAGAAGACGCACAGTATGACAGAGAAGACACTCCTCCTCATCTCACCGCCGAGGATGATCCTCTCCATATGCTTGAAATCGATCTCGACAGACGTGGTGCTGCTCACGCCCTTCGTGAAACGATTCGCCGGGAGCTGGCCCGCGATGTAGTCCAGCTCGCCGGAATCCTTCAGCTCTTCCTCCGTAGGGCGGATGAGCATGTTGTTCTGCTAGGCGTGACGAGACACAAGACCAACTTGCCATGAACAGAGCGTGATAAGCCCGCGAGCAGATGACGAAGACTGGATGCGGTACTTCAGATCCCACTGTGTGAGAGGGAACAACGGATCAGCTGCACTAATTCGCACTTGGCGACGACGCCGCTCGCTGTATTGATCGCTTGGTCGAGCGAGCCCAGGGTGCCGTTTCGGTGCGAGCGGCGGCCGGCCAACCTAGGCGTGGACGTCGTGGCGTCCTGCACCTCGATGCTTGTCAAGGAGGCGGACGCCTTTTGGGCAGCATACGATTTGACGAAGAACCTGCAGACCATAAGGTGATAGCGCGTGTCCCGGTACGCGGCGGGCCTCGCTGCGTGCGACAGGCTATAGCTCAGAGCGCAGATGTGATAGCTCTTCAGCCTCGGTGCACTCACGGGCAAAGACCGCTCAGTGCTCACCGTACTGCCCAGCGCGGGTCGGTCCCCGCTACGCGTCGGAGCGTCGGTAACCGAGTGATAGCAGCCGCCTCGTCCACCTGCCAGCAGGACCCGATCGCGGTGCGTGTGGATGAGTGTTCAAGACGTTCGTCGTCCGCGTTTCTGCCGTTCGTGAGCGCGCAGTGGACAAGGAGACGATCTACGTTCGCACCTTCCTCTGCTCGGTACTGCCGTCTTCCTCTTGCATCGCATCCTCGTCTTCCGCGCAGCGCGCACCCAGCCTTCCGCTCTGGCTACATCCTTTCGCTGTTCGATCCTCTGAGCTTTCGTGCCGACTTCTCGACCGGGATTGCGGTACGGCGAGTTGATCCCTGCGCATGCACTCTTCAGCGAAGGCTAGCGAGGTGCGTCCGTGCATGGACTGACGCGCATGCTGCCTAACGTAGCCGGGTCTTGTACATGTTCTTGCCTCCGCGTCTCGCGTCGCGTCGTCCTGCCCGAGTTCACGTCGCCTTCTGAGCCTAACTTGACCATGCTGATGTAGCTCGTTAATGTACTGCTGTATGTGCAGCGCCGGTGATTGCATGGACTGCGGTACGTGTTCTGCATTCTCCGCTTCGTGCGTGCGACTGCAGTCCCGGAGTGTCCTCCCGAGAAAACCTTGCAGGAGAGTGTTGCGCCGGTAGCGCGGGGCGTACTCGGGAGAGGACCAGGCGGCGGTGTATGCGTGTCCCGTGGGTTGCGGTCTTCGCTGGCGACGGGTGCTCCAACTGACCCGCATCGACGTGGGCAGCGCGTAGAGGTGGCGAGATTGGGAGAGCGAGAGGGGAGAGCGAAAGGGGAGAGTGACCCAAGGACGATTATCGACAGGGGTCGATAGGTGCAATACAAAGTGGGAGTCGCGACGGGCTGCAGCTAACTTATGGATCAGTCGGCGTTGTGCTTGAGCTTGAGCGCTTGAGCATTCAATATGCTTACCCAGCGAATACGGTGCCACGCGTATTTTCCCGCCAACTGTCCGTGCGCGTCCGTCCTCGCGTTGCTGGCCTGCCAATACGGGGAGCCCGGCCCAGTTGTCGTCCGCTGGCGGAGTCGACGCTGCTGCGTGGGAGGCAGCGTCCAGGGACTTGCATCATGAAGGGAAGGAGGTGGTCGGTCATGCGGTCCAGCCGCGGAACTATTAGATTTAGCATCCGCAAAGCGCCCAAGATTATTCAAGCGGGGTGCGAGTGCGGCCGCGCGCCGAGAAGCATGATTTAGCGAAGTTGACTGGGTGACCACGGTCCCATTCTACAGAGCATGGCGTGAGGTGAGTGTCACGTCGATGCGGGTCTCTGTACGCCCATAGTAGGAAGGCTCATTCGCTGGCATCCGCAGTATCGATCTGCGCATGCCTTCGTACGATCGACCCGAATGTCTTCAGCAAGTGCTGTGCATTACTACACTGTTCCGCTCCTTGCGTGACCTGACCGTGCGGCTCGACGTCGGCGACTCGATTTTGAACTACCCCTCGACTTGAACGAGGAGAAAGTCGCACGCAGAACGCACAACATAAACGTATACCTGTCTGAATGGACTAGAGTATCGAATATACGTTGTATACTAGGCCCGCCGCTACCAGCCCGCTCGTGCATTCTCTCGCTCTGTTCCTGCGCTTCTATGTCCCCATTATCCCTGTTACTAGGTCCTGTCATCACGACGTATAGGCCACTCAATAACCTACGCCGCCGTACTCCCCCGCTAAGTGAAGGAGGTTCAGTGAGGTTTGATGCGGCCCGTCGTTGACGGCGTCGCTTGTTGTTCCAAGCTCGGAAGACTGAACAGCGGTGAGTTAGCCATCCAGCAAACTCGATCGGCGTAATATTGTTCAATATTCTGTGGCTGTCAAGCATATCGGGACCCTCTAGCCTTGCTGACGAGGGAACTCGATGCCATCGTCGACGCGGGGCAGATTCTGCAGCCTTCCGCAAGACATGTAGCTCGTATGGTGTGAGTGATATCTGTTCGTCGGCTTGGTTCGCGGAGTCGTCGTGCGGACGAGAGGTGTCGCTTACAGTATGACGACACCCAATGACGAGGTTGGCGGCGACGGCGAACCGGGTCGAAACGTACTGGGGTGTGATAGGCCGCTACACCGTCAGGTAGAGGGATGTGTTGTATTTAGGGCGATACCAAAGCGAATGGGCATGGTTCAGCGTGTGGAAACAGGCATGAATGTATATATGTGCGCGAGAAAGGACGGACGGCGAGTAAGGGCAACGTGACTTACGATGTACACACGCAGAGCAGGCGGATGTGCTGTCGACGCCAGTCCCTATCCCTCTATCCCGCGAGATGGCTCCCTCTTCTTCTGTCTCACGCATCATGACACGGCATGTCGTGAGCCGCGCGAGTTCGAGCTCGTCTTGTTCTTCGACGAAGCAGCAGTTGATCACAGCGACCTCTTCGACAGGGTCTGCGGCCGGACCCGTCATACTAGCGCTTGCGGTTTCCGGGTTGAGGACCTCGATCTAGGCCGCCGACGCAGGCTGAGACCGCTCCGTTACCGCACCCGCTGCGCCGGGAAGCCGACTTCGCACGAGCTCGACGAGCCGCACCACCGGAAATCGACCTTGGTGAGCCGCGGACAGAGCCCATGCGGGCCATGCAGCAGACGGAGCGTCCCGTTGGCAGAGACTGAGCTCTCGTGTAGCCGGAGCTCGCGGATATGGGGGAGCGTGCGAAGACCACCGCGAACGCCTCCGGGGTCAGGTCGATGTCATGCAGCTCGAGGAACTCCAGCGGTTACGCGTCCTTTCTGAGGTCCAGCGCATCAGCGGAATCTTCGGTGAACGACGACGGCGTCGGAGAAGGCGGGGGTGGGTCTGTGTCGCGCGTGCGGGCCAGCATCGGCGGGAGTATCGCAGGGGTAAGGGGAAGGTTGAGCAGGGCAGAGCGGCGCACATCGCTGCGATGGTTGAGTGAGACACGAGTTGTTGCAGGGAATATCAGCAACTTACGGAGCGGCGTCGTAGGTGAGGCAGTCGATGAGCATGTCCATGATGGTCTGCTCGCCCTCTTCGAGTTCGACACATCCTCGGAGCCTGCGAGTTTGGAGAGCGCAACAACAGCTTGGAAGCCGATGGTGGACTCTGTGTCACGCGCGCGTTCCATGAGGGAGGAGCGCAGTGAGGAGTAGAGGTCCTCACTTGCCGAGGGGTCGACCATCAATACTGATACGCGGATGGAGGGAGAGGGAGGACACACTCGATCTCGTCCAAATGCGCGATCATCTCCGCGATGCACTGCACGACTCGGTAGCGAACGGTCTTGTCTTTGGCACATCCGGAGAGGAGGAAGCGAAGGACGCGGGAGACGAATCTGGACGCGGTTGTTTCCTCCTCCTCTCCCTTCTCTTCTGCAGCCTCCGTAGCTGGCGTTGCATGAGCCTTAGAGGTCGGTCATAGGGCCGCGAGACGCACTTTTCTCGTTTATGAATTTTGTGTAGCCCCCTACGAACTTGATCACCCTGTCGGCGACGCTGATGCCCTTCTTCACGGGTAATACGTAGAGCATGCCAATTAGATTGTACTCAAAGGCGCGCTCGCCAATGAGTTTGATGCTCTTGCCATTCTGCACGGACTGGGTGTGCGTCGCGGCGTCGAGATGGAGCTTGTAGAGCGCAATGTGATTCTTCTGGTGATTTGCGACCGTATATTGGACCTGCTCGAAGACTTTGGGGATGAAGCCCGCGATTGTCTCGATGTCTGCGGGGGCCGTTGTGCGTGCAGGCATAGCGGGGAGGGATCGCAGCGGGAGGGGAGGACAGGACGCGCCAACTTAGTCGAACGCGTCGAACGCGTCGTATTGCGCACGTGACGAGACGCGTGGGTGGCGACTCGTGCGACGTGGGCGCTGCGGTCGACGGCGAGGACGACTGCAGGCATGCGACGGGCACGCTCCCTTTCCCTCGCCTCCCACGCCCACGCTGACGTCACCCCCAGCATGCACTCGATCGCCGTCAGCCCGCCGCGCTCTTCACAGCCGTCGATGTCGTCCATGGCCCCTCCGCACACCCCCGAGGTTCCCTCGCCCGACCCGCCCCGCCCTCTATCTCACCCACATCGGTACCCACCACGGCCAGCTCACCCTCATTCCGCGTCAGAATACGGGCCGCTTTCGCAGCAAAGACCAAGAAGGAGCGGCAGGTCGATCCAGCCGCGAGACGCCTAGACGACGAGCCTCGCTTCACCACCGCCGTCCCGCCCTCCCATTCTAAGCGCACCCACCCTCATAGGCTCGCCCACGCAGGCAGTCTGCTCCGCAGAAAGCGAGGCAACCCGGCGATCCGCTGCCCGGTGGTGAGTTCTCCCTCGCTCTGTGCCCCGGGTGCGGGTGTCGTTCTCGGAGTGCGTATCGCGTGCATTCGATCCACAGGCCCACCCATTGGGCTCTGTGGCCTTGGAACGTTCCGAGAATCACACTAGCACTCCCCTTGTCCTCAATCGCAGTGTGCTCAAGCTACGATCACAGGCATGGACACGCTGTACCGGACTACCCTCCGCCCTCCTTCCAGGAGGCCATTCTCTCTTCGCCATCCGTCTACACTCTCCCCTCGTCGCCCCACGCAAACTCCTCCTATTCCGCGACACCGCAGACAAGCCCGCCCGTATCTCCAGCCGCGGATTCCCTCTCCTTCATGCGTGACGTCTTGCCGTCTCGCCATTCTCCCGCTCTCACTCCCATGCGCCGCTCACCACATTCTCCCGACCCGCCGTCATCCGCCATGGCCGGTGTGCCCGACGACCCAGGTCCAGACTCAGACGACTCCAGCGTCGAACTCGAGTCCGAACAACACTGGGAGGCCGATCGCATACCGGCTTCAGCCTCCACCAACGCGTCCAGCGTGAGTTCATCCGCCAGCACGCCGCCGAGTCCAGCATGACCGTCAATCTCCTCCGGCGTACACCCGATGCCCGGACATCCCACGACGCGAGCGCCTCAATCTCATCGACACACGGAACGCGACCGCCGCGTTGCTCACGTTGCGAGTCATTGCGGCCTGCCGGGTGGACGGAGACGTGCAGAGTGGCGGCGACGACGATGACAGCGATGGGAGGGAGGGCGTTAGTAACCGGGAGTGCTCTATCCGGCGGCGCAACCGCGAGAAGATGCACGTTCGCTCGACTTGCGCGTGCGCGATACATCGCCACTGCCCTCGCTCACGTCGACCGTCGACGCGCCTGGGTTCAGTCCGTGGGCCAGCACCGCAATGCTGCTCAGCAGCGTGTTCTCGATCAACAAGCCGGCCCCGGCCTCGCCTGGCAACAACGTCAAGCGGAAGGAGAGCGTCGGGCTGCGGAAGCTGTTCATGAAGGGCAAGGAGAAGGTGGGAGAAGGAGAAAACCAGAGACGAGTATGGTGAGCAGCCCTCTCCGTCGTCGAACGATGACCTGCACTCCTGGGAGGAGATCATGCCCTCCGAAGCTGAGGGAGACGGTGTACCGACGTCGCCTGCGTCGCCGAAGAGGGACAAGCAGCCCCGGACGCCAGAGAGGCCGCCTCAGCCACTCACCACACCAGTCCTAGCGCCCCTACTGTGACCAGCGCGCCGCAACCGACATGTCTCACCGTACGTCCTCCCCCACCGTCTCTCTCCGACATCGTCTTCTCTCCGGAGAAGGTACCTAGTGCAACACATGTATGCCTACTGCACTCCCCATCTCTGCTACGACCTCATCCGCCCTCGCGCTTGGTCAGAGAGACCCACCTGTCCTCACCGACACCCCTCTGCACCTCGTCTCCGATATCGAGGCCGCATCCGCTACGCGACCGCAGCCCGCTCATCGGACGCTTCAGGCATCCAGACATCGATGCGCGTTATCCGGCGACGAGGATGTCGATGAAGCCGGCCACGTTCGTGACGGGATCAAACGACAGCAGTTCGGGTTCGTCACTGTGCCGAGGGCCCTCATGCGGGTGACGATGGCTTGGGCTTTCCCTCGATTCCAGAACTTCATCACTCACATGGGACACGCACGAAGGCGTGGATGGAGGCCCTCCATCTACTTCGACCGCGGTGCGTCCCACATCACCCTTGGCTCCCCCGCTTCTTCAGACGTCACACGCATCTGTATCATCGAACGGTGAGGCAGCGGCTGCGCCTTGCGCATCTATGCCATCAACTGTCCAGCGAACTAGCCCGGTTTTACCAGCGACACCGACGATACCGACGACGCCTACGGGATGCCACTATCCCGCCCGGCCACTGCCCCGTCCCCCGACGAGCTCAATCTCCAACTCACCATCGCTCGGTGTGAGACCGATGACGCCCAGCCAGCCGCCGCCCTCTGTCGAGGATAGCAATGCACAGCGTCCTTCTGACCGTGTGCCCTTCGTGGGCGGCGTCACGACCAACTCAGGACCGCCTCATGGGTGGTCAAACTACATGGACCTCGACGTGTTCGTGGCGCGGCTGGGAGTGGGCGAGCAGCCGGATGGCGGGCGAAGTAACAAGGTGAGTGCGGGCCATCATCGCGCCCGTTTTCATCGCGTTTATTCAACCATGGCGTAGGATCTCTTGCAGTTGTCCATTCCTCACACCTGCACCCGTTCCCTCGGCGTCGTCCCCGCTCGCGTCCGTCCGCGAGGTCGAGCGCAGGCGCATCACCAAGGACGAGCGGGAGAAGCTCAAGCTGACCCTGCTGGGCGTCGTCGTGGACGAGTGCGGGATCTGTCTATCCCAGTTTAGGGACGAAGAGCTAGAGGTGCTGGCGACCTTGTGCCAACATTTGTCAGTGTTCACCTGTCTGTGAATGCGTGTGAGCCATGCTCGAGACGGTCATGTCCGGAGCCGGTGCTCTTCCTGCTCCACAGATAGCGGTAAGTGGTCCGCTGCACACAACCCGGCCTCGCTGAACACAGGATCAGGGTTATTTCCATGATATGTATGGCACTGGTGTCGACATCCTCGCAGAACTTGAGTTAGGTCCACGGACCTTCGATGCGTCCGTCGCCGGTTTGGGCGGGTGCCCCTACTCGCCTGGCGATGGGCAACGTCGCTACGGAAGACGTCCTCTGCGCTCTGCAGGGGAGCGAGTACAAGACTCCCGTGAACCTTGGCGCGCTCGCGGCGGTGGGCGGCTCGATCTCGGGCGTGCTCGGTCGGCGGAACGAGAGCTGGGCGGGGAAGGTGATATTGGCGAGGCAGGCGAGGGAGAAGGAGGCGGTGATCGTAAGGAAGAGGAAGAGGGACGGGGTGCAGCAAGGTCAGTGGCGGATGTGGGAATCGATGTTGGTGCACCGAAGGAGGCGAAGATCGTCAAGGAGCAGGAACGAGACGAAGGTGCTGCGGAGAATGTGTAACCATGCATTTGTGAGAGTAATGAACACGACGTTGCGGGTGCAGTCCGCCCACTAGCTATTGAATCATGGCTTCTCATTCATCTATCGGCATCCAAAACCTCTTATGACGTTGTCCGTCAGTAGGCCCATCGGGTCTGAACTTACTTCGGTGAGCAGTTGTGCATGCATCACCGCCGACACTGCGTAAACGCGCGGTATGTAAAGTCCAATCAATTCTTCTTTCGAATACAGCAACATTGGCAGACGTAGAGACAGCAGGATTGTTGGCATCCATACAGTGCGAACGTCGCGTCGAGAATGGGGAGATGGCCAACATCTAGACTGTTGCGGCGGAGAACGTCGGACCTAAGTTTTCTTTATGTGCGCGTCTGCTCTTTGCACAAACTCGGCGGCATATGTAGCACCCGCAACTCGTTGGGCTAGCGATATCGGTTGGGGCGGTAGTCCGTTCTCAATAATTTAATGACTTACTGCTTCAGGGAACCCCCCCCCCCCCCCCCCCCCCCCATATGCGTCTACAAGCGCATCGTCCAAGCCCTTGTCAGCTGCAAGACTTGGAGCTTGGCCTCTTGAGGGCCGTAGTGAGAACGTCGACCGACGACTCGCGCGCGTCCAGAAGCCGGTAAGCTTTCGCTTGACAATAATACCTGTATACCAATGGGCCCACCACACCGAACTGGGTAATCTGCTAGCATATGCCTTTCCGTAGTTCTCGTCAAACGTCACCCTCTCGGCGTCCGTCAAAGCATTCTTCGCATCCTGGCCCTCGCCCTCCATCAAACACACTGCCGCTCGGTTCGCAAGGCAGATGGCCATCACCCGCTTGATGTCTCGAGTCTTCTCGTCTGTCGAATTCTGTGCTATCGCATCCGCGAGAAACTCGTACGCTTCGGAGTAGTGCTTGACGGCAGCGGTACGGTGATGGCCTCGTTACCGAGTTGTTTCCCCTCCTCGGCGCACTTGGTCGCCTTTGCGACACCCTTGGCGTTGAGGTCGTGCACGCTCGAACCAAGTCCTTCCACCTCCTCACTGCGAGAAAGACATGTGAGTTGTTATAAAACAGCAATCCTGACAAAAATACGAACGGTGTTTCTAGACGCCAGCTGAACGGTGCGACATGCGGACTGAGTTTATAAGCTATCATTAGCAAGCTGGGTGCGCATGAGACAAGTGCTTTGTGGCACTCTGCTCTTCAGGCGACCCATATGCTCGTGCCCGTCCACTTCGGCAACTCGACTCTGGATCATACGTCGTTTGTTGCTCAGAAGGGCCGTTACGTCGCATGTGGGATGTATCCAAACCCAACTACGCCGCCGCAAAAGCCCTAGTACGGCGTTCGTTGACCGCGCGGCTTCTACATTATGTTATGTGTGTGCTACTAGAATCTCTGTCTCGCGTTCGAATGAGCTGACAAAATTTGTTACACAATCAGGGACATCAAGGGGATCGACAGTTGGGCGCACCTCAAAGAATGGAGACTGACGATCAATGAAATTCGCACGTTGGCAGAGCAAACTGGAGATCACTACACAGTCGTTCCTGAGGCAGCCAAGGCACAGGCGGCTGCTGATGACGGTCAGGGCAGCAGCGACCCACAGGGTACAGCAGGTAGCTATCCGACCTGGATCTTGAACGGGCAAATGACGGCCCATGACGGCCGTCGATGCGCCACTGCACGGGCACTCATGGCATCGACAGAATGACGATGTCCACTGAGTAGGATGCAAATCGTCCACGGCACCCAAATTTGAGCATCTTCGGGATCTCCTCGAAGACGTTCGACCGCTCGACCTCCTTCGTCGCACCCCACGTCATGCTGGATGAGAACAGATGGGCGCAAACTGCCTGGCTGACGGGGATGGACAGACCGCCAAATTGAAAAAAAGCTACGCGATACGTCAGTTGCCAGCCACGACACGACCATCCGTGATTGACTGGCAAGTATGGATTCCACATTGAGGAAAGCCTGATCAGCGGCTCCTCCCCGGGACAGTCCTGAAGCAGAGTGTAGCCGATGTTGCCGGAGTTGATGAAGACGATGGCCGTCGCCAGCCAAATCTTGAACGAGTGCGTGTAGTAGCCGTCGGCGGGAAGCTCGAAGCCGAGGAGGATGTACTTGATGACACCGATCGTGATCGAATACTACGAGAACATGTACGGCATCATGGGGAACTTGAGGTGCAGCGGTGGGGACGGTCAGAGGAACGAGTGGGTCTCCTTCGCGATCGGATTGAACAACAGCTCGTCGGCGCACGTCGGAGAGTGGCCCGCTCGACACACCCTCCTTGAAGCCGAGTGAGCACGTCGCCATGTCGACGACGAAAAGGAGGGTATTCCTTTTAGCCATGACGTCTAGGCGCATCCGTGTTTTCGATGTGTGACAGCGCTCACTAGGGTACTGTTCGCGTGTTGAGGCCCAGTGCGTCAATTGTGACTTCACACCCCGAAAATAGGTACGAGTCAATATGGGGATTATAGAGGGTCAGCGAGGCCCAGAGCGGCAGGACACCAACGTACGACTCGACCGAGAGGAAGGCATTCGCCGTTCTGCGAGCGACCGCGATTCTGTGCTCGAAGGCGAAGAGCACCCAAAGGGCTGTGGTCCATGGAGAAGATGCGAAGAGTCTTCGCGGGTGGGCCGCGCGGTGCTGCTGCAAGCGGCTGTAGGTCCGCGAAGGCTGTAGTCGAGTGCTTCGGGATGCGTTGCCAGCGAGGGTTACGAGTGGCATTCCGGTACTTACAAAACAGGAGCCGCGCCGAGCTACCCGCTTCAAGACGGCATCGCCGGGCAATAGCTTCAACTTCAAGGCAGTAAATGGAGCGGCTCACGTGTGTTGTCGCGGAGGAAGGAGTCAGGACCAATCTTACATAAGTAAGGACTCAGGCGTGCCCCTTGGGCCCGTCCCTGTGGACCGGCCTTTCTGTAATTCTCAGCGTTCAACGTTTCAACGTCAACGTTCGAACGTGCTACCTATTGAGTTCAATGCGGTCATGTCATCTCATACTTTGCGCCGTGCTTCACTTGTTTTCGCATCAAAACGCTGTTAAAAAGGCGTCGTTCTGGCTGATCACGGCTTTGTCGCTTTAATTTTGCGGCGGGCAGGTCTGGCTTGAACAGGGTGCAGAATGCGTGGAGAGCGGTGGCTCTAGTGAGATCAATGTCCACTACCGCGTTGTGCAGTGCATTGTGGGGATTGTCGCTCACTTCGGTGAGACGGGGTGCGTACTCCCTCTTAACTCATCTGCAGATGGATAAGTTCTAATGTCAGCATGACAGCAAGGACAGAAAGACAGCTAGCTTGATCTTGAGACGTTCATGAAGGCCCGGCTAGTAGACACCAGCCCGCGAGCTCAGTGACTGCAAGGACGGCGTCGGGGGAAGATTTGTTCAAGCAAACATCCCAGTGCAGGGACTACTCTTCCGTTACGACGAGATTCTGGATGACCAGGAAAACGCGTCACATCCCGAACACCCCTTCAACTGATATTCTCATTGGCGCAGACGGGTCAGGTTCACCGTGCGCACATGCATAGCACATCAGCGCGACTGTTCCGATGGTGTTGACTGGACTTTGCACTGACCGCGCTGCTCAGCGGCGACGCCTGCAGACGGGGTGGTCGCGGGGCGTGCTATATCGAGGGTTGGATGGAGATGCTTGGTCTCCGATGCATACCATCAAGGAACGGCAAGTGCTGGAGATGCTCATGCACATCCTTTCCAGTTCGCCGGAAAGTTGAAGGTGAGTAGCTGAGCTGCGGCAAGCAAAGGGGGCCTCACTCACTACCGCATTTAGCATGACGTCTCTAACCCCATATCCCACGGCAGGTTCATCAATCTTGTCGGATATGATACTTATTCTTGTATGTGCACTCAATATGAAGAACGCTGGGCCCAGACCGTGCCCACGGAGGAGATAGCGAGGTATACGAAGGGTGGGAACATGAAGTTCACCAGTCGTTCGAGGTGGGTCGCCTTCACAAGACGTAAGCAGAGCTTAGATTCCAGTTGTCCTCTATCCAGTGCATGGAGCCTCCGACACGTTGGGTACTCAACGTGGTTGATGGTTTGCCGTTCTGTGTGACGGAGCATGTTGCACTCCTGGGTGACTCGGTAGGTTTGAAACTCAACGTCCAATGGACTCAAATATCTAACAGCGATTCGACAGATGCACAGCATGGAACCGCACCTTGGCGAGGGCGCAGGCCAGAGTATCGAGGTAAGTCATGCTGAGGTGGTCACCTTGCCTATGTGTTGAAACAATCGCAGTCATACTCGGACGGCTGCTCAGACACCCACTGTTCGCCATGGAGCGAATTCCGGAGAACCTGCGCATTCACAAGACCATTCGTCTGCCGTACAGCCCCCTCAGCAAAGCCCTCCAGCCCCCACCCGATGAGAGCCCCGACCACCCCGCGCGGGGCCTCCAGCAGCAGAAGGATGTCCAGGCCTCCTACGCCGACGCGCAAGCCATCGTGTGCAGACGCACTCGCCGATGCGTTTGCCGACGCACCCGCCGACGCATCTGCCGACGCACTGCTGTCCCATCTGCTCAATCGTACTCTGCTTGCCCATCTGTCCCCCTTGGTGTACTAACTACCGTTCGACCAGCTGCGCGAGGTCCCCTCCACGAATGCCGGTCTTGCGCATTGCAAGGAACTCCATCTGGACGGTAGGAAATCCCGCCGGAGTGCATGGACTACCACGATTTTACATACGCACCTTGGCAGTGGCTCGTCGACTTGTCTGAGATCAAACAAGAGCAGCACCTTCTGCCGCGCTGGTCCCATGCCTGGCTCACGCAACGATGCATTTCTCCTCAAGGACACCGCCTGGAACCACTACACCTTCCTCGACTCTACCCCAGCCCCAGCTTCAACGCCACCGTCCTCTCAGGGAAGTACTTCGAATCTATCCAGACCTCCACGCTCACTCTGCGTCCGGAGCGGCTCGTCTTCCTCGGCACACCCATGGGCTCCTCGCGCCTGCAGCTGCGCGCGTCCCGCACGCTCGGCCCATCGGCGATGGCGCGCGACGCTGAGGGACGCCATGCATGCATAGCGGGGACTTGGGACTCGTACAGTACGCGCATCTTGACAGGCGGGCCGATGTGCTACTGCGACCGCGAGAAGCTCGATAGTGCTGGCACGAGACTCAGGGTGTACCAAGCGAGGATGAGACGCGCCAGCGGAGAGCTCAGCTGACCAAGGAAAGCGGAGGCGCCGCAGCTTCGAGACGAGTGTCGGTCGTACCGGATATTGGCAGGATGCAGTAAGTCGTGCTCGTGCTCTGCCCCTTACCGGCCCCCGCTGATTCTGGGCGCGATGCAGCGGGGATCCCGCAAACATACCACTTAGGCCAGGAGCGTCGCCACAACATCCTGGTCATCGACCTCCTCGGGCCCTCTCTCGAGTCTGAGGATCTGTTCGACATGTGCGGGAGGAAGTTCTTGATCAAGACGGTCTGCATGGTCCCGCGGCAAATGGTATGGGCGACGCTTTCAGCGGTGGTACTGCGTCTCTCATGCGCCGCCCCAGCCTATCACTACCGTCGAGACAATACACGAGACGAATGTCATCTACCGTGACATCAAGCGCGACAACTTCCCCATCGGCCGGGCACCAAGACTGTTAATGGTATGGCTACGTAGTCTTTGAGGGTCTCCGCCATTCTGAGTACATTACCATTCACGTTGTGGACTTCGGTATCGCTAAGCAGTACCGGGACCCCAAGCCGAAGCAGCACATTCCGTATCGTGAACGGGAGAGTATGAGTAGTACGGCACGGTACATGAGGTTAAGGTATGTCCTTTCACTCCGCTTCCTGACCGGTGCGACCTAAGTTACTATGCGTCTCTGCACAGCAGTCCTGTCGGGACGACCTCGAGTCATGAGGTCATGCTTTCATGTACTTCCTGAGGGGGTCTGCCATGGCAGGGTCTCAAAGCCGCCACCAAACAAGCAGAAGTACGAGAAGATCAGAGGGAAGGTAGACGACACAAATTAAGGAGCTCCGTGGTGGGTTCCCAGGTGCGTCGTATTCGCCTACCACATCGGCCCAGCTAATCGTCTGTCTAGAGGAGTTTGGTATCTATCTCAACTACGTTCGGAAATTGGGCTTGGAGGAAACCCCCGACTACGAGTTCCTGCGTGAGCTCTCTGTAAAGGTAAAAATGACGTAAAGTATGATTGGAACCCGCTTAACAGTACGCGCTTCATTGAGATCCGTTGCACACGTACGCCGACCTCGTGTTTTTGATCAGGTGGGAAAGGGTGGGAAGCCTCACTATAAGCTATCGCTCTCTGGACTGCAATAACCGACTCCCACTTCCTCTTCCTCTTCCAGCCGCCACGGAGAGCTTTGGGCTCAAAGCGAAATGGCTGCCCCGTCCACGCGTCCACGCTTTCTCAGAGAGGCGCGATCCCCTCCCGCAGAACCTGCACCGAGCGCCCCATCGGGGACTCACCGTTCTTTAGGCGTCCGATCTGCAGCTGAACATCCCGCGGCGAATGCAAGTAGCGCTAGTACTGAGGTAGTTGCCCCTCCAGTCCCCATGCCTGCTCCCATCACATCGACCACCTCGATCACTACGAAAGACTGGACGCTCTCTGGATTGCTGGAGAATAGCAACTTTCAGCAGGTTCATCGGGTCTCCATACACGACGAGTTATGGCCCACAAAAGCCGACGAAGCCGAGCGCCAGGGAATACCACTCATCGTTGAGGGTTGGCATACAGACCCGAGATGGTGCGGGGCCTTCGACGCGGACCGGCTCGTAGCAAAAGATGGAGATACTGGTAAGCAACTTATAATCCTATCTGAGTGCCCGCTAGTCGCTCAGTCCGAACATGTATCGTGAAGTGCTCTCGGCGCGTAACGTTCAGAACTACAAAGACATAGACATGACACTCTCCGATTTCGTCGAACACTCCCGTACGACTTCGCGCTTCACGACAGGAGGTGAGTCAACGTCGTTACGCGTCGCCACATATAATGTGAGATTCGCTGGTCTTATATACTGACACGCTTTGATTTAGACCCGCCTCTCTATGCCAAGGATGTCGATTGCCCTCAGGATTGGAGGGACTGGCTTCACTCTGATGTAATCCCGCCAGAACTACAACCAGGTGGATCCAAAGACCTATTGGCACATCTTCCTCATTCTGTGAGTAATATGTCCTCGTCCACTATAGTTGTCTGACTCCGCATACGTTCAGGAACGACTTGAGACTATCATGTGTTATTACGAGATCGGCGGGATCTTCACACCTCTCCATAAAGACCTGTGTGGATCCACGGGACATAATCTCATGTGCCACACAGAGAACGGCAGTTCGTTCTGGTTCATGACCGCCTCCGATGCCGCCCCGGAGGTTGCGAAGTATTTTCAGGAGACGCTGGGGCAAGAGTTGGACTGGGAGAACCATGCTATGACCATCGAGGAGCTGAGGGACGCTCCATTCCCCGTATACGTCGCGGAGCAAAGGCTTGGTGATCTGTTCATTATTCAGCCTAGAAGCTGCCATCAGGTGGTCAACCATGGCGGTCTAACGATGAAGCTGTCGTGGTCGAGAATAACGGTCAAGGGACTGATGACAGCTTTGTTGTATGAATTGCCCAACTATCGGCGGTGAGTGTTCTTCCATGTTGTGGTTGTATGCGTGTTCATTAGACTTTACAGGGTCTGCCGACCAGAGATTTGTCGCACTAAGTCAGTCTTGCACCACTCGCTCCGCCACTACACCGAGGAGCTTGAGTCGGTAGCCCAGGTTTCTCCGTCCGAAGCTCGCAGAATGACCAGAGACACTGCTGTGCTGGACTTACTGGTGTCGCTCTTTGATGGCGTGCTTCGCGAAGAGTATGGCGAACCGGTGGATAGTGTTGACGACGGAGGCGCAGTTCACAACATCCGCTCTCAACCACCGCCAACATCGCCGTCTTCACGCTCCCATACAGCCGACGACCAACCATGTACGTTCGCCTGCGATTTCTGTGGAGCCGATATCTTCCAGAGCTACTTCAAGTGCGACTCGTGTTATCAACATACGCCACACGTCGTTGGGCAACAGGACCCAGGTGGCTGCCTGGTGATATGCCCCACTTGCTACGTCGAGGGGCGCACCTGCAGTTGTACCAACATGGTCCCTACACAACGCTGCAAGACACAAGATCTCATCAACGATCGGAATAGGGCTGTTCGCATCCTCCGACAACTGGGCGCAGGCGAAGATTCGCACACGCTTGTTCTTACACCGAAGTGAGTCCCGTGGCACAGCTACCACTGCAATGTCACTGAGATGATTCCATAGAGAGCTCAAGGAGAGTGACGACGTTTGTGTGTTCCAGGCTGCGTGTGCCCTGCGTGTTCGTCGAGCCGAGTCCTCGTCCTCAAGCAAGGTTCTCCCTCTCTCCTGTACTTCAGTATCTTTACTGACGGGTATACTATACCCACTAGCTGCACGAGATGCGATCGTGTCGCTCCAACATCTCGCCACCGCATCACGTTCTGTACCTATCAACGATATACTGCCCCGGGTGCCACTACTCGAATTGCCTGGCGCATCTCCTGGACATGGGTATGCATGCGTCGGAGGCGTTCCTCGCGATCCACAAGGATTTAGGCAAAACAGATTATAGTCAGTTGCACCAGGCGCATCTCAATGCCAAGACGCACTTCGGCAATGTCAAGCCTGCCTTGATGGGTGTGGAGAAGACCGGCGTATTCGCACCACAAGCAGCGAGGCTTGGTGCGAGACTCGTACTAGCAGCGCAGAGATTCCGGTACTGCAGAGCTGTGAACAGCATGTTCACGAGCCCCGGTTTCTATGATTACGAGGTGCGCAGTCGTCTCCCGACTCGAGTAAGGCAGACGCGAGACATAACACTGTCCCAGGTGTCGTCCAAAGAACCTGTCGATGCTCCAACACATGATTGTGACGCTCCGGAAGCCACAACACGTGAAACTGCTATGGTCAACCGTTCGCAAACTCCAGTCCTGGAGGCTCCACGTGTGCAGTCGCCCGAAGTTACATTCCAGCACTCGCGCGCTCAACTAGAAGAGTTATCGCTCGCGGACGGCGTCATGTCGAGGGGGCAAATGCCTATCGACGATGCTCGATCCGACACGCCTGCAGAGACGTGCAGCCTAGCTGAACCTCCCCAGCGATATAATCGGGCTTATGTTCTTATTCCCGGTGCAGTATCTACTTCAAAGAATACAACGAGGGACGTGGTTGCCACAAGCGAGCAGACATTGAAGCGGAAACGGACGAAGGTGTCCGAGCCTCAGGAAGAGGTGATCTGATGTCATCGTCTCCTGAGATATCTTGTTGACATTGTCCTCCGCCAGGACTTCGTTGACGATGACTGTGCCGGGGGAGCCCTTGTCAGCGTCATGCAGAGTGCATATAATCAGTCACAACGAGTAGGGCCAAACAAGCGTAAACGGGTCACACGACGAGTCGAATCCCCAGATCCTGAATCCGAGGATCCGGTTTCCCGAGGCAGACGTGACGGTCAACGAGGATCTCGAGTTCGGTCAGCACGTCCTCAGCAACACTCTCGTAGAGCTCTTGTCGAGCCAAATCGCGAGACGATGATGTCAGCCTCCAAGAAGGCAAACCGTGAATCCCGACGACCCGAGCCATGTCCCGAGCCAACCATCGGCACAGAATCACAACAACTGACCAATGTGAGGGACAACTCTACTGCGCAATCGTCTAACGCAATCACTACCAACAAGCGTGCGCTTATCCGTGCACCTCGGGGCAAACCTCCCGGGAGGCCTGCCTCTGTTTGCGATGCTTTTCCACAGACGAGCCACGCGCATCAGCCTAATCTCAGGACACGCGCAGGTCGTGATCGCGATCAGACCCACTTGGATAAGGTCGACCCTCTGTCGGAATTACAAGCCCAATTACGGCAGTCCGAGGCCAAGCGAATCAGACTGGAAGAAGACAAGAGCCACATAGAGGACAAATTGGCGGAAACCGTACGCGAGCTCACAACCTCCCGCTCAGACTGTGACACACTGCGCTCAGAATACAACATGCTTCGCTCAGACTGCAACACACTGCGCACAGAATGCGACAAGCTGCGCTCAGAATGCGACAAGGAGAGCCTCAGATACTTGGACTATAGTAAGCTCGTTGAACGCTACCAGTCCATGTCTGAACAGGTCGAGCTAGAGCTCGAGACAGCGCAAGACGCTTTGAAATCGAAGGACCAACAAATTGAGGACCAGAGAAAGGAAATCGAGGATTACAAGGAGGGATTGCAATACCTGGCAGCTGAATTCGAAACTTACTTGTGTTCTCACGGAGGACTGCAACATCCCTCCGCTGTTCCCGACCATAGACAACCCATGGACCATCAGCTTCGACAATTCACAGACCTCATCGGCGAACTCGTAACGAAAGCAACGCAACGACTGCCCATAGGGAGTTTCGGCGAACCCCTGGTTGGAAACCAACATGGGATCAGTGTGATCCAGTCTCAACGAGTATGTCCGTCTATGTCATCGAGTGTGTGTCCTTATAACTGAACCATACTTAGGCTCACGTTGGGCGCAATGAATGGGTCGGTGGACAGCCTGAGGATCCCAGTCAGCCACCCACTGGCATGCGCCAAGGATGGTATGGCACTCCCAACGGACAAGGAGGCCGCGGACCTAGGTTTCCAACTCGTGGCCAGTACCGTGGCAGAGGTACTTACCTGAACACATCCCCAAACCGCCCTCATCTGCGACAGCCACACCCCGCCTCAGGCGATCACACCAAGGAATGGGTTACGAATGCGAACTCACGGGCTACCGACTATGAGGGAGGACAGTCCAGCAGTAGTCGTCGGCTCCACGAGCGTTTGCAGTCCAGCGACAGGGGCCGTCCGGTGTCTCCACCCGTTTCTCTCCCTCCCTGTGGGACCAGTGAACTCCCCTGCCGTCAGTTCACGGCCCCTGCACCCTCGGGATCTGATCACGACGATGGCCGAGAAGGTATGTGTACACTCCCTCATTCGACAATACAGCGCGAATCAATTTTGATATGTAGGATCTGAGTCGCATGGATCTTGGGAAGATACCCATCGCAGGGACGAGAAGGACGACGGCGAGAACTCTGTACACGGCGAGAACTCTGTACACGGCGAGAACTCTGTACAATTATTCTAGTTTTTCAGTCAGAACTTCGACATCGATCTTGAAGTCAAGACTTGACGCAATCTATAGTCGATACATGTATTGAATTGTGGAGGTAGTCATGACGAGCATGAACTGTCAAGAACCAGAATGAACATACTGAGCTAAGTAGTGCGTCGCCAACGCGGAGAGCTTTCGCACACATATTGCGTCTGCATGCCTGTCCACCTGCCCACCTGATACTGACAGGCACTGACCCGCTCACCCGCTTACCCGACCGCTCACCTGCCCAGTCACTCTACCGCATGCTCACCCCAAATGCCTGCCTACATGCCCGACTTTCCTCTCGCTTTTCCGCTCGCCTGCTCGCTCTTCCAGCTCAGGCTACCTGTTCATCTGCCCACTCGCACACCTGTCTATCCATATGCCCTCATGCACACTGGCCTGTCTTCTCGCCCGGCTCCACGTGCAGCCGCCCGAGCTAGACGAGCTTGCCGCGCTTGGTCCTGATCCTGATGAGGTCGACCTTCCTGCGGCTCATCGTGCGCGGGTGCGCCAGAGCCGGGCGTGACGGAGCTGTCCTTCTTCGACGATGTGGGTGTCTTCGTCTGCGAAGGCAGAGTAAGACTGTCGAGATGAGCAAACACGAACTTGAGGCCGTGTCTGTACGGCCTCGCTGGTTTATTGGAAGTCAGATCATCGCTGTCGGCCAAACACCTCTGCATCCTCAGTGGTTGGCCGCGTCTCGGACAAGGTCATCGACGTCAATTTCGGGTCATTGGAACTCACCTGAGCGAGATGGCGACGCAAGCGAGCTTGAAGGGGAGGAGGGACCAGTGGTGGAATGGGAGGAGCAGAGTGAAGGAGAGGAGTCGGCGACGGCGGACACGTCGTACAGTCGTCTTGCTGCTACCATAATGTGCCTACACCCTTCTTTATTCTTCGTGACACCCGCTGGTCAATTTGTGTGCCGAAACGCGTACGCCGCATGCGGCGGCGGACGTCTGTGCAAGCGACCTATGAGCCTGTATCAACACAGCGAGCGCAGAAGAAAAGGCGAGTACTCACTATAAAAGCTGTACTCGGCCATCCGTACGACTCCCCTGAGCTCAACCGTGGTGCTTTTGGGACTCTGTGACATGTCTGTGGCCCGCAGTCGCCTATATACGCTGGCCGCGGCTCAGGATCGCGCCTGTGTGGTGTAGACGTAGCTGCTCAGCACCGCAGCCCTCCGGAAACGTACCAGACCCTCGACAATCCCCCGAGCCCACCCATAACCTTTTCAGGCGTCTTCGATATCTCCTTCGCTCGCTATCGTCCGCGTACGATGGCGGCGAGCGGGAAAACGGCAGTTTTGAGAAGTGCCGGCGATATCATAAGAAAGGTACCGGGCCCTGCGCCTTGACGAGTAGATTCCAACGATAGAGAAACCAAGTGATTTGGGGCAGGCATTAATGTCGACTTATGAACCGCGCACGGCGGGAGGTCGCAGGTCGTCCGAGTCGCCCTGCGCAAAATCACGCGTGTGGCACTAAATAAATATTATAAGCTCTTTTCAATGCCAAACTATACACGTGCCGGTAAATCCAGTAAATCGCCGGGATCCTGCGATCTCGGCTGCCCGACGCTGAGTCAGAGAACATTCAGCTCGCCCGAGGGAATCGCTTTCTGCCGCGACATCGCGCGGAGGAGTCTGCCGCGGGACCCTCGCATCTATCAACTCGAAGGGGCCTGTAAGGCCCTAGATTGCATCGACGTGCTCGCTATAACACCAACGGGCTCAGGAAAGACCGGCTTCTTGCTGATCTACACGCTCGTTGCCCGAGCTATCGCGAAGGACCGCGTGCTGTGTCCCGAAGGCCTCCGTGGTCGCTTCAAGGCAGACCCTCGTATGGCAGCGGCGCGTCCCGCGAAGGTGCTGGAGCACGGCATGGCGAGCATTGTTATGTTGAGGCATTGGTATTGCTGCTTACTTCCACGCAGGAGCCGAAGGTCCATGCCGCCAGGCTCGCCACTGCAGTCATCAACACAGAAGCTATTCCAGCTAATTTCAGAACGATAGTCACTCTCGAACGCGCGCGACATATGATGACTAAGCGCTCCGCGCTTCGGGAGCGGCGCGCACCGTTCTTCTGCACCACTGCAACCTGCGCGAGATCTTCCACACACAGCGACCTGTCCAGGACCAGCCCCTCGCAACGACATACACGACACGATCCCGTGAGCAATCAGGTTGATGCGAACCAATAATTATGCAGAATGTGTCTGGTCAGCCTTGCTCTACAACACCACTGACATTCCAGTGAATCCCATGCCTTGCCAGTCGCGAGCCATGTAGAAAGAGTTCAACTATTCGGACTCTGCGAGAGTCATGGTAGCTCTACACTACTACTGTAAATGGTAGAGAGACAGGTCCATAATTCAGATTTCAGATCATATATCATCTGTTGTGTCTGCTCGCGCAAAATTGACAGGAGACGATGAACGACAGTGGTGCAGAAGAGCGGTGCGCGCCGCCTTCTTGAAGGTTGGAGCGCTTAGTCATCGTCTGTCGCGCGCGTTTGCAAGTGACTATCGTTCTGAAATTAGCTGTCAGGCCGCGAAACAGGGGCGCAGCGACGTCTGGGAGAGGGCGCGTTCGAGCACAGCGATCATTCTGCTATCTCCCGAACAGCTCCCAAACGAGAACTTCCAACGCCTCGTGGACGACAAGGCGTTCGCAGCTCGTATCATGGCGCTCGCTGTCGATGAAGCCCACCTCTTGAATAGCTGGGGCTCGCAGTTCCGACCTTCATTCAAGCATATCGGACACGCCCGCGTGCGGTTCGCGAATACCCCCGTTCCCATTGCCCTCGCTGCGACCATATGTCCCGGCCCGCCGACGAACTCGGCACGCCAGTTCCTGGGCTTGTATGACGGGCGACACCATCTCATTCACCGCTCGAATGCACGCTACGACATCCAATGGCTCTTCCGTACCGCCCAATCCGGGGTTAATGGAACCCGTTGCCCTGGACCTGAGCTCGACTGGACTCTGCAGCCCCTCATCGCGTCATTATCTTCTGCAAGACTAACGCACTTCGCCGCCAAGACGCAACCTACCCTTGCGATGCTTCGACAGACCTTGACGATCGCGCAGATCGCATCCGCTTATACACGTCCTTAGTCCCAGACTGGTACAGACAAAGGACGCTCGAGCTTCTCCGCGACACCTCTGGTTCTGGCCCTCGGGCGACGATTGGCACGGACACTATGGCCTTCGGCATCGACGTGTTAACGACTGACGACGTCGTCTTGTTCGGCCACATCCCTGAAGACCTCAATGTCATGCTGCAGCGCCCCGGGCGCATTCGCGATGGTCGAGGTCGCAACGCACATTCTATCGTGTACCTCCCTCGTAATGCGGCGGAGCAGGCAGAGGCGGCAGTAGCGCACGCGGGGCCAACAAGTGTAGGTATCAAGTCGCAGAAAAACAAGCCGAGAGCAAGCAAGTCTGACGAGACTGGCATTCTCGATCCGCTCGTCGCGCGCGCCATACTGGACATAATGCAAGGTAGACGAAATGAATCCGATATACCAGAATCCTGAAGTCGACGTGCCGCGCACGTGCCGAACATGCGTTGTGAGACCTGCTGTAACGCGCCCGTCTCCCTGCAATTGTAGCGGCTGCTCGCCAGAGCTTGGTGCTGTTGGCAAATGCGCTGCGCCACCGGAGCGACGTGTACAGGGGCAGGGTCGCACCGCTCGCAATTCTGGGGAGATGGTGGTTCCTGCAGCTGGGCCCAATAGCAGGCGCGCGACGAGAATGGATGGTGCGCATGAGTAGGATTATCGAGGGAGGCTTACTGGCGGCAAGGCCCGCCGACGAGGCAGACTGAGACGCGCGGTGGCCAATGGCGAGCACCTTCACCCCAGCGTCCCCTGGCGTGCCCTCACGAAGTAAGGCGCCGCGACGCAGATGGGTGAACGTAGGTAGGAGCAGCGTCCAGCGACCTGCTATTCTAACGGATATTCTGCGTGATTGCGGCGGCGACGATCGGGCTGAGCTTCGCGCCTGGTTGCATTGTGTTGCTGAGCTTATATTGCTGGGCCATCGAGGAGGTCAAGGAGGACGAGCGACGAGTGACAGAGAGTGACAGAGAGACGAATGCGACAATAGAAAAGTACATACCTTGCGACTTCGGCCTTTGCAAAGCTGCCGCTTGGAGTTAGATTTACTGCGGCCTTGGCTGTGGCTGCCTCAATACTCCGAGTACAATAACGATGGCTCCAGATCTAGAGGAGGGGCTGTTAATTGACCTTGTGACTTCGCAGTACTGCTGCCTGCAAACAACGACAAAGAATTCAAAGAAGCGTGAAAAGGGGGCCAATATTTTCGGAGGAGAGCCTTTCCGGCGAGCAAGGGATACATGGGTAGAGGCGGAGCGACTTGAAGCTAGCAGGGCAAAGTACTAAAGACCTGTATTCGGCGCACGTCAGGGAACTCAGAGATGATAGCTAAGAAAATGACTAGTATTGATGCAGCGTACCTCGGACCTCCCCTGCCTCAGCGCAATTCTCGAGATCTGATACCGGGAATTAGACCCTGCCTTTGCGCGCCGCAATCAGCTCGGTTGGAAACGTCTCGTGTACTATAGCCACACTATTACTTAGCCAACTGATTGATTGCGAGATAGAAACTCATACCCTCGAAAAGGGCCATATTGCAGTCCTCCCAAAACAACCTCCAGTATTCGTCTTCGCTGCAGAGCGTTGGCTTGCGCATTCTGCTCAACTTAGTGTGGTTGGCATTGAAGCAGTGGGCGTGTTGCCCCTGCGTACGCTGCCCATTCTTGCGTGCAACGCCCACACTTGAAAACCAGTCAAATGAGTGGAGGAAGCAAAGAAAAAGGAAACGCGCACAAGTGATCCAAGAGGCCAGTTCTCGAGTAAAATCCACAACCAAAAGGGCACGGAAAGTTGTGCCCGTCCTTCTTGATCTGAGCAGAATGTTGCGCGATGCCGTTTCGCCTTACGATATCTCTCTTGATCTTTAGGCGTATCTTTCGAAGCTGCTGCTTCAGGCAGGCCTCGCCCTGCAGGACGAGCGGTTGGGGAGTATCTACAAGACATCATCGCGTAGGTGACGCAAAGATGTCAGCGCAGATGACCTCCAAACGTGATAGCCCAAGGCAAGACCTCACCTGCGGCAGTTTCGCCGCGTGGCGCGCTCTCTTCAGCGTCCTCTTCCGGGGCATCATCGTAAAGGCGGCGCAACGAATGCCACGCATAGAAGATAGTGGTGTTCAGCTGCAGCACGTCTGTGCCCGATGCAGCTAGCCGATAGTCGCGGAATTCTTTGACAAGATTCCTTGTCTTGCAGAGATTACCAATTGAGATGAAGTCGTTTGCAACCTTCATTGCGTCAGTGCGATTGGAAACCTAGTATATGACTTAGTGTAGGAGATCGGCGTTAAGAGGAATCCCATACCTGGTGTGCGCTGCCTGCGGGGATGAAAACGGCTTCTCCGCGCCTCTGGAAAATGGTATATGGGAGCAGACCATATCGGGCCCTAAACCTCTCAATGGCACTTGCATCAAGATAATGCTGAGCAGAATGAACCGGGTCCCCGAGGGTAGGATCATGCTTTATCACCTGATCTGACAGCAAGAACTGCCGCAGCTGCGGTAGATGGCTTGCGTGCCAAATATGCCATACAGCACCACCTTCTGCGCCATCAGCATCCATGGCTGCCCACGTCATAAGATTCACTGCGTCGGCAAGATCGAGATGGAGGCGGGTTGAGCCATTGGCGGCTGACGCATGGGCCACAAACATCTTTGGGCCTGGCAGCAATGAGAGAAATCTGTCGTAGGAGCAATGGCACGCCGCAGCTCAAATTACTCACCTAGATCAGGAGCATTGCCATTAAGCGGGTAATGCGATGCTAGATTGAAGACGCCGTGGATAGCACAAAAATCGTTGAATGGCAGCCCTGCTCTTAGCGCTTCGTCCAGCATCGGGAACTCTGCGCTGAATTTGGCCGAAGGTGGCCAGTCCTGTGGTGCTACTGAGCTCAGGAGATACTAACGAGGAAGATGAGCTGCACCTTGAGCTTCCACACGTTCCCCCCTTTACGCCCCTCAACCAACGACTGGAAGAAATCTGAAACAGTTGACGAGACTTCTCGGGGGCTTGGCGATGGCGCCTCGCAGTCCGTCAATGTTACTTTCTGGGCGCCGTGCTTCTCTATGAATTCGCTGGGGGACCAGTAGCCCTGCAGCTTGTGCTGAGCATCAACAACGACTACAGGGATACCAGCGTTGAAATAATGCTCAAAATCAGCTATTGAGTTGTTTTGCATGGAAAGTCGTGCTTCTTCCCCGGCAGGCAACGCGGTCTCCCCGTAGGGCGCGCTAGTCATATTGGCGTTAGCTCAGAGCATCAGCGAATTTACTAAGAGGCAACCAACCTAAGTCCTTCTGACACCATTTCTTGCATTGATGCCAGCATGTACTCCACTTCAGTGGGCTGAAACCGCGACACCGGTAGTAGCGTATGCGAGTGGACCTAAGATAGACAATCAGCATGGATGTTCTGGCCACCTTGAGAATCCGTTACCTCGGGACTTGGAGGCAGCATTTCTGAACAAGTCATGCAGAGCTCTCGACCGCATTCGACGCAGAGCCATGTTTCCGTGAAAAGTTCGCTTGAACAGTAGTCTGCGGAGATTTAGCTGCTTATAGTGGGAGTGGCAAGGGTAACATACCGCAAGTGACTCTCACTGAGAGTTCTCGTGGGCGGATGATGCAATTTTGGCGAGTCAAATGGGCCGCCTCGCTCTTGAGGAGAGGTAGCAACAAATGAGCGCAGGCGCCCTGGCAACGCGAGGTTGTAAGGTCATTGAGAACATACTCACAGGCCAACAGATCTTACCAGATGCTGTTGTAATCTTTTCCTGTCCAAAGATCCCTGGATCTTCTTGCTGAACGTCGATCTGAAATTGGGCTGCGGCTCCAAGTCAGCAGAGAATTTGAACTGGGGGGCCTCTCCTTCTCCTGGGATGAATCGACAACCTATGATGCCAAGTTATTCAGCATCTAAACCAATGGTAGCCCCAGACATTCACGAGAAAGGTACCCTGACTTGGCGGGAGGAAAGATGTTAGACTACGCCAGGGAGTGGCGCGCTGAAAGGCCTTTCAAACAAGAGTCAAGACCCCAGGCAAAACATGGCATCAGCTGCCACGCATGGCGTGGCATGCTCTAGGCAAAGACACCTACCCTTAAAGCGACAGTCCGAGGAGGGTCTCTTGGATTCCGAGCAAGTGAAGCAAGCTGACAAGGTTTTGAAGGGCCCGGAGTCCCTTGCGCCGCCACGAGCTTTGCAGGCTTTCGTCTGCATGACGGGATATTTAGGCTGTGGTTCCTTCATTGCTGCGGTGCGGAAGAGAGGTGAAGGAAGACGTTGTGTTACAGTCCTGGATGCCCTCTGCCAGGGTAGCGGTGAACACGTCGGCAACAGCCGAGCTTCAGCCACAGAGACGTCACTGCAGACACCAAGCAGAGACAGCGAGTAACGACCACCGACCCGTCGCGCTACATGACATCTCGCTGCTCTCAGCGCAGCCGCGGTGTTTCGTACGCAGAAATCGGCGTAAAAGGAGAAGCATCGCCCGCCGACGCCTGCGAGTGCCTTCTGACAACTTTAATGCTTGTCCACTGCTCCCGAACATTCAACACCTTGACCTCCTCCCGGACTCGCACTCTCCGCCTTTGAAGGCGCATAGCAACGGCCTAAATGGCTCTCTCCGTCCGGACTTGCATTGATGTTCAAAAACTCAGCGGGCCCGCACACCACACCTCCGCATCGCTAGCGGCTTATCAGGCTCCCATGGTCGCCGCCACCGCACAGGTCGCGCGCGGCTGGCCATTCTCAGTGAGGGACAGATGAGTAGCCTACGCGCGAGATCTTAACATAGCGAGATTCTTCGTCGGCGAGGAAGGGGGAATGTTTATCTCCGGCGCATCCGGCTGGTTAGTATAGGTACGCCGTACGTCCTGTTTGTCTGATTTATTGCCCGTCCGCGCCCGCGCATATATTCACTGTTTCCACGGATTATGCCGCTCTCAGTCGCTGTGATGTTTCCCTCGCGTACAGCACATCCCCGAACCGAAATTATGTCGGCTTATAACGAACTTCGTACATTCAGGCTCAATTCTTCCTGGCTCACTCTTCGCCAGCCGAGTTCAACTCCCCGTATGCGGCCATCGAGGACTCAGGAGGTCGCCACCCTCCGCCGCTGCGGCGTCGCGCTCCTCAAGGCATCTACAATCCAGATCCTTTCTTGCGCAGTCTTCTCCGGCTTCTCGCCCTCAGCAGCATACGGAACCGCCCGCATTGGACGTCACACTCTGAATAACACGTCAATCTCGTATTATAGAGCTGAGTGCATCTCTATATGCCTGCGCAGTGATAGGTCAGTGGTTGTCTTGTCGCTGTATGCGCCCAATATCTTTTCTTACGCCGAAATCTCAGCCATGTTGCCATTTGGTTCGTCCCCGCTCCGTTTATGCCCCGCAAATCGGTGGCGCCACACGCTACTCAACGCCATACGTACACGCCCTCCCTCAGCGAACCCGCACAGATCTATGATCTTGTTCGCCCAAAGACTTGCTCTCGCTTACAGCCGGCACAGGGCTTGCGCTGGATCTGTTAAACCTTGTATATCCTCCGTCGACTTCGATTCATTCTTACTGACACTACTCCCTAGTGCCGTAGATATGCATGGTCCGCACTATTACAACAACCGACGCTCAACAGGTGCGTCTACTCACCGTCGTTGCTGGCGTGAGGTGGAACAATGATCCCGCCAACAGTGGCAGTGCATAGCACCCACTGGTACTAGAAATATGAGATCAAGACCGCCTCATATGCGCCTGCGATGGACCTGATTGCAGATGAACGGCGCGAGATCTTGGAATCACTGCTTGATCGCAAGTCGGTGCCACGGCCACGCATACCAGCGTATACTATGGCACGGGAGCACCAGGCGCATTGGCAGCTGCTGACGCCACGTTCGCGGATGTGCGGCAGCAACCTGAGGAGCCGATCCACTGGTGGGAGCAGACGCAGCTAGTGAGGCCCACATAGTGCGAAGATGGTGCAAGGCAGCGACGAAGAAGCGGGTCGTATGGACACGTACCGCGCGCTCTTACGAGTTGCTTTCCAGCAGAGTCCACGCGCAAACCTTGCGTAGGCATCACAGACACCTCATGCATGCCATGAGCATCCCGGAGCATCCGAGTATGAACTACCTTCCTTCCAGAAGACTCGCTATCAGCGGGTATCTGGGTGGAACGAACAGGTAGCAAGAATGGACTTACGTATAGTAGCATCTCCGTGTCGGTTCATAAGCAGAACGAAATCAAGTAAAATATCGATACTCTCGCAAGTGTGCCGATGTTCTGCGTCAAAGGCCATCTTTGTCACGAGTATTGACCATTTCTGTTGCGCTGCTCGTAGTCAGTCAATGTCATGGTACACAATGGGTCAGCATCGGAGATCATCCAGGGGTTTCGCGTGCTACACCGGACGCATTGACACTAGCTATCTCCTCTTCCTCTGCGCTTCTTCGACAACCCAATCGTGAAGGGCCGTCGGAAATCAGGGCATCTCGTCGTCCAGTCTCTCCTTCTCATGCGCGAAGATAACCACGACGTTGTCCAAAGCACGCATGATCTTCAGCTTGTCGATTGTCAATGTCTTCCACGCGACTCATCGAGCTCGTGGTCATTACCCCGGCCAATGAGGCGGTCTCCAGGACAGTAGCAGAGCAGACCATGGCAGCAGCCCGCAGCCGGCAGGACGAACGTGTTGGGCGCGACACGAGCAAGGGCGCCGAGATGGCCGGGGAAGTGGCCAGGCGCGTGAAGCACTGGAAGATACAGGGAGTCGAAGAGTTCTATTCGCTGTGACTGCCAATCAGTTCCTCCTGGCGGTTGTGCAGCCCAGATGCTATACGACACAACTCACCGCGGTTTAGTTTCCTCTGCTCCTTTCAGTGATCTCGTAATAAGCTGTAGCCTCCCCTCATAGGTCGTCGAGGCGTCGCGTATCGCTGCGGACGCTTATTAGCTTCGGTTTTACACGAGACGATGTTGTCTTGACTGTCTCGTGCGCGAGATGTTCAATATCAATCAGGACATCTTAGCTCACTCGCTGACGGCGAGACCATGAATGTATGTCTACAGGGTCAGAGTGTGGGTCCAAACCCGAGGTCCCCAATGGATGATAGCAATTCGAGAGCGATTCGCAACTGACAGCAGCCGGTTCAGACAGACGAGTACTAATTTCAGCGAACGACAAAGCTAACAGCAAGTGATAAGGGCAAACGACGAGGTGACGGCTGCCTTGATGGCTCGTAGAAATGCAACACAATGGCTGCGGGACCGCCCGACCCGCCGACCTTTAAGTCTGAATCTCACGTTCTCAAAGAGACCTGTCAAGTCATTGAGTGTGCGCGATAGTCTAGAAGAACACTGGACGTACCGCCGTGGGCTTCTTGACAACTTTGTTGTGCGGTTTCTTGGATAACATCAACGGATGGCGCGCGTACTGCGGGCTCGACCCGCGATGTGCTGGCGTTCAGAGGCAGTCCGGGGTCCAGATTTGCCAGGGCACGTCGATTTTGTGCCTCTTGGATAAGTCTGCGATTACATGGTGAGCCAATGAGAGGCCATGGATGAGATAGAGAACGAACTGACCGCACAATTTCTTCCGTCTCTCGCAAGAAAGCACGAGAGTTCACTTTGACCACCTCCGACAGATCCAGAGAGACTGACACGAGCGGGATAGTCAACCGACTTTCGCCGAGGTCATCCATTAAAATGTCCGGCAAGATGTCAAGTGTCGAATTACTTGTTGACTGGGTAGTCGGCGGCGCAGAGCTACCGGATAGCTCGCCACTAAGCTTGCGACCCTGAGGTGGGAAGTGTCGGGAGTCGACGTGTCCCGGGTCCAGCGAAGAGCCTGTCACACTTGCTGTGACCTCGCCAGAAGCTTGGACACTGTCTACGGTATTAAGACCGTCACGAGCCACGCCTGTCTGTACATTCACCGCAGCGATTTCCGGCTGTATCTGCGACGCAGATTGAAGGGCTGGAACATCCGGACTCCTGAGTGTGGTCGGAGTGTCATCCAAGGTAGCGCTCCTGTCGGTAACATCTGTACTCAATGCACCATGACAGTTTGGCTCGGCGTTACGTGTGCCAGCGGCGACAAAAGGGGCAGATTAGGCGTGGAGTACTATCCTCCCATGATACAGGCATACCTTACCTGATAAGCTCATGCGAAACTGAGCTCGTCGCAGACTTGCCACTGAGCGCCACCAGGTCCTGTTCAGACGGTAGTGGTAGCACGATACTTGCATTGGCATCTCGAAGAGCCATCCTCCTATAATGGTCTTGACTGGCGTAGATACTGTCAGTGACCAAGTCATGTGTGCTGAGAGAAACAGCGCCTGTGTGGTCATACAGGCGGGTGGGAATGCGGACTACTGGAACGGCAAACGTGTACTGATAACAATTTTGGAACGGGAATGAAGGTGTTGGCTGCAGAGGCTCCCGGGAAAGCGGGTGTTTGGTCTCCGGGAAGATCGGGATACACATGGCCGAGTCGATGCCAGTGTCGCCGTCTTCCTGGCAGAGGCCTTGGCCTACGAGTGCGATGCGACACTTGTGATTCGGCTTGTGCGGCATAGGCAGCTCATCGATCTACGAAGGTCAGCGGCTGCGGGCAGAGACGATGACAGCACGAGGAAGTTCAAGTACCTCAGACAGATGTGCCACGTATTTCTGGACCCGCAGCTCTTGCGCGGTCTTCGCCAAAGTCGGGTCGTTTAGCGGTTCGACCATTCCTACCGGATCTAGTTGCACAACAAGATATGTACCATGACACGGCACCATGTATTCATTGCCTGTGAAACAATGCATGCATTACTCCTAAGATTCGCATGCGGGAGAGAAAGAGGTGCGTCGCCTACTAGTATCATCCTCGCGCGGATCAGTTGACATGCCAAATTCCGTATTTGATTTGATTGTTGACAATGCACGCTGGGAGACAAACAAGGTCCCAAAGAGTGAGGTCTTGAGAGTACACAACGCCACGGGAGGCACTCACCGTATCAATTGCGATCACCCTCCCTCGAGTCCTGAGGCTCAGTCTTCGTCTCCTCAATGCAGCCTGTCGCCGAAGTACCGTATGTGAGCAGCGCGTACTGCTCCTGGGACGTGGGGCTTGGAAGTGTGGCAGAGACCGTTTGAGTCGACCGGCGCTGAAATCGACCCACGCTGAAGTCGAGTCGGAAGAAGAGAGATTCTGTTCCAAATTTGGCGGTGTGACTAGCAGCGGATTCGAAAGTCCCCAGGTTGAACGTTGAGTACTGAGTACTGAGTACTGAGTCCTCAGGCCTCAGGCCTCAGGCCTCACGCGTGATATATCGTGACGACATCTCTATTCCTGCTCTCGCTCTCACTGGGTCCAGTCACCTCGACGACTTCTATGTAGGCTGCGCACGTCTCAGGTTTGAGGTTCCCGACGAGTAGGTCAATGTAGCTCCACTGGCAGACAGACGAGGTACTGATTTGAGTGACATCGGGGCCACGGGGTCCTAGCGACGGTGACGAGCGCATCCGCACAGGCAGGACGGGACAGCGAGACTTGCGGCTACGGCCGGAACCCGGGACGCATCTCGTCGTATCAGCGGGCGGTGGGTCCACTGGCGACTGCGTACTAGGACGTCTCGCATAGCCAAGAGTCCGCCGAGCACAGTCTGACTCGGAGGGCCGAGCTCACTACGTGGATACGATCTTGGCTGAGCGACCACTCGACACGGCGAGGTGAGGGCGGTCGACATGCCTGGGCGTGGGGTTGGCGTGGGGTGCTACGTCGTTGAAATTGGGGACGAGGCGTCGTGGACAAGGCTCCGCACTCGCCGGCTCAAGTTCCGTTGAGGCTGACGGAGGATGCGCAGTATACGGACAGTACGCATTGCACCGGCATCACGGAACGTGCACGTAGTCTACGCATGAGGCATGGGTCATGACATCAAGATCCCGGGAATTTGAGCGACGCAGGTCCCAAGTGTCTGAGGAACTCGGAGGTTTGGTCGAGACGGGAGGGCGTGTCTGAGTCAAGCGTACTGCGTTCGCGTGGAGACCCAAGCGTCTCTCGAACATGCACCCGTAACGAAGGGCATGGTGAGGTGATCCCTGGAAGTGAATCTCTGAGTTGGGTGTGCACAGGTGGGGCGCACGCTGTCAGGACGAATCCGGCTTGCATACCGGCATCCTAGCGCGCCACGCCTTGTTGGTCGTCCGTGAGCGAACCGCGATCGATATATATTCACGAGGTCATTGGATGGAAGGCGAGCTTAACTCAACCCGAGCGTCGCGGCGCCGAAGACGGTCCAGAAATCGGATACAGCAACGATGACGTGCATACGCAACAGCGCGACCCAGCTGCGAGAAGCATACACGACGGCGGGAACCCTCGCTCGACGAGAACTGGTCTCGTTCAGGCTGGCCGGGTAGCGCGCCGCCGATGGGCGGAGTAGTGTCAGCATTGATATTGAGCGCGGAGTAAGTACGGCCAGGGGAACGCTGGGTGACGGGATCTGACTGGAATTGGGCGTCGGGCATGGCGGCCCGGGCGAGTCCGAGGCGCGTGGCAAAATCGAACCTGGGACGTCTCGCCAACTTCCCCCAACTTCCCTCCTCCTCCCCCCTCTGTGGGCACTCGATACTCCGAGCCTCGCTAGAGTGCCGCCAGGCCCCTCCGCAGCCCTCCTCCGCAGCCCTCCGCCGCCGTCCTCGCGACCGCATACCCGAGATGACGATGCCCGCCTGCTCTGCTCGGCGGGCTGACGCATTGGAACGATTCCAGGAGGCTTGCCTCCCTGGATGACGTCCGCCGGGTGCGAGCAACCGTGGGTTGGACGCCTATCGCCGCTCCCCCAACTTCCCTCCTCCTCCTCCCCCCTCTGTGGGCACTCGATACTCCGAGCCTCGCTAGAGTGCCGCCAGGCCCCTCCGCAGCCCTCCTCCGCAGCCCTCCGCCGCCGTCCTCGCGACCGCATACCCGAGATGACGATGCCCGCCTGCTCTGCTCGGCGGGCTGACGCATTGGAACGATTCCAGGAGGCTTGCCTCCCTGGATGACGTCCGCCGGGTGCGAGCAACCGTGGGTTGGACGCCTATCGCCGCTCCCCCAACTTCCCTCCTCCTCCTCCCCCCTCTGTGGGCACTCGATACTCCGAGCCTCGCTAGAGTGCCGCCAGGCCCCTCCGCAGCCCTCCTCCGCAGCCCTCCGCCGCCGTCCTCGCGACCGCATACCCGAGATGACGATGCCCGCCTGCTCTGCTCGGCGGGCTGACGCATTGGAACGATTCCAGGAGGCTTGCCTCCCTGGATGACGTCCGCCGGGTGCGAGCAACCGTGGGTTGGACGCCTATCGCCGCCTGGATTGCGGATTAAGTACAGAAGAACGTGCGCCGCAGGTCGACAAGGACATCATCTCTCACCACACTCCACGGAGGTGCCCGGGATCGGCCTTGCGTGAGGTTGTCGACGACTGTGCGCAGGAGACTAGCTGTCTTCTAGAACTATATCGTCGATGTATGTTGAGATCGACCGGCTGCGCTTGTTCCTTCACTTACAGCCCGTTTAGGGCCAACAACATGTATGAGCTGGCGATTTTGTGGCTCTGCAGACGATGACCAGCGCCCTCACCTACCTCAAGATCGAGAAGATCGGCGCGCAGAAGGTAATCAGTCGTGCAGTTTTACCATCCGCATCCTGACAGTGTTTGCAGTCGACGAAGTCCACCTTCGATTGAGGGAAAGAGATGCCCAGCGAGATCATCAGCTCGTGCTTCGCGAAGGCCAAACAGCTGCAAGTAACCGGGGGTTTCGTCAAGCTGGAGCGTGGCTTTGCAACTGTCCCTCTTCCTGGCATCGATGCGCCTCGCTGCCTCTGGGCCGGCGTCATACTTCAGAACATGTACGCGGCACTTATTTTCGCGGCTGTGCTGCGCTGATTACTCTCCTAGACCTCTTGAAGAAGATCAACGCCGCGCATCTCAAGAGTTTGCTACGTACCTCGGGCTCATAGTGAGTGCTTGATCAATGATTCTCGCCCCCACCACTCCCCCATCTCAGATCACATGCTGGTGCTGCGATATTGCGATGCCGCCGCTTCTCTGCAGCGTCGCGGTCTCGTCGAGGCTCGTATTCGACTTCCGGGTCATCGATACTGATCAGTCCATCTGCTCTTATACTGTTGATTGTCACGTCTACACGTCTTGCGCTGATCACAACCACGAATACGCTCAGCCTGAATAACCTCCGTGGCCTCCGGTGCCCCGCAGTAGGAGCTGCGTGCGGTCGGGAGCTTCCGCGCTGTATCCTTGGAGCTTCTGAAGGCCGCACGTCGCGCGCGAAGCGGAATCCGTGACTCCAGCATGTCTTGTGCTGCGTTAATATCTGCGGCTGGACGCCTCCCAGGATAGATCTCTTTAGATTCATCGAGGACGCGCGTTCGCTGCCTTCGGCAGGTGCAGCACAAGTGTCACATCGGGCTCCTTGGGCGTTCGTCTCTTTGGCCTCAGGCCTAACCATCCAACACGAACACAAACGGGCGACTTATCTCTTCATTCTGACCTGGCTGAACTGACCGCGACGCTGCAGCGCGGACCTTGTGCGCTACCCAACTCTGCGCATATACCCAGCTTGTATGCGACGTGGGTCTCGCGAGGCCGCTGACGGTCCTCCGCTCAACAAGCCTCACTTTGTACGTCATGCCCGGCGAGATTCTCTTCTAGCCGAGCAGTGGACGCGTCGCTCCCTGTTTGCCGCGTTTGTACACGACCTACAGCCATCGTCCGACCCATATGCAGGACGACTGGATGGAACACGCTGTTCGTCGATTAGCAACGCTCGCCGACCGCTGGGGACCCATCGCTTGCGAAGGACGTTCTCGCTCTAGGTCGCCATTCCGCGGCTCTTGTCGAGCAGCATTGAACTTCGCTTCTGCGATCGGGCGTGTGAGTGTCTCCTCTCGATAAGTAGTGCGATAGACGGTCGAACAGACGGCAACGTCGTGCTTCCGAGATCGCGTCTTAGCCCTCCCTCCGCGCAGATGGTGATTGCGTGGGTAGGGGTCTCGCATGAGCGGACGATGCGCTGGCCGTATCTCCATGCAGGAGAGGACGTTACTCCGCCAACCTCATCGTACTCTACACATATGGAGCCATATCTTTCATTTATACTCAGGCGAGCAGGTCCGCTGTTAGCCCGTTGTCTCCCATGTCCGATCAGACAGGCGCACTCTGTGCGCGTACGCATTGTATGCTCTCGCCGTCGCCTGATCTACTGGACTGTGGCATCCTTTGTTTCTGAGAAACCCGAACCGCTTGCTATTACATAGTATCCTCGGCGTCCTCTGGGCACTGCGATATCCCGCATGATCCCTTAGTTCCATCAAGTTCAATGTCGAGGACAGCCGCACAAACGTTTCGACGAAGGTCTACGTTGTGTAGGTACGTGAGTAATTCCATTGAGTAAATAACGACATTTACTGGCCCTGAAGCTCAGCATGCCAAGCATCCGTCCATGACGAATACGACCAGCGGGCCCAGGAGGTTGAGTGAAGGGACGTTGGCCTTCGGTACCGACTTTGAGTGTGTTTGCATTCTGGTCTTCTGCGCTTCGAACACTCCCTCGCATATGAGATGCGTTCCGTCACTGCGAGCTGCTCACGACCATGTATGCCGCTCACGGCTTCCACAGCAGTACCGTATAGCGGTGTCTCTGGTATGGGGTTTTCGAAGTCCGCTCGGCGTCAGCCGTACCGCTATACCGTCTGGATCGAGACTAGTCCTACTAGAGGCCGGGCGATCCACAGCGCAGCGAGGGAGCGCCCATTTGGCGCCCCAGCCATCCCGCGAGCGATCCGCCGCCCCGCCGGCGTTTTACTGCCTGTGGGCCGATGTTTGCCCCACCAATGGCATTCCAGTTTGCGCGATCCCGCGCAAAGAATGGCGGGTTCGACTCCCCCGCGAGCACCGCGCGGCCGCGCAGTGCAATGCGCCGCAACCGCGCGCAATTTGAAACCCTTGATTTTCCCGTGGATCCATCATACCTGTCGATCGGGAAACACGTGATCGCGAGTACCCTGGGGCTGCGCGCCTCCTCATTCTACCACTTAAACTTGCAGGGCGACCGCCGCTTCTCCCACGTCCCCAACGCAACATCTCGCGCATGACCGACTCCTCGAGCTCAGCCCCCGCCTCCCCTCGTCCCGCCCCACGCGGCGCTCGTATCCGTCCATCGCTCCACCCCGTCTCGCACGATACCGCCCCGCTTGCTCTGGCCGCCGCCACTTCGATAGCTCCTGCGGCCGGCCACGCCGACACCCCAGGGACTCCCGCCACTGACGTCGCTCACTCCGCGCTTGGAGTCGCACCGGCTGCGGGCGCTGAGCTCCGCCGAAACCCCGCAATCCGGCGGTCCGCGCGGCGCGCACCCCCGCAATACCCGCCGCCGCCCGCATACGAGACGGCGGCTCTCCCATTGGATGCACTCGCGCCGCCTTCCTACGTCCGGCCCAGCGAGGATGCGCCTACCATGCCCCGCTCGCTCGCGCCTCACGACGCATTGGCTAGCATACGGTGGATCGTCGAGGACATGAATCCTCACCCGTGGTACGTTGCCTTTTCTTTCATTCTAGGTTCCATTACTGAATCTTTCAGGGTGCACTACGAGGCGTACGTGAAGCGCACCGGCCTGTTAGTGACGGCGTCGAAGGTGTCGAGCGCGCCGCAGGGCGCTCCTTTAGTATGGTACATGGCAGTCTGGGCGTCGACGGAGCAGCAGGCGATGGACTTAGAGCGGTACGTGGAGGATCTGTTCGAGGAAGACGGGCGGGATGTTATTTGAGGTGGGCGCCGCCCACATTACTATCCCGTAGTACTACTACACACGTTCTGGCTACACCACTACATATATTCAGTGTTTGCGACACTCAGCTCGCTTTCTCCCAGTCGACTTGTCACTTAGGCAATGCGCTCGCTGCGAAAGAAAGCCCGGCCGACCCGGGTAGATGTCTTCATCATGGCCAATCCGCCGCGCAATCCGCGCATGAAATGCCCGCCTCTTGCAAGGGCCTGGCGCCGCGCACGTAGACGCGCCCTAGTACAAGCTGCGTACAGCCGCTCGGTTTCTTTTGTAGCCGACGGTCGGCCAATCAACGGGTGTGGGTTGTGTATAAAGCGTCGGCCGCCGTCGGCTGGCCCTATACCATTGGTGGTTTCGGCACGTCGGTTACTCTATGATTATAGGGCAAAGACGCTGCCTGGTGTGAGCGGGTGACGACGCGCACGTCAACCGTGAGCGCACCGGGCGAATGCACATCACGTAAACACGACCGATGAACGGACCACCCGCCGCGTGTGAGCCAAGAACGCGCAAGGGCGAGTAGACGGTGGGCGCACGGCGACGCCGCCAACCACTAGCACGCAGGGCAAAGGTCCCCTGTGCATGCGCGGCCGATGAGCGGACCACAGGTGCGAGCAGGGGGAGGACGGGTGGAGGGTGAGTACGGAACTTGCGAGTGAGTGTGGACGGGAGCGAGCGGATGGTGGGCAGACCCCACGCGCTGAGCAAAAGACCAGCAACGGCGACGTTGTTGGGCAAGCCGGCGCGCGCGCAACCTGAACACACCGACCGCGAGCGTGGAGGGCGAATGCCCAGTACGCAGATGCGGCCGATGAACGCGCACGCAGGCAGACGAGTGGACGGGCGAGCGGGCACACAATCGTCGGCGAGCGGCACACGACCGGATGACGACACACGCATGGCGACCGCGAGCTCGTAGGGCGAATGACGAGCAGGCAAGCCCCGCCGACGAAGGGACCGTGCGCGCGTGAATGAAGGGCAAGGCCGGGGCATGCGCAATACGCCGACTGCGAGCGCACAGGGCCAGTGCCCCGCATGCCAACGCAGCTGACGAGGGCGCCGTGGGTACGGACACAGTGGCAAACAGGTGGGAGCGCGTGAGGATGGCGCGTGAGGAGCGAAGACGGAGGATGGGGAGGACGGCGGGTGCAGGCAACAAGCCCAAACCCGCGCAGATACCGCCGAGGTAAGTCAACCAGCGGTCCACCGTCGACACCGGCGGTGAACCCGGGCAGGGTATGGGTATGCAGGTCGCAGGTCGCGGGTGCGGTTGAAAATTTCTCAATGAGGCCACGAAGCCGACTCCCGAAGGGAGGCGGCTGAGTGGCCTTTGCGTACAGTGTATACATCTTCGCGCGCAGCAGTACTGGCATACGACTGATGCTATAGCCGTGAAGCTGACTCCCCGCGCGGCCGAGGGAGGCGGTTGACTTGGAGTGGCCTTCGTATCCTTCGCGCATAGCACTACTAGCATGCAATCATTGATAACGTCCAGTCCGTAGCGGAGCACGGGTTTCCGCTAGTAAGTATACAACGCCTGTTGATCCTATGTGAGCCGACTAACTCGATGATGCGTTATGCGAGACAATGAGTACAAAGATTGATACAATGTGTGTATGCATCAGACTCCGATCACTCTCGATGTTCGACTACATACTGCTTCAGGAAAGATTGGCTACAACACACAAAGAAAAGAATAAGGTCGAGGACATCAGACTCTAAGCCGCAACACCATCTTCAATGTCAAGAGGTGCTCCCAAGATCCCCATGAATTTCCCGTACGTGATCTCCGTCTCGCGACGCTCCTCGTGCATCTTGATCTCGGCCTTATTGACATCACGGCCATCACCTTCTGCCATCGAGCGCAAGGCGTCGATCACGTCGGTGCGCATTTGCACGCCTGTAAATGCCGAGCAGAGGCGCGAAACCCAGGAAGGCTCGGGAGTACGGACGGTGAGAGCCTTGAGCAATGGATGCGCGTTTTTGAACACATCGTCGTAAGCGGGAATATACTTCATGAACTCCGCCTTGGCCGACCGAATGTCCGCCAACGACTCGCGTTCCCAGGCAGCCAAGTGACCGAACGTTTTATTGTCTGGATCCCATACCGCGTAGACGTAGGCGAGGACATAGAAGAAAGATTCGAGGTCGTGGCGATACAAATGGAACGGCGGCGGACCTTTGCGCAGGAGGTCCAGGGCCATAAACGGACCCGTGCCCGTGCGGTACCTTGGTTTCTTCGGGGGTTCGCTCGATGTGGCTTCCCCTGCGTCGGCCTTCGGTGCAGTGCCGTCAGCCGCTGTGTTGGATGCAGATGGTTCTTCGGCGCCAAAATATTCGCCAGCGCGCGTCGATGGAATGCCACCGTTCTCCTCCGCGAGATCCCAGTCGCAGAGAACACCATACAGCCTGCCGTCCTTGCGGAACCACATGATGTTGTTCGTGCTGATGTCACGATGCAGAATGCGTGACGTCGTCCATACCCAGTAGTGAGCTACATACAACACTAGTCAGCCGGATGCAACAATGGCACAGAAACACTGGTACACACCTCGCACGACGTCGACGTACACCTTCTTGAAATCGTCAACGGACTCGACCACCTCGAGCCGTTGGTAGGACTGCATTACCAGCACCCGGCATACGCGCTCGTCAGCCTCATCACGGTCAAGGCCCATCGCAGCCCGAGGCAGCTTCATCTCCTCGATCGTACGCGTTACGGAGCACTTCAGCTCCACGATGTGCGGTAGGTACTGCCGCTTCGTCTGGTCCAGCTTCGTACGCACGGCGGTAATGAGGGAGTCCTCCGCCTTGCGCAGAGCATGTGGCCAGGAAATCTTCGCTACGAGGTCTTCGGTCTTGAAGTGCTTGTACGCGAGCATGCCCGGCGTCGCTTTGATCGGGATGACGCTTGTGCCCCGACCCAGCACTCCAAACTCTGTGTAGATCCGCTTCGCCTCGCCGTCAACGTCAACGTCGAACTCGAACAGCTTGGGCTTGGCATCGGGGGTATCAGGCCGCAGCGCCGTTATACACAGCTGAGAGCCCTTGTACTGCTCGAACCCCGTCTCCGTTTCCTCGTTCTCCTGGAAATGCAGATCACGGAAAATTCCCATACCGTGCACGCTCGCCTGGCCCATAGCCGCGATGCACCTCAGGAAGAGTTCAAAGTCATCGTGAAGGAACTTGAACTTCTTCGTCACTACGATGCCCATGCGATCGCCGTAGTACAGGCGCATGTTGTCATCCTCGACCAGCCAGCCGATCCCGAACGACCGCACGTTGGACGACATCATCTGATTCATGTATCGCACCGCTTGCGCCTCGTTATGCGTTAGGTCGAACTCCTGGGGCCGCACGGGGTCGTCCTCATCTGTCTTTGCCTGTGTGTGGTCGGCGGCGGGGCCGTCCTGGACTCTCTCCGAGTCATCGGTCGGCGTACGCGGTCGCTTCGCCTGCGGCAATTCGGTCCTCTCCTCTGCCGCCGTTCGTTTGCGTTTTCCTTTCTCCGCGGCACGACCCGTGTCCGTATCGACCTGCTGATGCAGCTGCGTGCGATTCGGTAGAACGCCAACCTTCGTCTTCTTGACCTCCAAGAAAGCGGCCTCGAAGTCCCATCGCGGCCACTTTCCGCGCGTCAAATCCACCGTGCTGAAGCTCATATCGACCTTCTCGCCCGTGTAGCCCCCTTCGTACTTTGTGTCGCGCTTCTTGAATTGTGCCGGGTACGCGCGACGTACGCGCTGCCGATGGCCCTTCGGGCCGTACATTTGTGTCAGCAGTCCGTTAGCTATCTCCGCCAGCGGCTCGTAACAGTCCCTCTCCGACCGCTTCAGTATGTAACATTTCGAGAACGCTTTGTCGACGGAGGGCGACGCGGAGCTTTCGTTACGTTTGCCCGCGTTGGTAAAACGCTTCGGCGGTACGTCCTCGGGCCCGAACTTCCAGACAGCCTGTATGAACTTCGCTGGGTCGAAGTTCCACACGATTTTGTCGCGAAAATGCTGTTTTACCCAGTCCTCGTGCCTCTGCCACTTAATGCCGTCTTCCCCCCTGCTGATCGCACTGTGCGCGCTCGGCTGGGTAGGCGTCGAGTTAGCCATGCAGAGCGCTGATCTTGGGTGTCAGCCTGCGTCCACCATGACTTACTATGCGTGATCAACGTACCAATGTCTCGGAGTTTGCGCTCGGGAGTCTTGTCCCTCGGCGCCGGGCCCACGGGCAGCGAAACGAAAGGATTCATAGCTGGGTGCGCGGCGGGATCGCCACGGAGCTTCTTGGTCGAAAAGTAGAGAGCAATGAACGTGCGAGGACACTGAGGAGTGGAATGGTCAACGAAGAACGGGGGAGCATTCCGAGGCCAGTAGGGTGCGAAATCAACAGTTGGCATTTCGCCTTTGGCCATGTTTACCGCCTTGGCCACGTATTTTCAAAGTCAGATCGGCTTGTTTTGGCAAACAATGCGGTGGACGGAGGCTGGTGGCAACACTACTTATGGCAACGTTGAAGCGAGTGTCGAAAACGGGAACGTGGATCGCGTACGTCAATCACGTGATGTTGATCCGGAGGTGCCTGCAATATTGTACTAGTACACAGTACATGCTAAGGAGGATTTTAATGTTGTCCAACCGCCCTTCGATGGTTGCACAAGGAGCAGAACAGTGTAGGGTACAGCACTCATAAATTTATCATTACAACCGTCTGGATCCACTGGTCCCATGGCGGCGCCTGTGTCGCGTCTGTCATGAAGAAAGCGCGCGTAAAAGGGTGCAGCCCTCATCACACATGGCTGCTTGGTTCATGTCTGAGTCGACCGTCTGCTGCTGCTGCGTGGGGCGCCCGTGTCAGCTCGCGGGGCTGCTGCTCTGCGTGTCCGACTCACTTGCACATCTCGCAGGTTCGCGGGCGTCGCCGCTGCCTTAGCATGTTTGTGACCATCCCTGGTCTGACGCGAGCGAGTGATTCGTCAGCATCGACAAGACTACAGGTGGGTACAAACCGCTTATCGGGCTAGAGACTAGCATTTTTATTGCACGACGCGTCCGCATTTTGGTCCCACGTAGTGTCGTAGACGTTGTGCCGGCCTGAACGCGCTGCGGTCGCCTGGACTGACTGCAATGCCGCCCGGGCGACACTGTTCTCTACGCGGGATGCTCAGTTCATGGTTTTCATCATGGCCGTCTTGTGCGCGAAAGCCCTCTCCTTGAACCAGGTTGTTCCAGCGCTCCGACGCAGAAAGCTCGCCGCATGATTTGCAATTGCGTCGGTGGCGCCCTCCGTGATGGGGGGTGCCTGCACAGTAAGTACGTGGTCCTTCAGCCTGACTCGGAAATCCACACTGACGGACAGTAGCTATCCCCGTTTATACGGAATATGCGACGGGCGAACTCACCATACGCCTTGAAGCAATGCCAGCTACAGTCCAAGATTGTGTTCAGCTTGTCCTGCAACGGCATGTACTGATGGTCATTGGCTGAGTAGAGTTCCTATGGCGATAAATCAGATGATGCACGAAGGAACGCGAATCGTATGTTACCTTCTTCACAAACTTGCGGCACCCTTCGGTGAGCCATTTTTTCCGATGTCCCAGACTGCTTTGAAGGGACAATCGGTCTGCCAGAGACAAGTCGGACGAGTCAGAAGCATCAAAGACACCCCAAACCCGGTGGGATGGGTCATGTGCTGCAGGGAACGCAAAGACAACCGGGACTCTGAAGCGGTGAACTTGAATTCTGTTCGTCTTGCACGTTTATGGCCCACTCAGTGAAGGAGGCCTCAAAGGCGTCGCCAGGAGAACCGCGGGACAGAGAGAGCGAGCCGCTGCGCTCAGAGCCAGTCTCGTCCACCGGCCAGCTTGGACCACGAGACGGGCGTCCAGCAGGACTCGGTCGTAGTGCGTGCGAATGCCTTCAGGACGTCCGTTGGTGCGCGTTTCTGCCGTTCGTGAGCGCGTGGACAAGGACGCCGACAACTTGCATTCGCACCTTCCTCTACTCGCTACTGCCCTCTTCCTTCCTGCTTCCCATCCTTCTCGTCTTGTGCGCACCCAGTCTTCCGGCTCCTGCCACGTCCTTCCTCCGTTCGATGTTGTGTGATTTTGTGCTGATTTTTCGTCCCAGGTCTCTCGGTGAACGTCGTAGTACGGCGAGTTGGTCCCGGCGCGTCGGTCTGCGCGTCCACCCTTCAGTGACGTGCGTCTACGCGTGAGCTGATGCTCGTACCGCCTGACGTGCCCACCAGCTCCTGTTCTCGCCCTCCACGTCTCGTGTCGTCCCACCCGCCCGCCTTGCGCGTGTCCCCGGTTCGTACGTCATGTCCTCAGCCTGATCCGACCGTGTTGACGTAATTTGTCCATGTGCTGCTGAACGTGCAGTGTCCGTGAGCGCGTATGCTACGGTACTTATTCTGCGCTGCCCACTTCCGCGCATGCGACGTCGCTGATTCTTCTGCATTCCGCGGAGTGGCCTCCCTCGAGAGACCTTCGCAGTGGAGCGTTGCGCACTGGCAGCGCGAGACGTACTGGGAAACGGTATGCATCCGTGTCCCGCGTGCTGCAATCTTCACTGACGACGGGTGCTAGTAGAGCTGGCCCGCATCGACGTGGACGGCGCGTAGAGGTAGCGAGGTTGGGGTGGTGAGAGTGGTGAGCGACCAAAGGCGAGTGAAGGGACGTTGGGCGCAATATTACGAAGTGGGAGGAGCGACGGGCTGCAGCTGGCTTACGATTCGGATTGGTCAGCGCGGTACGTGAGCATTCGAGACGCTTACCCAGCTAATACGGTCACGCGTGTCTTCACGCCATCCGTCCGTCCTCGCGTTGCTGGCCTGCCGATATGTAGAGCCCGTCCCTAGTGGTCGTCCGCTGGCGGAGTGGACGCTGCTGTGTGAGAGGTTGACGCCGCTACGCCGCGTCCAGGGATTTGGACCATGAAGGGAAGGAGATGGTCGGTCATGCGGGCGAGCCACGGAACTGAATTTAGCGTCCGATAAGCGCCCAAGATTGCATCTTTACCGGTCGCTTCGTTCCTCCGCAGAACACCGGTACCAGCGGGCCACGTCAGGATAGGGCCAGTATTGATGTCATCGCGCGCCGCGCATGACGGGAGTCTGGGCGTGACGGGATAAGCCGTCGACAGCGGTCGAAATGTCCAAGAAACTTGAAGGCAGAAGGTCGAGGTCGGTTGAGTGGAGCAACGCGCGATCGTCGATGCTCCAGCTCGTCGTCTCGATGCAGTGCGAACGTCGCGCCGAGTCGGGAGAATTCCGATCACCATCTAGAGTGTTGTGGCGGATATCTTCTTGACGTGTGCATCCGCCCTTCGTACAAACTCCTTGATGTCGCGAGCACGCAGATCGCCGTCTTTGTCAACGAAGAGTCGGCAGCATAGCGCGCGCATCTTGTCAGGCTGTCGACTTCGGTCGGCACCGCGAACCATCCTTGAACAATTAGATGGCTTACTGATTCAGGGAACCCCCCGTACGCGCCTACAAGCGCGTCGTTCAAATCCTTGTCGGATGCGTGGCTTGGCTTCTTGAGGGCCGTTGTGAGAACGTCGATCGACGACCCGCGCGCGCCCAATAGCTGGTGAGCTTTCGCTTGACGATGATACCTGCATCTGAATGAGTCCGCCGCGCCGAACTGAGAAATCTGCCACTGCACATACGCCTTTCCGTAGTTCTCGTCAAACGTCGCCGCCCTCTCTGCGTCCGCCAAAGCCTTCTTCGCATCCTGGCCTTCGCCCTCTAGCAACAACGCCGCCGCTCGGTTCGCAAGGCAGATGGCGGTCACCCGCTTGATGTCTCGCGTCTGCTCGACCGTCGGATTCTGTGCTATCGCATCAGCGAGGAACTCGTAGGCTTCGGAGTAGTGCTTGATGGCGGCGGTACGGTCCTTGCGTCCGATGGCCTCGTTACCGAGTTGTTTCTCCTCCTCGGCGCGCTTGATTGCCTTTGCGACACCCTGGATGCTGAGGCTGTGGGCGCCCAAACCGACCCTTTCTGCTTCCTCGCTGCGAGAAAGATGGGTGACTAAGTACAAGAGGGCGTTCATAAGCGAAAGGGCGTTCATAACAAAGGTACGAACAATGTTTCTGAACGCCAGCTGAACGGCGCCGGAAGAGAGTCCAGGAAGGGACGAAGTGCATCAACATGTGGACTGAGTTTGTAAGCGATCACACGCAGACTGGGTGCACAGGGTAGGTTAGGTGGCAATGGAGATGCGATCGCCTACTTAAGAGCTCTAGAGTGATGGCAAACTCAATGGACCACACACTCATCGATATACGGTCATACATACTTCAGCAAGACGTCAGACGAAAGCATCCCCGGCAAGACCATTTCTTGCACCAGGAACTGGTCCCGATCGTCGTCTTCGAGTAACAGTCAGCCTGAATCAGCCTTGGAACGAAGCTGCAGATCGCAAACGTACATATGATGATGCCGAACGCAGGCGTGCTTCCTGGTAAGTACTCGCCTTGGTGAACCTGTGGATCCTTGCCTTGAAAGCCCACGGGCGAGAGCTGCATGACCCAGAATGCATTGTCCCGCACTGGAACCTTCTTATAATCGAATGTGGACGCCTGGTCGTCAGAAGTCCTCGACCCGGCAACGGCAGACAGCCACTGTTCCATACTCGGGCCATGATACCATCTTGGACATGTACAGCTGCCTGGCATCGTAGTTCATCGACCCTGTTCCTTTTACAAATGTGCGTTGATGTCGTACTGCCGTCCACTCTTTTACTCGTCTCGGTCGCATGTCTGCGTCCGCACCGCAGACTGAGGTGCTCGCTCTCGCCAGTTTGTTTTCCGCAGTACAATGTTTGACCCCTTGCTTACGCCGGTTCCTGTCTATCATACACACCCGGCAGTCGTACGTCCGCAAAGACCGCCTAGGAGCAGCGGCGATCGCGAGCAACGTGCCCGCGTGTCACTCTCACCGGTGCATGTCGTCCGGTGCTCACGCCGCAGAACTTCCACATGCTCGGCGCGCAGGTCCTCCACGCTGACCACCGATGCCGCGGCCTGCCCCTCCCCGTTCTGCACGAGCTGCTTACGCTACACACCCGCGGTCAGTCTACACTTCTGGTGTGCTTGGACGGTGGATGAGCTTCACCATCCCTAGCGAAATCCCAATGGCCTTCGAGAGCGGACCGGGTTCGTATAGGTCGAGCCCGAGGCCGCCCAACTGCGACTCCCCGCCCTCGGGCCGCTCGATGAGTTTGAAGGTGTTCTTCCCGGCGACCTCGGCCATGTGGTATGAGTTCCTCCCGGCGTTGTTCACGCCGAACCAGCCCACCGCGTCGCCGACGGCGAAGAGATTCGGATACGGTACATTCACCGGCTCGTCTCCCCCGTTCTGAGCGCGCTTGTCTGACAGATAGGGGCCGTTACACGCCGCCTCCATGGAGTCGGTGCCGTCCGACTTGGGAGGAAGCGGGTGCCGCCACGTCCCGGCGACGCGTGTCTGACCTTTCTTGGGGCCTTCCGAAATGACCGCCTCGGGGACTGCTTGAGCCATGAGACCCGTGTTGGGAACTGGCTCGTGCACCGAAGCTGGGCGGGAGATGTGAGTACAAGTCCCGTCTAGAAGCATGCTAGAGCTATTCACAATGCCTTCGGCGCGAATCTCTCGTCCGCTCACTGTCCGAACAATGCGCTCCTTCTGTCCGTCCGCATCAATCACGGATTTGCCCTTCTGGTAAGTGAGTTCGAGCTTGTTGCCAAGGTTGGTGGGGATGTCTAGCCCAAAGAGTGTAGAGTCACTCTTCCGTTATGCATGCCCTTTACAAAGGTTGGTAGGAGTTGTGTGCGAGAGTAGAGGAGAGTGATATATCTCGATGGGTGCCTCTCCTTGTCCGTCGAGTACTCTGACCAAACAGGGTGAGCAGCTCGCAGGTGTTCAGGCAGCATGCAAGTACTCACGAACACCAAGAGGTCCTCCACCCACCACAAGTATACTCGGCGCACTCTCGTCTCGCTCCCCCGAACTGCTGCAGACAGCTGATAGCGCCTCAGCCACAGCGGAGATGGGCGACTGACGCTTGCCCACGATGTTCTGCGCCATAGCTTTCGTGGTGGCGAACACGTCCGGATCGTCCGGTAGGCCCCCAGAGGTTGTTGCGCGCGGTAGGTGGCTCCCGAACGCGTGCAGTGCGTGGTCGAAGTCGAGCCTCCGCTCCGGTTCTTCAACGCCGTGCTTGGGGAGCGCGTGGGGGAGCGCCAGCAAGTTGGGCGTGAGCGACGTGATATAGGCGTGCAGGAGTACGGTCTCTGCGAGTAGCGTCGGTCGCGGAGAGTCATCATGCATCATAGGCCGTATCGATGAATCGATGACGGCCTTCTGCTCGTGCCCGGGGAGGACATATAGATAGGCGCTAGTAGCTGAAGTGTCGATTTAGAGAGAGTACATGTGCACACAGCATGCGCACCTGTCAACAGCGCATGACCGATGAGCGGTGTAGATATTGGAGCAACTGTGGAGGGAGGAGATGGTCGAGTGGGCCTGTCGAGCCGCAGATCCGGAGGTACACAAATTGAGACGATTGTCGGCGGACAGGTGCAGCGTCCTCGACGAGCTCAGTTGGCGCCTCGATGCCGATGTTGGGAGACGAGTGCAGCGGGAGCTGGCCGAACTTGACCGGTCAGTGGCGGTAGTGCTATACATAGGCGTCAGTCACACTCAACGGGGCGGGAAGACAGCGCACCATGACAGGGAAGACACCCTGCTTCGTCTCACCTGCGTAGTTGATGCCGATGACGACTATCTCCATATGATTCAAGTTGATCTCAATAAGCGTGGTGCTGCTCACGCCCTTCGTGAAACGGTTCACCGGGAGCTCGCCCGCGTTGTAGTCCGGCTCGCCGGAATCCTTCAGCTCTTCCTCCGTCGGACGGATGAGCATGTTGTTCTGCGGGGCGTGATGCCAGCGCCCGACGTGGCGGTTCGAGGCACAAGGACGACTTGCCATGAACAGACCGTGATAAGCCCGCGCAGATGACCCGTCATAGGCATAGATGTTGTCCAAGGTATTGAGGTAGTCAACGGCACGCTCACGGTTGATCGATGATCTCGAACGTGTCTGTCGAGCAACGAGACGCGTCAGCTAAAACCTTCTCAAGTAAACGCGATAACGCACGCTCGTCCATCATGATGCTGACACTCCCTCACTATATATCGGGCAAGCAGACGGGGCGCAGTCCGGGGGACGGGCGGGTCGTGTACGGGGAGGTGGACGAAATGTTGATCAACGAACCCCTCGCAGAGATGACGACATCCTCATTTCGGATGGCATCCTCGTAGAGCGGAGCAACAGACGCGTTGCGCCTGATCTGAACCCGGTCCATGTCGAAACTGGCCCGAGAGAGATATCCTAGGTCACGGCCAACCAATGTCAGTTGCAGTACGGGAATGAAGTGGCTGGAGGATGGCTGGTGAACGTACGCCAAAGCGCGGCGCGGGCCATTAAGGCGAGACTTCTGAAATCTGGTCAGACGAAGGAAGGACTTGGACTGAAGGACTGCGCACGTCACATTGATGCGGAGCCTACCCAGCTTGGGTACCGCAACAACTGGGTGGTAGGAGAGGACGTGCAGGGCCGAGACGGACGACGGTACGGGCAGAAGTGCTCGTCGTGCCACGCTACTACTCCAGCCGGCGAAATGTCGGAGAAGGACGGTAGCCACGTGCATCGCGCGTGAAGGCACGGTCCTCGTACTTGCTGAGCGTGAAGCTGCCCCGCCAATCCCAACCTGAGCTAGCTGCACACACGTCTTCCGGTTGCACGAAGGAATGGGACGAGAAGAATACGGGTGCATGACGGGCGCGATGCTAGGCTGAGTTCACAGTCACCAACGCCTCGGAGCCGTCCTGGACAGCGCAGTCTGCCTTGGGCCCCAAGCCGCCCCGTCTCCGTGCGCATATACACCGGCGGAGTCCCTGATTGGGGTGGTCTGAGTCGAGGAGTCGGGTGAGTTCGCCTGAGCTCCCACCGCCCGTGAGGCCTCCTGCTGGCGGTACGTCCTGTCTCGTTCGTCCACAGTTCGCGCATTCCTGCTTACAACTCCCTTTGGTTGTGTACATTCGCATCTCTATCCTTCAATGCCAACTCATCCGCGGGCGCCGCCCATCATCCGCCTCCTCGACTGAACCGGCTGCTCGGTAGTCGCGTCAAGTGGTACCGCGTCGAAGCCGTCGGCGGCGCCCTTCCGCCAGGCGTCCAGGCATGAGCCCCAGAGAAGACGAGAGGGTTCCGAGTTCCGCGTGGGAGGCTTGTAGGAGCAGGAGGCGGTGATGGCTGAGGGGCGTACGGTGTGATTATATGCAATCGAGTCCGTACAGTACTGACTGACAGCTTACCTGTCTACGCAGATGACAGTACAGCAGTGGCGGAAGCAGGTTCATCACCCCGGCGCAAAGTACGAGCACTGCTGTCTGAAGGGTAGCATAGAAGACTGTGGATATTGTCTAGTGCCAGTGGACGCGCCGTCACAGATTCAAACGATCGTCGCGGAGTATGCACGGGATTCACAACATAATCTTCCACTTATACCCGTTCTCGCTCGTCGCAAACTGCTCGACGGAACTTGGTGCGTTATATTGGTATGCGATAGTCCAACAACAATTCCAAGCAGACGTACAGGAGGCGATCCGCGTCCGTACCGAACGAATGGTACACGAGACAATACAGAAAATGGCTAGCAACACATTGCTCGCGGGAGTTCCAGGCAATCCGGTGAGCAAACACATGTGTATCGTAGAGCACACCCAGTCAGTGTGTACATATCAAGATTTCCGAGACCGTAGCTTACAAGAACATCGCGAACGAGCACAAGACTACACGAGTATCAGCTCACAGCAATCCAATAAATTGACCGTACACCGAGAGATTCGTCTAGCATCAGTCACAGCTCATCAAGAATCGGCCCTGCGATGAACGTCAGCATTCGGCGACAATGGTCTATCCAGCAACGCACGACGTACATGTCGATGCTATCATCCTCCCTCTTCCTCATCAGCCGTTGTTCGCGTCCTGGCTGGCCGACTCGGAATGCGACTCGGACGATTGTGTAGATGTGTCGCCCGGTGGGGTTGATCCCTCCTGACTCGGATGAGCGTCGCCGCCTTGAATCTTGATGTTCATCAGCGTCCTCGATTACGCTTCTGACCTCCTCGCGAGAGCCCGCGTCCGCATCCGCGCTTGCCTCTGCTACTGCGCGCGCGGCATCTGAGTCGTCTGCACGCGGTTCGGCGGCATCCAGTGGCTGTGACTGCTCGATTCGGGCCGCGTCCTGCTCCTTCGGGGGCGATTCGTCGAGCGTCATAGCGGTCGCCGGCGGGCCCGCTGACGGCTGGCGGTGCGGTGTCTGTTGCGCCGGGATCGGGCGCCACGCTCGAGCTAGCGTCCACGGCTCGTATCTCAACATGGGCTCCTGCGCTGCAATCCCTCTGAATCTTCGCCAGACGTCACGGCTAGAGATGATCAGCGACGATTGAACGAGTAGAGTGCAAGGTTCACCGCTTACATGAACTGCATCATAGGTCGTATCAGACTGCCCGTTCGCTGCTCCGGTGGATCCTGCTCGTCCCCAGCTTCCGATGTAGACTCTGAGTCAGTCGTCTGCGGAGAGTCGCCGCGTCGATCGCCTTCGCTCTGGGGCTCATCTGGAGTGCATTGGAGCCATCTGTCCCTTTCCAAGTGTCAGCATGTCTTGTACATTCTGAGCGTCGAAGATGACTGACCAGCTTTCCAGGTCTATGCTGGCCTGATCTAGGAGCTGGACTTGTGTCCAATGCATGTACCTTAGCAAACGAACTCGGAACCCTTGGACCGTCCCTGGCGGCGTCCATTCATCGCATTCCAGCAGCCACTGGAGTCGTCGCGCGATGCATTCTGTGGACGTCATGACGTCCCGGAGGATCTCGGTCGTACCCAAGAATCCATGGATGTCCTCGGGCTCCACCGCGCGGCCGACGGCGCGCGCGGAGGTTGACGCGGATGCCGTTGTCGAGCGCGGCGCCCGTGGCGGCGGCGCAGCCCATAAAGTCGAAGTTAGTGAGGAAGCCGAGCGAGCCGAGCGCGAACGGGAGCACGGGCGGGGCGATGCGCTGGAAGAGCCACGACGTGAAGAGCGCGGTGCCGTCGCCACCAAGCTGCAGGGCGACGCCAGCCAGGGCTCACTCTCGATGGGGGACGCGGGGAAGACACGCGCGCACTGCGACGACGAACTGGCGATCGCGGGCAATCCTGCGAGCACGAGATGTTGGCTGTCGAGCCGGTTTGAATGTTGTGAGCGGCAGCATGTTGGTAATAGGAAAGGATTTGCCACTGATGAGCAGTTCGGAGTGCAGCTCGATGATGGGTGCATCGCCAGCGAGCAGTGTGGTTCACTAGCACTCTGGGAGAATTTAAGCTTATGAAGTAGAACCCGGCGCCAACCCGACGCCCCGTCACTCGAGTGCCATCCTCAGCTCGTCATCCTTCTGATCACCCTCGTCTTCCTCGTGCTGCTCACCGAGATTCTTCTGCTCGAGGCAATAATGCCCAGTAGAGTTTCTTGAGCTGCGTCGAGAACGTATGTGTACTCGGCGAGCTATCCTCCGATCGCCCGGCATTGGGGTGCTCAAGCAGACCCGAGGGGGCAGAGGAGTCGGTGGTTGCTGATGAGAGAGTGAAGTTCGATGAGAGGGCGAAGTCCGCGTAGGAAGCGGAGGAGGTAGATGAAGCGGAGACTTCTCCAGAACACTTGGGTGTCGGCGTGGGGCGGTCTCCATGTGGCGGCGGCGTTGGGTGATGCTTGTGGTCGGGTGAGGACATAGAACAACAAATCACGAACTGGGTCGTCCTTGCGAGGAGAGTTGTCTAAGTGGATCGAGTGCCTCTCTGGACTGGGGAGCAGCCTGGCGCGGCCCATGTGGCACGGCCCCGCGGAGCATACGAGCTCGGCGGAGCGTCCGGCGTGGTTTCTGGCTCGGCGGCGATAATGACTCGTCGGGGCTGGCGGCATTGGGGTTGTAGAGTTTGCTTGGACTGCCGGCGGATGGGCCTGCCTGGTGTCGGATGAAGGACGGGGAGAGGAGGTAGCGGTGATCTTGAGGCGGCGCGAAAAGCTTCAGCATCGGCTTCCATCGCGGATGGCGAGGTCTGATTGACGGTGATAGTGGAGGAGCATGCAGCCGACGAGAGGAGAGGGCGCGCGGTGGTCGGGGAGTGGAAGAAGAGCCTGAGGGTGCGGGCGTTCGGCCGGCTCGTTTTGTTGCACTGCGAGCGCAGTCGCGGCGGGTCAGAATCCATGCGAAAACGCGGCTACAGAGCTACGTACGCGGCATGCCTGCACTGGAACACGACAAATTGTTTGCAGGATCTGTGTGTTGCACCGGCCTGCGGGGCGCGGCCGCGGGGGATAGCTGCGGTGAGTCGGACCCAGTGGTGAGGCGACGGCGAGGGCCTCCCGGCGACGAAGACAGGCGTAGGAAGGAGGATGAGGCGCCCGTATGCGGCTTGCGGGTGTTTGTCAGGAGAGCACTACTCGGCGTACTCACTGCGCGATGTTCGGTGGCGGAGTGAGGCGGCAGCATCTGGGTGGGCACGTCCTATGAGGGTGTACCTTCGATTTCCAAGCAAGCTTCCTGCTCGCTTTGCTGCTCGCCCTGCGCCCTTCCCTCCATCCTTCCTATCCTCCTCGCATTCTTCTCGCTCTGCGCTCGTCGTGTTCTGGATGGTGTGGTCGCTCGAGCTCGAGGCTGGACTCGCGCGCGCGTTGCGTTGCGCGAGTCTTGGTTCATGTGGCTGTGTTACTTGTCACCAGAGCCCCAGGGCGTCGAGTGGAAGTCGCTAGATTCAAAAGGAGCGCCTCCTGGGTCAGGAGCGCAAGCGAGAGTGGGAGAGGGAGGCCGGAGATGGTCAACGTTGAGCGATCCGGCGGAGGCACTGTCCTCCGGTGCTCTGTGCGGACCTGCAACAGGGCTGGTACATGAGTAAGTAGACAACTTATGCTCGTTCAAGTTATCTGCCTGACGCACCTAATGCGTCGCGGGCATTCGTTCTTCTTCCGACATGCGTGGAGGAGTCGCGCTACTTCGCAGCCTGCTCGACATGTCGCGGGCCTTCAGCGTCAAGTGGTTATGCTGGCCCGAGGGAGATGGAGGCGGACGGCGGATGCGACGTGCCAGACCACGGATGTGGACGTGTTCGAGAGCCCAAATCGGAGCCCGCGGTTGCGTCCAATAATGCTCAAGTCGGGGAACTTCAGCTTCAGTGATCGCGCGGTACGCAGGTCTTGCCGCATTTGGGAATCACCCTACCCAACCTGCATGTGGCTCGCAGCGCATTGGGCCCTGCAACTGGGGGGTCAAATTCTAAGCACAGATAAGTACTTAGGTCGAACGGTGTACATACCATCAGTGTCCATGCAAATTTGCAGCCGGCACACGGTGCAAGTAAATATACTAGGTCAATATACTGGCAGGACGGGCGTCTGCCTGGCGCAGACGCCGGTTCTGCACCGCACGAGCGCTATAAGCCCTTAGAATGTGCCTGCGCGCAGTGCACCACAGTCTCACCTGCTGTTATGCATGTTGCTCACGTGTAGTCGGCTCAATACATGCGGAAGAAACTCAAGCCTCGTCGGTTATCCATGTACTCATGTGCTGATTTGTCGCTGCCAATCTCGGAAGGGCAGATATTTATTAACTGCCTGAGTACTACACAAGCCTTGCATCTGCACTCGGCGCAACAGAGATCGTACGGCTACGAGTACTACGGACCTCATAATAGATACTCCCTTCAGTGGCTAATTTGAGGTCAGCGCTGCGCCTTCGTTTTTTTGGACGCTCCTCAACCTCAGTGTTCTCCTTGACGTCCTGCATGTCTGCCTCAGGCTGATCAAAGCGGACGATCTTGGAAGGCCATCCACCACGCGCGAGGCTATCCTCATGCTCTCGCTTTCGCTTGCCGGCGCCCTTCCTGTCCCGCCCGATACGTTCAATGCCACCAATTTCGCGCATGCGCAAAGAGTGTGGAATGGCCTCACTGAGTCGACACACAGAGACGCTGCCAGAGAGAAAAGAATGGGCTCACATGAAGAACAAGAAAACTGTTCCACTCACATTGGTTCCTTCTGCCCCGCACCTTGCCTCTTAATTAGGCGTGCCATGCCACAATATTCAAGAGGTCCTCGGGCGGCTGTCATGGTCTTCATGACGGTGTATTGGAAAGTCTCCTTTTCCATCTCGTCCACAGGGACCACAGAGTACAGTACCTCTGCACTTGGTCTATTACTGCTGGCTCTATGATATGAATCGCTGGTCAGTCATTGACAGTACCCGACTGGTTATGAACTCACAAGAGTTCTTTGCCCGGTCCGATGAGATTTGATGGGAACTCTGGATAGATTGACCATAGGACTTTCTGGCCTTCCGCCCGATATAGCCGTGTATACACGCTGGATGCCCTCGACTCCGCGCCATCAACAAACAGGGAGTCCAAGTAGAAAGATGGCTTCAGATTAGTTGGTTGTGATTGAGTCAGACCTGACCGCCACCGCGGCAGACTGAAGTGAGTGGTGGTTGGCATTAGACCACACTTTGACACTCACCGAGTCCAGCTAGCGCATCAGTCAGGGGATCCTTGGGCTCGGCAGGCGACCATGCCAGGAACTGCCATTCCTCACCAAAAATGAGATGGCCAAGTTGGATCTCCTTGTCTTGAATCGCTGGTCGAATGAAGGAAGGCTCAAAGATATCCCAGAGACAACATTCCGCACTGCGGGTGACGTCCTCGTTCATGCTGCTGTACCTGTCCAGTACCAACTTCGGAGCCAATGAGTTCAAATATCTGGTAGGCAACAATAGAGGAAATAAACACGCACTAAGTATTCATTGTATAACTCTTTTGACCTCGCAGACAGGTTGGTTCGTTGTTTCCCATACACGTGCAACCAAGAGAGGTAGCGAAGACGCTGATTTTGGTCCGCAGCGAGGATGAACCCATGCCAGCATGGCTGGAGCAATTTCCTATGAAATCACTGTTAGTAGATTGTCCGATTCAGATGCCAGAACGACAATCTCGTACTTTAAGTCCTCATGACCACGACGAGCAAACGTCCAAAATGCTTCGCAGAGGCGTGCAACACGCGACGGACACCGGAAGACTTCATATTCAGTGAGAAAGACAGACAGCCCTGAGACGAGATCAGTTATCGCATACTCAATTCTAATGACAGTGCTCTTACCAGCCATAAAGAATACCTCAACAACGGAGTACACACCTAGCCCGCCAAACACGATGTCCGCCTCTCGGACTACATTGATTGCAAGTCCACCCATGTTCACACTGTCACTTTCCCAGCGGTTCCTCATCCACTCAACTAATCCTTCAAGAAATTTAGCAAAGTCGGAATATACATCTGCATGGCGGATGGGGAGCTCATCCCTTGACGGCGCCCAATGAGGCTAGAGCAGAGCGCTTCAGAAACCCAATTGCAAACGGAAGTAGCAATTGAACAAAGCAGCTCACCGTGAAAATCTTGTCAAGTGTGGGGAAAGCCAGCACATATGGCCCGAAATCGAAAGCTACACCTATCTTGAAGCCGCGGTTCTGTATGAAAGCAACGAGTTGAGTATCAATCAATGAGGCTGTACGATGAGGAAGGTACTCACAAATTCATCAACTTTGCAAATCTCAACATCCCATTGCTGCCTGCTGTATATTTGTGCCATGGTATGCGTCTGCAGGTGTATCTGTTGATATCAGAACCTCAGTATGACATACCACATGGCAATGGCAAGGTCGGCAAACTTCTGCCAGTGAGTCGTTACTACTGCGAGTACTCACCTGGAAATGCAGGCGACCGAAATCCAGAATCAACGATCTTGGCGTACGTTCCACAGACTGGAGGACAAGATCTTGAAGCGGAAGGAGTGTACCTCGCCCAGAGAATGGAGGAGGAGGGAAGATGCGTTGTTGCGCATGCTGAGACCCACGCTTGTACTTGCACTTTGGGTCCAGGGGAATGACCTGTCCAGAGGCTGCTGGACTGTGGGCAGCAAACTTCTTCCGCTCTTTCTTGGTAGGATCTGCCCAGATTTGTTGTAGGTTGAGCTCGGTACCCGCCGTCTGCATAGCTTCCAGCCAGCGAGAGATGGTCGTAAACGAGGCGATGAGTTCACGGTACTCTGGCATGATTGAGTGACGGATGAAAGCCCGGCAGTGCTGTGTACTAGAGACGAGACGCGACACGGTCAGACAAAAAGGCGACACGACAGAACGCAACAGCACACAGTCTTAACTGACGCAAGACGGCGCGACGCGACGCGCTGCGCTCGACGCGTTGTGTCACACTCGTCACAACTAGTGACAACAAGTGTGGTTCCGGTTCACTAGTGGCCTAGTAAGTTACGCAAAACAGGAACGTGTGGGGTCCAAATCAATGTTTTCTAATGCGCCTCTGTGTATGTATATCTATCTATCTAAACTTAGTAAAAGGTCCCCCTTTTATGAAGGTCCCCGGGCCGTTGCTTAGTATAAGCTGGTCTGCTTAATGAAGCGTGCCCAAGCGATCTATAAGCCATACCTAGGTACTAGATGAGTCCGATGAAACGTTGCCTAAGCACACACTGCTGGCTATCTGCCACGGGTTCTGCATAGACACAGTGAATACATGTATAGCATTGATTCGGAAATGGTAAATACAGGATCTACAGCAGTACAGGGAACGGGCAGTCTGCAAACGGGTGAAAAGAGAGGCGAGCGGCGAGCATCGAGCCCTCCAACGAGGACGGGGACAGATGCGAGATGATGACGGTCGCAAAGAAAATTGGCGGCAGGCGAAACCGCTCGCTGCCGAGTCGCTCGGCTGGAGGCTCGTTCCAACTTCGCGCGCTGGGCCGAAACTGACACTACTGGGTAAGATAGGGAGTCTGACCGATGAAACTTTTAATACTAGTGCTCAGCAGGAAATAGGAGCCGTATATTGTGTATCAGTACCGTCGAGTCGTGCTGCACTGCGGCATGCGATGCGATAATGTAAAAGGCCGGTCGGGCCGCTGTCCAGGATCGACCCATATTGAATGCGGCGACGGGCTGATCTACGAGTCAGCGAACACGAGCGGACGTCGACCAAAATCACGACTCACCAAGCAGTTCGTTCAGTGAATTCCTGACGCACGCTCCTTCGTCGCACTGTGTCGCTACCTACCCTCGGACTCGCCCAAACGCGAACTTCGCTACACCCTATCCTCGAGCTCCCACCCAAAGTGCACACCCAGCCCGCCGCCGTCAAACACGCTCCTTTCAGTCCCGATTCCGTCGCGCGATGACGTCAAGAGATCGTCTGAACTCCCGATATGGGAGACGATCCCCCGCCTATTTGTGGATGTCAGCGCAATGTCCATGTCCGGAGCGCCCTCCAGAGTGAGTACCGCGTCTGCCTCCGCCCCGCCTGTCTCGTTTGACTCCGCCCACAGGAACACGATCCGCCGTGTCCTCTCCGACTACCCGCTACCGCAGGCCACCCAGCAGTCCCGCGTCCGCATTGCGCCATTCGAATGGATCCACGGGACGACTCGCCTGCGCCGCCGGGGATGCTTCGTAGTCGCACGCAGGGCAGCAGAACCCTCTCGCGACATGGCCGTCACGCAGGTGTGTATAGAATACAGAGTTCGATGTCCGGCTCTCTGAAGCCTGCACATGGAATACGGACGTCGACTCGACTCGACTTCCCGGCGCGTGTCACGACAACCGAGCGGACACACGGCCCGCTTCCTGCCATGCGTACCTGGGACGTGACCGGATTGCGTCTACGTCGAGCGAGCGCGCTCGTTTCGTTCGTCTTGCACGTCCGCGTCAGACGGCGGGTCGAGGACGAGCAAACAACCGGCCCAAGCTCGAACGTGGACGGACGCGTCGTTTGCTGGCTGGACGTGCTCTGCGAGCAGTCCGGCCGTCCAGCGTACCTGCTCCCGCGATTCGTCCGTCGAGCTTGGACGGACCGTTCCAGGGATGTTGAACGATCCCCTGGGAGGTATACGGGGACACAGCCCACTCGCCTCGATGCGTGTCCTGCGGCAGACCCGAATTAGGGTGGGGGCACGGTCGAGACTCCAGCTCCGGTTGGTAAAGGCAGCCGTTCTCAGACGGACGCACGAAGCGGTTAGTACACCTGTCTGTTGCAGATCGGTGCACAGTCGTGCGGATACTCTCCGCTCTGGCGGCGACGTCCGAGGGTGCTGGCAGTAGACGGCCGGCAGGGCGAGGGGGCCTCGTCCGCTCGCTCTCCCGGCGGGTCTTGAGACGGCGGTTTCGGATGCAGGTGTAGGTCCGTGCGGTTGCTGGAAGCCGAGCCGTCATTTTCTCGCTGGACGTGCTCTGCTAGCGATCCGGCGGGAGCCCGTGGGTCCAGCGTACTTGCTACCGCGTTGTGCGGCTACGTGCGCCTCGCAATGCACGTGCTCGGCATCCGCGCGCTCAGCGAGCCGTACATCGTCCAGTTCGACGTAGGTTGTCTGGATGGTTGTCGTCTGTTGACCGTCCAGGTAGAACGCGAGCGGGTGCCGCATTCGGTGATAGTGCGCAGGCGCCGGGTCGTCGTTGGCAGGCTAGAGGTGGTCTGCCAGCCGTCCGGCGGAAGGTAAGCTTAGGGGTCCGAGAGAGTCGTACGGTGTACCTGCGCCCCGGGCGTCGAGAGAATCATTCTGAAGCGAGCATCTGCGGATCACCCGGCGATGGGTGCGGTGAGCAGGGGTGATCGATCAGCACTGGCACCTCAACGACATGTGATCGACCGTGCACGCTCACCAAAGAGCTCCAGCGCGCTCACATACAGACTCGACCCGCGATTGCGACGACCAAGTCGTTCAGCACTATAAAAGAGCTAACAAGACGTCTCTTGGGCTGCGAGCCAAAGGGGAGGCGCGGGAAAGGACTCGGGAGGATGTCCCGAGGGCCCCCTACTGCCATCCGCGCTGCTTGTGCCCCAGTCCGTGGCTCTCCGAGTACCCACTCTCGCCCTCCTCCCAGAGCGCGCCCATGCGCGTCTTCGTGTGCCGGTCCCGCTGCTCTTTGTAGGCAACGGGTCGTGAATGGGCCGTGCCTGCGGCGGTCATAAGGTCGGGAAACACCTGGCCATCGAGTTGGGTAGGCGCGGGGATCGGGAGTGCATCTGTTGGAAGGAGAGGGAGGAGATCCAGGTGAAGAGGCCGGGCAATACGAACGGGCGAGACCGCGCTGGGTAAATAGTGACTTGGCGTGAATCAATGGAAGAGTTGGGCCGGCCATGAAAGGGAAAAAGTGCATTCGCAAGGGAATATTGGGGTTCGAGTAGGCCGTCAATCATTGTCAAGACGCTGCTGGGCGCTACCGCGCTCCCGGCCGATGACTAAATGGACGTACCTCCTCTCGTTCCTCCACGTGCGCGGCGTCGCTCACCACAACGTGAAGCCGTCGAACCTGGTGTACACTGCGGACTACCGCCTGCAGATCATCGGCTTCGACGTCGCGGTGTACGTTGCGGGCGAGGACGACGCGGTGGAGGGCTTCTGCGGGATGGCGCCGGAGGTCGGTGATGGCTGCGCGTACAATGCCGTCCGCGCGGACAGGTGGGCGTGTGGCCGGGTGTTGGAGATGTTCGCAGGGCCGCTCACGGAGACGGGTGTTGACAGAAGGGCGCGAGGCGCTGTGAGAGTTTGCGCTTGAGCTGCAAGGATATGGCCCGTGGCGTCGGCCGTCGTTGGCGGAGTGGGCTAGACGTCGTGCGATGATTGATAGACACATAAATGGCGACTCGGAAGTGCGTCCACCAAAGGCTGTTGATAGCGTCGCCCACGATGGAAGCTGAAGGGTGACGAAGCGACAGAGAGTGGACGATGAAGTGCTCAGTCTCGGACGGGACGCTCCGCCTGCTGCATGGCCCGCATGGGCTCTGTCCGCGGCTCACCAAGGTCGACTTCCGGTGGTGCGGCTCGAACAGCTGGTGCGAAGTCGGCTGCCCGATGCAGCGGGTGCGGTAATGGAGCGGTCTTAACCTGCTTCGGCGGCCCAGATCGAGGTCTTCAACCCGGAAACCGCAAGCAGCCGTACCTGTGCCTCCGTCCAGCGAGTATGGTGTTCTTGTTGGATACATTGGTGTAGTGGAACGTGTTCAGCATCATCTGCGTTGCCAGTTCACCGATAGACTGCGCCGGAGCGTACCGCACATCTCACCTGGGTGCGCCGCGGATTGATTGAATTTCGTCTCGACTTCGCCAAGAACCCACTCGAATATTTCCTGGTTCAGGTGGAAACGCTCCAGGACTCTCCGCGCAGTAGCACGAAGAAACAGGAATGTTGCGTTGGCCTAGGCCTCCTACGACTGTCGCCACGAACGACAATGAGACGCTCCGCCAGCTTGCGCGCGGGCTCAATGATGAAAGTAGATCGAGCGTCGAGCTCCGAACGTCGAGGTCACTTGGTTTGCATCAGTCGATATGTAAGTTTTGTGCCGTGTTCCGTACAATGCTAATGAGGGACACTGGGATTCTGCGAACAGAATAAATGCATCTAACCGACGGCGATCCTGGACGAGCCGCTCGTACTCTTCGTCGAGCTTCGCTTGCGGCTCCAGAGAACTGCCGTCCAAGTCAGCAGACAGAAAAATTCCGTGATATCAGCGTGGTGGTTGCAGGTGAATTTGCGGTCATTCAGAGCGAAAGTCTCGATGTTTTGGCACTCAATGAATGCACCGCCCATGTCGTCTTCACCGTACATGAACTGGACGAGGTTGAAAAGGGAATATCTGACCGTCCCGTCGTAGTGCACTCACCTTGCCTAGCAGCACCAAAGCGGCGCACCTCATGGACCCTGCCTACAGGTAGCCGGACGGCGCCAGTGCACATAAGTGAATAGATTAGGAGTCTCGTGAGGAGCGTGTCGATCTTGGTATCTCTTGGGCGTTCCCAGCAGGATTTTACCGTACCGACGAATGTCGAGCGCGAGCTAGACCGAGGTTTGTGGCCCACTCGGCTGAAGGTGCGGATCGCTCGAGTATTGCTTGATGGGAAGGTCAGACAAGGACCCGCATATGTATGCATGTGTTCTCGGGAAGGGGTCTAGCAATATGGAAGTGGCTGGCAGCCTTCAGGCGCGTTACATCGTACCCAGATCATGCCTGGTTACTTCTGCGAGATCGAGCAGTGCCGCAGGGCGGGCTCCATTCTAGATGTAATTGCAGGACATTAATGAATTTCAGCGATGTAGTTATGCGAGGACGGACGCAGCAGAGATTCCAACTCCAAATGATAGCATTGTAGCGATAGCGATGACGACGAAGACGATGGCAGCATAGATCCCATAGATGCGTGTATTCCGCATATGCATGTAGTCAGAGGGCTGGTTAGTCGCAGCAGCGCGAGCGCAGCGCTCATGCCATCGTCGTCATGTCCACAGACTGGATGCCCATGTTAGCCCAACTGAATACGCCCATCTGGGATTGACGGTTCTGGCCGTCGCTGTTCGCGCGCGCGCGCAGCAGGCCCCACTGGAACCACCAGTCATCGGCCTCGTCCTCGCAGTCGTAGCCGAAGATCGTGCGGATGGTGACCCACTGTTCGCCCTCGCCGCCGCCAGTGTCGTCGCCCTCGAGGACGTTCTTCCCCGCGTGGTACTTCGCTCGCATCCCGTTGTCCCGCTGTTCCTGTTCGGGGCCGTGCACCCTGGTGATCAAGCTGACCATGGACACTTCGCCCTCCAGCACATCTTGACAGCGCTGCCTCCGGAGGTCGTGGAATGCGTAGAGGAACTCCGACGCTTGTTCAGGGATAGTCAGGTACTGATAAAGTCTTCCAAGGACGGCGGCATCTTCGATGGCCATCGCAGTGACCTGAATGCTACCAGACTACATTGCATGATGATCAGCGTGCAGCATAATGTGGTCGCGCGCATGCTTACCGCAATGGGATGAGCTGCCTGCCCTATGACAAGTAGACGCCCGCTCTCGTGCACCCAATCTTCGAGGTTTTCGTAGATGTTGATGGCCACACGGGTGACCCGATCTGCGCCGCGCACGCCATGATACAGACTGAACTACATCAGTCCATGGTCCCGCGCAGTCTCAGCCTGTGAGAACACTCACGTTGGGTGTATCTCGGAGGGCAGGAGGCTAACGAGCTCCGCCTTTGCCGTTGGTGGGTCGCTGTAGCTACCCTCCAATGGGAAATCTCCTCTGAAGAACTGATGGAACATGATTTCGCGGCCTTGTTGCTGAACCTGTGTCAGTTGCACGATTGTGCGCCAGATCAATATAACGCACTTACAATAGGGTATCCCGTGGAGCCGCAACCGTTTCCCATTGCGCAATATACGGGATTCTATATGTGGAAGAGAAGGGGTCTGGCTTCAGCCACACAAACGAGACGAAGGACGAACCCCTCGCACGGTTTCTAGTAGTCGCTTCTCGTCCGGCGACATGTATTTTGTTGCGGTTTCGGAGCCAACTTGGGTACTTCAGGCATCATAGAAGTCAGTACACAGACATAATACGCCGAATAAGGACGGACGCACTCGAACAGCACCATCCCAGAAGGCTGGATGCGTTCCTCACGTCCAAGTACCATGCGCCGGCACATGCCCCGCTCGCCATCAGCGCCGATGATGAGGTCTGCTCGCATAATCTCCCCGGACGCCAGCTTCACCTCGCCATCTTCAGGCTCGATATCAACCACTTGCGCGTTGTACCGAATCTCGGCGCCTTGCGACGCCGCTGCTTCGTGGAGTATCTGACATAGGTCGCCATGCTACACAGCAGCTAGTCAGCACCATTGGATGAGGTCAAAATGTCGCGAAACACACCGTCATGAGGATGAACTCTCCCCGAGTCTCTCTTAGCAGTTCGTCGTCCCAATGTTGCATGCCAAGGAGTTGCCCCGTATGATCTGCCATCCGCAGCTTCAAATCAAGCTCCCCGGACAACCAAGTATGCAACTGACATTGAAAGAAGAGTAGAGGGTGTGTCGTCAAGCCAACCTCTTCTATCTTATCCCTTAAGCCCCAGTGGAAGAGCACTTTCGACATGTTGGGCGGTACATAAATGCCACCAGGACCCTGCTGTTGAGATCATGGTAAGTCTGCCACATACGTCCTCTGGCGGATCACTCACGTTCGAGCTGCCATCGCCCTTCTCCAGGACCGTCACGCGATGCCCAACGCGCGTAAGAGCTGCAGCTGCAGCAAGGCCAGCAACACCTACATGAGTGCATCAAAACTTGAGACCACACAATATACTGCTCGTGTGCCGTCACGTACCTCCTCCGACCACAATGAAGTGGAATTTGAGCCCAGTTGCGCTCAAAGATGTGGCTTGCATGTTGCAATGCCGGGCGAAGCTCAGAAGGGTAGTAAATGCTGGTTACGTAATGAAGTCGTGCGAACCCGTGACCGCATGCGCCGCGTCGCGTCACGACTGCCAGTGGCTGCAGCAAGTCTCACTGGCACATCCAAGGGCCAGTACCAGAGGGTATGTTTGATGATACCGTTGACCTGGTCGTCTGGGATCACGAACACGACTGCCGTATCGTACCCGAGTCTGTGGTCGGGAAGAAGTACTACGTATCACAGCTAGTCTCCCGTGGGCAGAGTAGACAATTCTTTCAACCTGCGCGCGCTCCGGATATTCTTGTCATCACAGCCCGTCTCGTCTGTTGCCACCTCGCTCGCGGACGGGGAGTCGATAGAGAAGTGCGTCGCACTGTCTGCATTACTGTAATCACTGCTGACTGTATGCCTGCTAGGTACGTTGAAGATTCAGGACAAGGAGTTCGAGCTCACGCCTATGCCACTGCGGACCGTGCGTCCGTTCGTCCTAGATGAAGCTGTCCTCAGCGAGATCGCGGAACAGGAGATATCGACCTCGCGGACCGCATAGCGATCACCAAATACCTCAAACGACGAGTGCGTCGGAGCATAGTGACTGGATGGTGCATGGCTGATCACCGTCTCCGGCACTGAACTCAGTGAGAAGGCCAACTCGCTATGGGACGAGCGCGCCGTCGCCGAAGGGGAGGAAGAACTCCCTCGGATGCTCCCTATCGTCCGACTCAAGGTATCCCCCTTCGCTAACATCCCATCATCTAGTCTCAGCCGCACGCACATAGGTCGATACCACAGGTGTTTCCAAGCTCTCGAACCCCGTACGCTTCGGACAGGAGTTCCAGGGCCAACTCGCGAACCCGCGGGACGTGCTCGTCTTCCACCGTGCTAAGGTGGCTGCGCGGCGTCGCGGTCCGAAGGTCACTGCGGACCAGCACGAGCTCAGCATCGACGATCCCGACCTGAGCATCTCGGAGAAGCTCTCGAAGGTGCGCGCGCAAACGCTCGCGCGGGAGTACCTGGCGGCGCAGGAGCTCCAGCTGCTCGGCGAGGTGGGGATGCCGGATTCGATCGAGACGTTCATGGACAAGGACGATATACACGCTATTCAGACAAGAACCGGGCCCCTGCTGCCATTCAAGTGACCGCGGAGTAGCTGCTTCGCGATGCCCAAGAACGCCATGGATCCCAGTTTCGGGCTCCCAAGCAGCGTGTAGAAGACTTCGAGGAGCTGCATGAGTACCGAGGCAGAAGGCGATAGGAGTTCGAGAAGCAGGTCAGGCAGACGCGGTCAAACATGTACGCAGACCTTCAGTCCTCACGAATAACGAGCCCTTCTCACACTGTCATAGAAAAGAATAGCTCCAGTATGCCAACTGGGAGGCAAGCCAGGGCGAGTATGCTCGCTCGCACTCGGTCTTTGAACGTGCGTTGGACGTGGACCCTCGCAGTGTGCAGCCGTGGCTCAGCCATACCGAGATGGAGCTCAAGGAGCGAAACGTGCAACACGCCCGCAATTTGTTCGGTCGCGCGGTCACCCTCCTTCCCCGGGTGGACCAACTCTGGTACAACTTGAAGTATGTCTACCTCGAAGAGTTGCTGCAGAACGTCCCCGGAGCCCGCCAAGTGTTCGAGCGGTGGATGCAATGGGAGCCGGATGACAAGGCGTGGCAGGCGTACATCAAGATGGAGACGCGGTATGGCGAGTTGGACCGAGCGAGCACGATATACGAGAGATGGATTGCCGTGTGCCCAGAGCCACGCAATTGGGTGAAGTAAGCAACATTTGAAGAGGACTGGACAAAGCTTGACGAGGCGCGCTCGGTGTTCCAGACCGCGCTCGAAGAAGGCGCAGGCCGTGTTCAGCGCTTTCGCGAAGATGGAGACGAGGCTGAAGGAGTACGAGCGTGCCCGGGTGATATACAAGTTCGCATCGACCCGCGTTCCCCGCTCGAAGAAGGCCGCGCTCTATGCTGTGTATACGAAGTTTGAAAAGCAGCATGGAACGCGATCGACGCTCGAAACCACCGTAATTGACAAGCGACGTATCCAGTACGAAGACGAGTTCGCCCAAGACGGCCACAATTACGATGCTTGGTTCAACTACTCGCAATTGGAGGAGGGAGCGCTCCGGGGATGAAGCTTCAATTCCTAAAACTATACTCTCAAACGTGAGACGTGAGCCCCTTCCACGTGATTGCATCGCTGAGTCGCATCCTGAGGAGATCAGTGCGCCACGCTGTTAGTGACTGTCCACCCCAACGTCAAGTGAGCTGCAAGACGATGCGCACCGTGCGGGCTGGCATTTTCGGAGGCCTCAGATCATCTCGGTGTCGCAGGTACCCGACGGTTGTCTTGCACTACGCCGCCACGTCGAGCGATCATCTACCCAGTCTGTCTGATAATGGCGCCATGCTTCCTTACCGATGGCTGCGCGACTCCTGTCAAGGTCCGAGCCGCGTGCACCCATCGACACGCCAGAAGCTGCACAGGACGTCGGGCATCTTCCGGCCAGCGAGGGGGTCCGTGTGTCCAACGACAGCATGGAGATGACCTGGGCGTCCGGGCACGTCTCACACTATCCGAAGACGTTCCTCGAGCTCTACGCCTTGCCAAAGAGGCTGCGCGCATCTCACCAGGAGGTCGCCGCGAAGCGATGGGACGGGGACGCCACCCGGGCAGTGAGCAACCTCTTCCTCAGGCTGCCGTACGCCAGTCTGCAGGCCCCGGCGGGGCTGCTTCCGGCGATCACGCGGTACGGCGTGCTCTTCGTCGCCAACGTCCCCGCTGCGCGCACCTCGAACGACGCCTGCGAGCTGCGCCCGCGGCGCGCTTCCGCGAGCTCCGCGAGACGTTGTATGGGCAGACGTGGGACGTGAAGAACGTCCTGCACAGCAAGAACATCGCGTACACGAATGTCGGCCTCGGCCTGCACATGGACCTCCTCTACTTCCAGCACCCACCGCGCTTCCAGATCCTCCACTCCCTCCGCAATCGCGTGGAAGGCGTCGCGTCCTACTTTGTTGACGCCCTGCGCGCGGCCGAGACGCTCCCCGAGACGCACCCAGAGGAGTTCAGTGTCCTCGTAGAGACACCTGTCGCCTTCCACTACATCAACGACGGGCACCACCTGCACCACTCCCACCCCACCATCCAGTTAGCCCCGCCGCAAACAGATTCCGCGCCGACTCCCCGCGCCCGATCGCTCACATCAACTACTCCCCGCCTTTACAGGCGGCGCTACCGCTCTCCACGCCTCCTGCGTTCTATCCTGCTCTCGAGCGCTTCGATCTGCTGGAGGACCTTGCCTCGCGCTTCGAGTACCTACTCCGCGAAGGCGACGCCGTCATGTGAGTCGCGTACGACAACCGGCGAGTGATGCACGCGCGCACGGCGTTCAAAGAACGCGAGGGAGACTCTGGGTGGGATGAATTGGAATCCCCGCATCGTTGGCTAAAAGGATGCTATCTAGAAGCGGACGCAGTTCTAGATAGAGGCAGGGTCTTGCGGGAACGCCTGCAAGCACATGGATAGCGAGGGTATATACGGAGCGACCATCTCTATGTGAATCTAGCACTGAAGGTAAATCCGATGTATCAATCCCCACTTGCTGTCCCGACTACATATAACTCCAGGCTGTCTCGGAGAGCTTGACCAACACGATAGCGACCAAAAATGAGAACACAAGCACGAAAGCCGGGACGACGTGGGTCCCAAAGTCGTCCCAGAAGCTGTTCACCACGAGCTCGGCCTTCACCGACACGCGGTGGATCTGCCCCGGCGTGAGCGCTGTAGGTTCGATGCTCAGCCGGCTCTCGTCATAATGGTACCGGTTACCGGGTCCCAGGCCCTCCACGACGACCTTCCGGTCGTGCGCGATCATCGACGGCAGGTATATCTCCGTCATCTTGCTCGTCAGCTCCGGGTGCGCGTCCGCGGAGGTAGGCGGCCTGTGCACACTGAGGCTGGCGGGCTGCGCGGCCTCGTCGGCAGAGGGCTCAGGGACGACCCATGCGCACTCGAACTCGCGCATGTTCTGTGATCCTCGTTGTCTGGGTTGTAGCTCCACCACACCAGGCAGCGTCTTTGCCCTATAATCATAGAGTAACCGACGTGCCGAAACCACCAATGGTATAGGGCCAGCCGACGGCGGCCGACGCTTTATACACAACCCACACCCGTTGATTGGCCGACCGTCGGCTACAAAAGAAACCGAGCGGCTGTACGCAGCTTGTACTAGGGCGCGTCTACGTGCGCGGCGCCAGGCCCTTGCAAGAGGCGGGCATTTCATGCGCGGATTGCGCGGCGGATTGGCCATGATGAAGACATCTACCCGGGTCGGCCGGGCTTTCTTTCGCAGCGAGCGCATTGCCTAAGTGACAAGTCGACTGGGAGAAAGCGAGCTGAGTGTCGCAAACACTGAATATATGTAGTGGTGTAGCCAGAACGTGTGTAGTAGTACTACGGGATAGTAATGTGGGCGGCGCCCACCTCAAATAACATCCCGCCCGTCTTCCTCGAACAGATCCTCCACGTACCGCTCTAAGTCCATCGCCTGCTGCTCCGTCGACGCCCAGACTGCCATGTACCATACTAAAGGAGCGCCCTGCGGCGCGCTCGACACCTTCGACGCCGTCACTAACAGGCCGGTGCGCTTCACGTACGCCTCGTAGTGCACCCTGAAAGATTCAGTAATGGAACCTAGAATGAAAGAAAAGGCAACGTACCACGGGTGAGGATTCATGTCCTCGACGATCCACCGTATGCTAGCCAATGCGTCGTGAGGCGCGAGCGAGCGGGGCATGGCAGGCGCATCCTCGCTGGGCCGGACGTAGGAAGGCGGCGCGAGTGCATCCAATGGGAGAGCCGCCGTCTCGTATGCGGGCGGCGGCGGGTATTGCGGGGGTGCGCGCCGCGCGGACCGCCGGATTGCGGGGTTTCGGCGGAGCTCAGCGCCCGCAGCCGGTGCGACTCCAAGCGCGGAGTGAGCGACGTCAGTGGCGGGAGTCCCTGGGGTGTCGGCGTGGCCGGCCGCAGGAGCTATCGAAGTGGCGGCGGCCAGAGCAAGCGGGGCGGTATCGTGCGAGACGGGGTGGAGCGATGGACGGATACGAGCGCCGCGTGGGGCGGGACGAGGGGAGGCGGGGGCTGAGCTCGAGGAGTCGGTCATGCGCGAGATGTTGCGTTGGGGACGTGGGAGAAGCGGCGGTCGCCCTGCAAGTTTAAGTGGTAGAATGAGGAGGCGCGCAGCCCCAGGGTACTCGCGATCACGTGTTTCCCGATCGACAGGTATGATGGATCCACGGGAAAATCAAGGGTTTCAAATTGCGCGCGGTTGCGGCGCATTGCACTGCGCGGCCGCGCGGTGCTCGCGGGGGAGTCGAACCCGCCATTCATTGCGCGGGATCGCGCAAACTGGAATGCCATTGGTGGGGCAAACATCGGCCCACAGGCAGTAAAACGCCGGCGGGGCGGCGGATCGCTCGCGGGATGGCTGGGGCGCCAAATGGGCGCTCCCTCGCTGCGCTGTGGATCGCCCGGCCGCCCGCCGTCACCGCCTGCGGCAACGCGGGCCCTGTCTCGGTTACGTCCCCATCGCAATCGGTCACACGCTCTGTTCGCAGCACGACGAAGCCCGTTCAAAACGGGCAGTGAGAAAGCGCCGGCCACCAACGTGACATTGGCTGCGCCATTTCGCACTGGCGCAGCCAATGTCGGCTAGCGAATGACATCGCAACTAGCCGACGCCCGCTCCCCGAGGACCATTGGCATAGCCGACGTTGGGCGGTCGATCAACGTTAACCATCCAAGCTCGTCAGCCAAGATCAGCCAGGGCATAGAAGTTAACTCAATATTATTTTATTGATGACTACTACTGTACAGAACAGCGCTAGCTAATCATAATGTACCGTAGAAAAGTGCGAGCTACCGTCTGCCCAGTGGGTGCGCGCAGCAGGCTCTCTCCCGCTCGTCCTGTTCATACTCGGTGGCCTGGCTCCTCCTCGGGCTAGGATGCGGCACACTCATCCTTCACGGGCGTATGCGCGTCGAGCTGGGGTATGCCCGGCTGTTGCTCGGCAGGCCATTGCACGCCGCGCCGGATGCCTGGTGGACTGTTGCTTGTCGCAGTGCTGCTCGTTGAGCTGCGCTGTACCGAGCATTATGTACGGCGAACTGGCCCGCGTCGTACCCGTGCGCGTCGGTTCGTGATCCGTATCTGTTAGGCGGCCAATTCTTCGATGCCAGTGGGTCCGTGCGCGGTATGGGTTTGCACCAACGGGCTTGTGTCGTCGGCTGGTCGCGCGCCGTCAGATTTCGCATGCACTCACACTCCGTCTTCGTCGATATCTCGTACTTCGGGCCGTACACCTCGTCCCAGTGCTGCAAGTCGATGTGGCACGGCGTCCGTGGGATGAGGAGCAGGAATTCCACGTAGAACACCGAGTCAGAGACCGTGCGGCAAAGGCGGGGGAGGAGCGGCTTGCCGCGGTTCGCCGCAGAGAGTGCACGCCAAACGAGGTAGGTGACGAGCGAGCGGTTAAGGCAGTTGGTGGAGAGGATACGCCGCGCGAGGTGCTGGAACCGAGCGAACCGGTAGGGCCGTCTTCGTCGGGCTCGTCTCTGTCCAGTCGTCCTGGTGGACAATCACTTGCCGGGGTTGGCAATGGGGTCGGGATGGACAGCGGTGCACTCACCTGACATGCTGACCCTGCGGCCGCAACCCACGGATGCGCGGGTGAGCAGGAGATGAGGCAAGCGTGACTTGGTATGTGGTGAATGAGTGAGCGAGCGCGAGAGGGCAGAACTTGGGGGTGAGAGCGGCGCGCGGGTGGGCAAGCGAATGAGTGAGAGGATGGGCTGGATGCGCGAGCTGGTGGACAAGTAGGCACCACGACTCGGAGCTTTAAGCTCGTCAATGCGCGTAGCAACAGAAGTCGTTATATAGTAGGTACAGAACAGAGGACTCACATTTGGTTTTCGTCTCTCTGCTTAGCCCTCGCCCATCGCTCTTGCTCCTCATTCTTGTGACTTCTCCGTCTGGACTCGTTTTGCGCTTGATCCCGTCGTGTTCGAGCTGTGGAACGGTACGAGTGCCTCAAGCGCGTCGCGACAGTGTTCCAATGCACGTGCCGTCCGTTACGGAGTGGCCCATCTGCGTGTACTAGAGGTTGGCGGTTGGCGGCGGGCAAGCGAGAGTGAAGCGGAGGTAACAGACACTGAACAGGGAGGGGCTGAAGTGAGGGAAGTCCCGGTCCGGCGAGTGCGTGTGACGTGTCGTGGCTGAGGCGCTTAGCACTTCTCGCGAGTTGCGCAACCTCCACTTGACCTCCACGTCCCCATCGACTCACCCTCACTGCAACGCTGCGCTCAACGTCAACGATGCGCAGTAGCGTTAAGGCACGACGGAGAAGCGATGATAACACGGAGTTGGGGGAGGCGGGCCCCGGCAGGGTAGTACAGGTGAGTCGCTCGCCCGCCCTTCTCGCCCACACCAGTCACCTCCCGCATCTGTCCTTCTTCCCATCGACCCGGCCGTCATCCTCGAAGAAGCCTTCGCCAGGCAGGCAGGCAGGAGAAGACGCCGTCGAGGAGGCAGAAGGCCCGCGAGCGGCTCCTCGGGCCCATCCCACTCGGTGGACGCATGATGCGTTCAGCTGCGTTCCGCCCGTCTTCTCGCTCGCCCGTCTTCTCGCTCGCCCGTCTTCTCGCTCGCCCGCCTTCTCGCCCACTTGTCTTCTCGCCCGCCCGTCCGCCAGCTCACCCGCTGACCCCCGTTTACCCGTGGACCTGAAAACCTGCGTCCTCCTGCGCGTCCGCTCCTGCGCGTCTGCCCTCGTCGTCGATATCCTGCCTGCCCGCCCACGCACCGTCCAACCAGCTCGCTCGCCTGCTCGTCTGGCCTCCAGTTCAACTTCTGCGCCGCCGGCACAAATACCGACGGCGAAGACCTCGCACACTTCTTCGAAGGCCAGCGCCATAACTGGCACTCTCCCCTATCTTTGTCGGCTCGCCCACCACGCCCAACGGTGAGTTGACACTCACTCGCGCAGTCTTCCACTCACTCGCACGCACGTTCGTCCGCCTACTCACTTTGTCGTTAGCAAGTTAGCCTGCCTGGGTCCACTCTCATCCTCTCACTATCTCGCCCTCGTTTCTTGCTGATTCGTCCGCTCGCCCGTTCTTGCCTGTACCCCGCGCTCTCTCGCCCACCTACTCGCTCGCCCACTCGCCCACCAGCCCGCTGTCTCAGCCGCCGCTCCGCTTGCCCATCGTCTCGTCATTCCGCACTCGCACTCGCCCGTTACCCATCTCTCCCGCTGTACTGTTCGCCCACGGCCTCTTTTGCCCACAGTCTCTGTCGATCCTCACGTCCGTCGACTAGTATTGCTCATCAACCCTCTCTTCCATCGACCCTCTCGCCCGTGCAGAACCAAGCCTCGTTTTTCGCGACAATCAGTTCGGGACCCTCATCTGTGGCTTCGGAGGCTCTGCAGAGCAACACATTCAAGATTTATCCGCCCGACGAGTCGGCGACTGACCGTCTGGTCACAAAGGCACTCGTTCTCGGCGACTTCGATTTCGCTGTCTCTCTCTGTCTCTCTTCGAGACCCTTCGCAGATGCCATTCTTCTTGCGGTCAAGGGCGGTCTGCAGCTCCTGCAGAAGACGCAGAAGGCATACTTCGAGAGCCAGACAATCGCTCTGCAGTACCTACGCCTCTTCCAGTCGATCGTCACCAGCGATCTTGCAGGGATCTCGATATACGGCGCACGCGCTTGCCCTGCAGACATTCGTCGAAGACGTCACGGTGTTCTGCCGCACGATCAAATATGAAGATACGGATCTCAAGCAGAAAACTAGCGGTGAGGACGTTGACGCCGTCACGTACAAGCTATCTGGTCCTGAATCGTGCCAGGGTTCCACAGGCTCGTCTATGAATTTCAAGGTCATCAGGGACCGCCTGTTGAAGGCTTCCGGAGAGCAGAAACAGCCTCCGAGGTCTGCGTCGTTAAGGTAGTCCCGCTCGCATCCTCGAGCTCGGCTTATGGCTACCCAGCATATGCTGCATCGACTCAGCCGGCCGTTGCAACGCAGGTCCCCGCGGCACCGTCGTCACTATACGACCCGTGCGGCGCAGGCTCTGCGGGCGCGTCGAACGCGGCTTTTTCATACGCTCCTCCTGCCGCGGTAGGAAATCTGTATGCCCATCCTGCTCAGGCCACACAGCCCTCGCAGCCGTATCAGCCAACTGCAGCGATGGCCCATCCCAATGCAAACCCTTACGGCCGCCCATCATCACAACCTCAGAAGATCGTGGGCCAAGCGCCTCCACCACCTATCATGCTCCCTCCTCCCCCACCGAGAGCCGCGTATGTCACGCCTTCCGGTCCGCCACTGCCACCCAAACGTGATGCCGTCGGTTGGAACGACGCGCCCTCAGGTATCGCCCAGCAACGCGGAACAGGACCCACCAGTAGACCAGCTGCCATCACCGCTCCCTTGCCTAAAGCGCCCATGTCCCCGAGCCTGCCTAGCACCCCGAGCTTCGGTCATGGCCAGCTACAGCCCGCGTTGCCGCCACCACCGCGTCCTGGAAGCGTGCAGCAACGTCCGCCTCCGCCACAGGGCGGTCCAGGACCCTTCCCAATGCATCCACCGTCGGGTCCTCCGCCTCCTGGCCGGATGATGATGTCCCCGCCGCCAGGGCCTGGCATAGCACGCTCGCCACAGGCGCCGCCTCCTTTGCCCGGCCAGACCCCACCTCCTATGCAAGGGCGACTCCCTCCTGGTGCTCCGTCCCAAGGCGTGCCGGGCCCGTCCGGCCCATACACGCGCGCGACGCCACAGCCACAAGGCCCGCCGCCCATGGGACCTCCTGGCCAGTCGCAGTTCGCTCAGCACCCGCCGCCGCAACACAGCAGCCGGGGCCGCAAGGCCAGTTCGTGCCCCCACTGCAGCGTATGAACCCTCCGCCTGGCGGTGCGCCCCCCTCAAGGACCTCCGCAGGGCCCACCGTGCGGCGCGCCGACCGGAACAGTTCGGCAGCGCCAGGACGCGCAGGCCCGCCGCCGCCAAAGTACCGTAAGTGTCATTGACAAGGTGCCTTCAGTGCTAACCTTGCGCTCGTAGCTCCTGGTGACCGGAGCCATATACCCGATGAGATGCGGCCCGTATACGCTGTACATGATCTCGGGGTAATTGGAGCGGCTTAGGTAGAGTTCCCCGGTGAGTGTTGCGTAAAGGCCCGGGGTCACGCTGATATCGCCTACAGCCCTCGCAAAAACGTCTCGTCGATGACCTGGAGCGGAAGATCAACCGGCTCTGAGACGTTGTCGACACCCGTGCAAGAAAGGCTGTTGGTGCTCTCTCGAGGTACACGTTTCTTCTTTCGGCTTGTAGATGGACGCGCAACAGCGATCGAGGCACACGACCGGGACGGAGTCATGGCACTCCACATGGACCTTCTCACGACGGGCTCGCTCACGAACGATGTCGGGTTGTGAATGTCGGGCGTGAAGCAGCTCATCCTGCGCCTATAGGTTTTTGTTGACGTCGTGTCATGTCTAAGTAGTCGGAAGGAACCCTGTCGGACGATGATCGCGCTGGCGTAAACGTTTTATGTTTCTATATTGCAATGAATATCTCGGGGATTTGTGTTGTGTTGTGAGAACAATGAGTCCTGTCGACATGTCGATACAGAAGTCCCGGTCACCAGGAGGCTAGACTGACTACATACCTGTCACTTCGGTGGTGATGTTGCTTGGTAGCTCCGTAAGTCTGAAAGCCTGAGACTGCTCATAGAAGCAATGCTCTCCGAGCCAATCTGCGGTCGTTCCGAACGGGCAGTGAAAAAGCGCCGCCCACCAGGCCAACATCGGCTGCGCCATATCGCATTGGCGCAGCCAATGTCGGCTAGCGAATAACACTCTGACTAGCCGACGAATGCTCTCCGAGGATCACTGAAATAGCCGACGTTGGGCGATCGATCCACACTGCGGCTGCTTCGGCCGGCGTCCGTTGGCCTGCGAGGCATGCGCGTAGATTCAGCCGTTTAGCATGGGGCTATACAGATGCAAGTCGACTGCGGGGCGCGGGCATGGAGAACTGGACACTTGGGACTCTATGAAGATCGTCGCAAATGGTGAGTGACTAATATCGACCACTGTGACACGGCGCTCGTTCAGTCGTGATACGTCCGGCAGTCGCTCATCCTACGCAACTCGACACATACGGGCCCCGTACGGGGACTTGAGTTCAACTTGATCCAGACGACTTTGCTCGCATCAGGCGCAGTAAACGGAGAGGTTGTTACGGACGCCGTCGATCACGACCCGCAGGTCTTCGTAGCACGTACTTAGTGTAAGTATCCTGAGTTGTACCTACTAAGTGCTCGGTACTCCGAGGCGCGCCCGAGTTAATAGACGCTAGACCATCTTAATCTCCTACTACCTCATACGAGTGCGCTGTACCGCGCCGTCTGAGCTCGGGAGTAAGGTCTCCAGCTACGAAGGAGCTCTCCGCCCTTCGATTCACCGGCGCTGGCCCCTCGCCACGCCTGAGAAGACTTCCCCTCGACTCTCTCGTAGTCGCGCTCCTCGCCGGCTAACCGTGCCAGCTCCTCGCTGCACGACGACCGCTACGTTGGCTCCTCGCCACGTTCACGGACCTCACGACGTCTAACGACTCTTCACGCCCTTCTCGCTAGTCGTAGCGCGACTACCAACGTTCAAGATCGCTGACGAGCCCGGATCCTCCTGAACCGAGAGTCCCCGGCCCACCGACTCTCACATCGGTGGACATTCAGAGGATCCGGTCCACTCCTTAGCGTAGGCCATACCCCTTTCTACATCCTCCTTCATGTCTTGACGCCCCTTAAGCCGTTCTCATTCGACATGACCCGGCCGCACGCTACGGGCACTTCCTTCGTCGGTGACGCGACTCATCTGTTCTCGGCCAACCTCAGCAACACGAGTCTCCTACGATTCGTCTCCCTTCACGACTGTTTCGATGCCGGAATCAACATCGCTGGAGCAGGGAGACAGGACTGAGGCGAGCGGAATGCAACCTCTGGGTGAGTTCCATAGATACTATCCTCCCCTCTCGCCTCCAGCTCGGCCGAGCGAAGTCCGTCACTCCTCGACGTCCGCGCCCGCTCAAACAATCTCCACACCTAAGAGTGAATCAAGTCCTCGGAGGCGTGATCCACCGCCTCATCTCTCTCAACCGGAACCTCGCCGCGACGTGAGCTTTACCTCGCTCTCGGCGAATCCGAGTTGCAACACGGGTAACGACAGTTCGAATAGCGCTATCCCGGGCGGTTGGGCCGCGACCCTCTCACAGGTTCCCGCCTGGCCTCCCTCCAGGTCGAACTCGTCGGCTACTCGCGTTCGGCGTCGCGACCACTTGTTCGAACCGTCGCCTAGCGTGCCCCCTCCAGTCGCTACGTCTACGCCTTGGCGCCTGACTGTTGGATCGTCTCCTCCTTTGAGTTCCGCACCTCTGGCTTCTTCGTCCGAGGTCCGGCAGGCCGTCAAGGAAGCTGTCGACAAGACGCACCTTCAAGATCTCCTAGACGGGCCGGAGAAGTTCCTCCCTCACATCCGCCGACCTGACGAAGCGCAGGCTCTGTTCAACGAACTAAACGCTCCCGATGCCACCGGAAAATACAAGACGTTGTTCGAAGAATCCGCTTCCTTCACCGGCGATGACTTGGAAGCTTCCTCAATCGTCGAGTCTCAGGGTCCGGAGGGCAGGGCGACCCGGTTTCGCCTCTCCGCCGAAGCCACTCTTCGTCAGATGGTCTGTTCATTCTCCTCGATCCGCGTCCATTAGCTACATATTACTGTACATTGCAATCGATTGCTGTCATTGCACAGAGAATGTCCTTATTCTCGCGCAATCCACGTTCATCCGAATATAATGACATTTATTTCCATTTTATTGTTACACATCACCGATTGAAATGTACCGTACCACGACTACTCTTCTGCTATTCCTACTGTCTCGCCCGCCCGTTTGTCTGCTTGCTCACCCACCTCCTCACCTACCTGGCTGCACATTCGTTGGCCATATCTGCGCGCTGGGTGTTCGCCCAGTGCGCCTGCGGTCGCCGTGCACTGCCGCGGTGACATCAGAGTCGCTGTTGGCTTCGGCTTCACTAGCCTCGCTTGATGCGGACCACGACCGTCGGTCGCCGGCGAGGAACCCCGGGCGTGGGGGGCTAAGCGGCTCGCCACCCTGTTTCTGGGAATCGCGGCGCGGACGAGAGTGGAGACGTGACCGGGGACGTGAGGTGGTCTTCTTCCGACGACGATGCGACAGCATTGCTGTTCACAGCGCGTGCATGTTGCAGGGATGGAGAGGTGGGGACGACGTGCGCGTCGTGCAGCAGACGGGCAACTCGCCCGCTGGTCTGCTTGCCCGCCTACTCACTCTTCCGCCTGCATGTGCGTTCGTCAGTGTCTGCGATATACCCCTTTCCCGCTGTCCACTCACCTTGCCCATACTTCGTGCACCCGCTCACTCGCCCGCCCGTTCTTGTGCCCGCTCGCCCGCCCGCTCGCCCACCTGTTCGCCCGCCTGCCCACTCGTCCTCCGCTTGTCCACTGATACGCCCGCCGCCCGTTCGTCGGCTACGTCTGCACGCAGGGCATCAGCCCTGCGTGCTCGCCGTCGTCGTGCGCGTCGTGGCGTCCGTACCCTGTACCCTCCACCCGCTCGCTCGCTCACGCACCCGCCCAGCGCGCTCGCGGTCGGTGTGTTGCTGCCTGCCCGCCCACCCGCTTGTCTGCCCGCCGTGCGTCCGTCGGCCGTGCCTGCACACAGGGCATTGGCCCTGCGTGCTTGCCGTCGTCGTGTGCGTCGCGCTGCACGTCACCGCGTCCTGTGTCTGCGTTAGTGGGCTCGCTCGCGTGCATCTGCACTTACCTCGATGTCCGCGATCCGCTCGCCGTCCGCACGGCTCCCATCCGCGCCCGCGATCCGCCCTTGTCGCTGATCCCGCGCCCGCCTTTCCCGCGCGTGCTCGCCGTCCCTGTGTCCACCGTGCTCGCGCATGGGTCTTGCCCTGGCCCTGGGGCGCTCGTCCTCGCCTGTCCGTCGCTCGCGTGCCTACGGTCCATCCGTCGGGCACGTTTGCACGCTGGGCGCTCGTGGTGGTGGTCGAGAGGGCCCGAGCTCGAGCCCCGTCTGTGCTGAATGTTGTGGCACGTAAAGCGAAGTGAGACCTCAGAGGGAGGAGGTGAGGCAACCTCGCGAGCGCCACGTTTGGGCGCTCGCCGGGTTGCCTCTTTTGGCAACACCGCCGCGGGTCGACACCGTGCAACACCGCAACACCGGACGGCGGGTACGCGGTAATAGCGGTGTGGCTGGCTATGCACGACACGTCGATGGGCAGTGGGGTGCAGCAGGGACCAACGACGACGGGAGGGTGTACATGGTAGTGGTACGGAGTCAAGGAGACTTCGACGACGACCCCAACTTGAAGGGACTGAGTCAATGACGTCGTGCTTGGACAGTGGTCACGGGACGACGCCGCGGCGGGACGGGAAGGATTTCAGGTTTGGTGAATTGGCGAATGCATTTGGGCGGCGGGACTTGGGCGAGAACCTCGCCATTTGGGTACATGCCAAATCGTAAAGGCAATTGATGAGCGCGAAACCGAGGCTTTGAATGTTAGCAGACAACACTGAACATACAGAATTCTACGGTAATAGATTGTCTGACAGTTCCTTGACAGCTCACGCTGGTAATCAGTGGCAATCGTAGGTAATATTGCACGTTTTCACTGGGACTCATTGTCAACGTACCCTCCAGGTATAGCTTCAGTGCCGCGGCGGGACATGCGTTGGCGCTTCGGCAACACATTCCCCGCGATCCCTATGACTACCAACTCGAAGGGGTCTCGATGGACGCGACTTGCTTGCTATGCTAGCAACAGGCTCCGGAAAAAACTGGTCATGTTATGATGTATGCGCTAAGCTCGTTCAGTTGACAATTAATCCTCACTTCTGCAAGTTCTATGGCAGAGTAGGGGTCTACCCGGAGGGTACCCGCCCTAGGCACAGACCCGTGACAGCGGGTACGGGTTCTGCGTGGGTCCGCACGGGTTGTACGGATCATGGCCTGTCACGCACAGGGTGGGCGAGTGGGCGGCGAGATCGGACAGGCGGTGAGAGCAGGCGGGCAGGTGTGAGTGGGCAAGCGGGCGAGAGCGGACAGGCAGGCGAGAAGCTGCGTGTGGGCGGCCAAGAAGGCGAGTGCAAGCGGAACAGGCGGGTGGTCGAGCGGGCGAGCGAGGCAGCAGGCAACCAGGAGCAAACAGGACGGCAGACGAGCGGGACAGTGGGCACTCCTCTCTTCGCCGCAGCGCGTCCGAACCCGCCCCTCAAGCCCGCCTCCTCGTTGGGCGGCGATCCGTCATCTCTCCGCTGGACGCACCGCGGCACAAGGCGGCAGCCGCCCCCGTGCATCCCCCACCGAGCGCGTATATACGCGCGCAGAGAGCATCAATGTAGCTGCGGCGGGGACATATGGCAGCCCGCCATCTCGCCGCCGCGCCGGGAACATCGCCAGGCTGCTTCTTCGGGGGGTGGCCGAGTTTCTTGTAGCCAGTGATCATGTAACTCGCGAGACATCCAACGAAGGAGTTTGCGATAGTGAATGATGAAGTCCGGGAACTTGAAGTTGAACTGATGAGGATTGAAGGCGAAGGGCGCAATGCAGAGAGGCCCGACCGAGAACCAGAAGTAGATGAGATATGGAGTCCAAAGGGCCATGGTCGCATGCATGAGCAAGAGGTCGTTGCCTATCCATGTAAACGCTCGGGTCGGCGAAGCGGGAGTATAGAATGGTGAATGAGATCCGGGTTGCCGCGAAACCTCGTCCAGTCGTGATATAGCAAGCGCCGCCGAATGCCAAGTTGCTCGCAATCGCAGGCAAGTAGCTACTGCTCGAGAAGACTTCGAAGGCGGGTGCCAAGGATGTGAAGTGCTCGCGGATAACGGCCTACCAGGTACCGCGTTCAACGAGTTCTGCCAGCAGCATTCAGCATCGACAAAAACATGAATATGCGTTGAGATGATAATCATACTCCGGAAAAACAGACGCAAGTACGCAATCAGGAATACCAAGAAGTCCCTGATGATCTCGCGCAACGAGAGAAGGGTCTAGAGAACCAATTCGCTCGGTTCATGACGCCAGAAAAGGCACACTGACCTTCTCGCTGCAGTGAGGCGCTGTCGGAGAGAAGGCGTGCGTGCGACGACAAACCACACACAACGCGCGCTCGTCCTGATGCAGGGAGGTCGAGAGGTCGAGGGATGGACGGGGGCTCGGTGAAGGACGACGGATGGTGGTCTGTAGAAAGTAGTTAGGCCGCCGAATCTAACGGAACACTTACTTGGTATCGGAACGCGACTCGACTTGCTTTGCACCCGCGACCGCAGTGTCGCGTCTAAGTGCCGAGGTCGGGATAGCGAGGCGAGAGAGAGCGAGAGAGGTGGGGATTTGATTCGATAGAGAGCAGGCGACGCGGCCCAGTACTAATACACACGAGACGTTCTAGAAGAATGGAAGCGCGAGAGGGATAAAAAGGTAGTAGAAGCTGAGGGGGAGAGACGTCGGCGAGCGAGAGATGGTTCGAAAGAAGCGCGAAGCGTGAGTGTTTGACGTATCGGGAAGGAATGATACCTAATAAGGAAAGTATTGTACAGCAGGCATATGGGCACCCTCCTGGGCGACGGACGTCCCTTGAGTCCCCTTCCAGCGTTGACCAACGAACCCTTGTCTCGGTACGTGATTGGCAGCTCGCACGCGGTGCTATTTACTAATCGCGACCTGGTCCCCCAGCAGGTGCGGCACTCGGCGTCACGGCGCTCGTCTCGTCCTACTAGCGGGTCCGCGTCGCGGCCTTCCGGTTCGTCGCAGGCGCGCCGGTATAGTCGAGCATACCGTAGGAAGTTGTAACATAAGAGGGAAAGGGATGCGTGGGACGAATTTCCCTTCCACAGCGCCAAGACTGTGAACGCCCGCATTGCATCAACAGGGATAGGCTCCGGGACCGTGGTCGCCAGCGAGTGCGCGAAGAACGAAGCGACGCTCTGCCTCGCTGCTGGGAGTGAAGAACTCGCCCTTCAGGCCCTTGTCGCTCTGCGAGACTAGCACCTGCAGACCGGAGTGCGTCAGCCAACCTCGCTCTGTAATCAAGCAGATTTCGCAAACCTTGGGCTTGTACTTCGTGTCCAAGTCCGCCGCAGCAAGCAGCTTGGCGTAAATTCGCTTGGGCAGCCGCGTGAAGATGCCCTTCCAAGGGCGTCCAAATCGACAGCCCGAGCGCGAGCAGCCGCACGATACTGAGGATTGTGTTCCGGATGATCCACCACAAGAAGGTATCCGAGAAGAAGAGAACAAGATCTATCAGGTCCATGATCGTCAGCGCGAACGCCACATGGATCCTGCAGAGCGCATTTCCGAAGTACTTGCCATTGCAGTTCTGGATCTTCATCCCAGCGATGACCTGGACCAGGGTTTTGGACGAGAGCGCCAGGAAGGAATAGGACACCGCAAACTTGAGGCCGAAGATGAGCACCCAGACGAGAATAGGTGTGAGCCGGGCGGTGTGGGAGAGGCCCGGATAACTCGCTGCGAGCATCTGGCTCACGAGGTACTTCTGAGACTTGCCCGCCACGCGCCCACCATCCGCCCCGAAGGCAAGGTGGCGAAGAGGAGCGTCGCGACGACCGAGATGAAGAACTGGACGAGGTTGAGGATGAGCACTCAGGAGTCGCCCGGAGAATCACCCTCCGCATTCGCGGCATAGACCGTAGGACCGCAGGTGGGTGCACGAGTGTTGAGCACGGAAATGAGCCGTCGTGTGGGGTGGGGGGTGTTGTTCCATGTCGTAGAGATGTAGGAAAACTCGGCCTGCGACTCAGCAATCATACTGGCAGTACCCTCGGCTCTTCGTCCCTGGGCCGCTCGGCCGAAGTCTTGAGACCCGAGGACTCCGCGAGCCCTTGGCGAAGATACGACGAATCGACGCCGTACCATCCTCGGCGAGTTTGGTGCATCCAAGGGCAGCCCGCGAAGAGTCAGTCGCGAAGAGGTGCCCAAAGTAGCGCGCGGCGTTCCGCAGACGATCCGCCTCGTAGCGGTGGCTGGTCGTGTAGTGATTGGCGAAGGCCTCTTCGAAGCATTCGTTCCACGCATGGCTGAGCTTGCAGAAGCGCTCGCCAACGAGGCCGTAGAAGGCGGGGCGGTAGAGTGCGGCCGTTCCTGCGAGCATCACTCAGTGACCATATTGCAGAGCTCAGTCTGTGTAGGTCCAGTCAGCTTGGCCGCCGCCAATCAAGCGGAGGGTAGGGCAGACGTGCGCCCTGGCCCTCCTGAACCCGGACTTCAAAAGCTTGTCGGCTTTCTGGTGATTGAATATGCTGATGGTGCGGCGGGGATTGGTGAGACTCGTCTCCGCGCGGCTTTCGAGACCGGCTTTGTGTTTGATGCATCCTTCCTCTCCCTCCTCACCGTCAGACCATGATACCCCCGCGGATACCGTCGGTGTAGATGGACCTTGAAGGGAACATGAGGTACGTGTAGTCCTTGAAGTGCGACTCGGCATTGCTGCACATAATACTGCCAAACAAAACGCCGCCACGAACGGATTCTAAGCACTTACTCCGTGTGACGGTTGCCAGCCGTAATACCGCTGCCCTCGCTCTGCA